GTAGAGTAAGAATGATGAATACAAAACTAATAGAAAGCAACATAAGTGTTATTGAGATTGTTTGTTTATCAATTGCTGATGGTACAGTATTTGCTTGGGCTTTAGCTTTTGCCTTCCATTTGGCAGCTTTAATACGACTGGCAATGATCATAACATTCCCAAACATAAGGATTGAAAATGGTAGTAATGATGACAGCACCATATCTAGATGGGGCCATATCTTCACGCGGAACAGGACGTGATTGGGGTCTGATATTCTATAACAGGGGTTCTCTTTAAACGGACCTTGGTAGCGAAAAAGGAATCCATTAATGATGATGAAAATACCAAAGATTGTCAAAATTGCAATGAGAGCATTTCGTTTAGTGCAGATAAATTTAGCTCGGAGAGGGAGACATACGTAAATGACCCTTTCAAGAGTCACCGCGACTATTAACCAAGCTGAAACATGTGGAAGATAATAAGCAAAGAATGCGCTTAATTTACAGATTACTACATGCGTGTCTCTAAAATCTAATGTCCAAACTGCTAAGATCCAGCGTCTCGTAAGATTAAGCCAGAGATTCAACGTGTCCGTTACACTTAATGCAGCTAAATACACGCTGGAACTCTTCAGACTCATCTTTGTAAACACAAGCACTATGAATGACAATATATTCAGAACTGTTCCTATTATGATTATAACGGGGGAAAGGTATCGGGTGATGTCATCTGCAACTTCATAGAGTCGGTCTTGGCTAGCCTCATGGGAGGCTGATTCAGTAGACTTCTTAACCAGTTTAGACAAACATTCCCCTAATTTCACAGGATCAGCAATATAAAGAATGAAGCAAAACTGTGAAGGTGCAATACTTTTCGGCCTCGGTGTTAATGTCACATTATTGTTGGGTGTCGTTTTTAAAGTTCCATCTGAAACAATATGAGAAGTTCCTATTTCATTGGTTTCAGTACATTATAAACACATTAATACCTGAATATCCGAACACCTCTCTCATCTGAACATCTCGCTGTTATTGCTTTCTCTCGGTCCTATTTCTTATTCTGCCCCTGGCTTCCATGTTAAAAAACCTTCAAATGTACACCTTCCATACCGAACAAATCGGTCTAAGTGGTGTTCGGATTTGACAGGTTTACTGTATTTAATGTTTTATTTTTGTAAATCTCAAAGTCACAAAAGCAATACGAATACCACAACAGTAACTAAACTACTAAGGAGAAATGTCATACTTTTTGTAGCTGTGGAATTCGCCCATCCAGTGGTTGTCGTTTTATCTGTTGATTCTGTGGATCTTTGATCTGTTTTTACTGTAGTGTCTGTTGTCTTCCGATCGCTCGATTCAGTGGCATTGGATGATGCTACATCTTCTTCCAGGGTCTCACCGGTGGTTTCATTCTTTGATTTAGAAATTGTGGTTTCATTTAGAGAACCATCACCGATGGTAGTTTCATTCGGGGTATCAGTAGCAGTGGTAATTTGTTTAACACTGATGGTTGTACCATTGGCAGAAATTTCCAAATCTGGAGCTCCACTGGGATCTATCGCTTCAGGACGAGACATAACCCTTGTAGTCAGCATAACTAGGTCCATGATCAACATCAGATATATCATCTTACTGAAAATATGAAACGTTATGAACTTGTTATGAAGTAGAACATGTGTAACATGGAACCTTTTTACCACTAAAATGTACCACATCTAAGGAGCTGCCCCATGTTTATCCTCTTTATTAGTATGAATGTGTCTACATTAGTATCTGAAAACTTCACATCATGCTGAACATACAACATACGTCTTATTATACTGGGTGCGTGGGTATGTCGTAAAATGTTCATTAAGTAATATATGATGTTCTTACTGTTTTAGCTCGTATCAAACGGACGTCTCTCGTAAACTTATTTACGTACAGTGACTTAGATATCATCCCATCACAAGTGGATGATCTGCTTGTGGTCACTATTTTTCATTTTCATGATTGACCTGGTTTTGAGGCTTCGACAGTGTCCTTGAACATTTGCTTGGAGAGGACTTTGATTTTGGCTATGATGGTTTTCAGAATTTACTTGGTCGGTTATACTTGATTGTTGACACTTGGAGTTTGGATTTTGCGTCCAATTGCCGAAATTATTGATTCGATAGAAATTCACTTGACCAGGTTTGGTCTGATGCATTATTGACAGAAGACATGAATAGTATTGTTCATACTAGTAGCGATATGTAAAATAATTGTTACAACAAACAGCAAAAATCAATCTTACCTGGCTTGGCTCCTGTCTCGGATAGCTATTTCAAAAGTGGAATAAATATATTCCAAAATGTTCTAATTTAAAACAACGAATTGTCGCACTAATGATCGTTGTTATCCTAACAAATGGCGAAAGGGTCAGAGTTGATTTCTACATATCGTGTTTTCATGCCATTAAAGCTAGTATTATGATTTTTTATTTCCATTGTTTCACTTTTGCGCCTATCCTTCAACAAAAGGCATATAATGGCAAAGGATGATGCAGTTATTTATACAGATGTTTTTGTATTATAATCAGCTATTTAAAATTTCGTGATAAATAGAACAATTAAACCTACGTGAGTACGCAATACAGCGATTCACGATTAGAGCTGTATATATTTGCATTATGTTAAAATGGATAAAGACGTATCGATATCTGCTATCCGTATCAAAAATAATCAGTGATACATAACGAGGTATATACAGTATATTATAAATAACCTAAATAGACAACAATGAGGAACCCCAAAACAATCCAAGGCCATGAGTAATATTTCCCACAAAACAATTAAACATTTATCAAACACGCAGTTAATAATCATATTTCTATCTAAGCATATAGTGAAGCATTAGTGCTATGCATAACGTGCCGACTTATAAGGTTTCTAGCAACAAGTATATTCCAGGAAAAGACTGGCTACAAGCGGAAGATTCTTATTTTCAAATCGGAAACCGCTCCTCTTTTCAAGGACCTAAAACACAATATTTCTTATTTTTAAATTTAAGATACTCTAAGTAAAAATAGATATAAATGATAGAGCCAGTGCCACGCTATACAATTACGTCTGATTAAGAAAATATCGTATATCTCTGTAAATACAAATACATTAAACCAAGAATGTAATCCAAATATGACAGTTACCTTTTTCACACACTAAACTGAAGAACTATTGCTAGCAACAAATTAATTTAATGAGTAAAACGAATTATTTGAAGTATCTCCCCTTCGGCTAGTCATAACATGTCTACTTTGGAAGATATCTTCCTCATAACAATATTCATATTTCAGCGAAATAAGATGGATTCCTTTAAGATAGATAAGTTCTTTCACTTATTGATACTTATTTTGGCAGTATCTAAGACGGTGTCAGAATATACATCAAGTAAGTGGCAGTTATATCTCCATATGTGTTATTTTTAAACGCATATTTACACACATTTTTCATCAGTTAACAGCATGCTTTTTGTGTACTTCCGGTTTTGACATTTACCGTCACTATATCATGTTAATGTTTTGATTGTATTTCCATTATTATTGTGTTATTCTTTTCGGATTTTTTGTTGTGCCAGATGTTGTATAACAACGTTTTATTGTATTGTGCTATATCTATAGTATTTGAAATTATTGCATAAACGGTATCACTCCTTTTTTCATTGACACTTTCTCCTGTTGCCAATCCTATGGAGGGGTGTATACGTGCAATATTGTTGGGTTATTAAAATGTAGAATAAGTAAGCACAGTATATGTAATAAATTCATGCATAAGGCAGAACACAAATACTGCAAAACTTACACCTAGCTATGGCCAAATGCAAGGATATTGTGTTGACATGTATAATTGTGATATTGACAATCGGTGTATGTAGTTTTTATAATACACTGTACGAATGTTTGATTGTGACATTGATACACTGTCTCGTTTAATACTTTATCAAAAGATGGCAGCACGTGTTTTTGTAGAAAATGTTAGGGCCAGAATACAAGAATCATTTAATTTCTCGATCCATATTTATCAAATATTTCAATTTGTATTAACATAAAACAACCATTGCAATGTAACTACATGATCTTGTTGACATGTGTATTCAATGAGGATTTAGGAAACTATTCGATTTAAGAAGCTATTGAGAAAGCCTCTATTGCAAATTGGACTTTAGGACTGTTTTTATATTGTTTTTGCGGTAGTAATAGACCTGGGAGTATGAATAAAGCTATCTGAAAGAATAAATATGTTTTGGAAAGTTGTGACGTAAACAAACTTGCCCCGCCTTTTTGTTGTTTTGGTTGCTATAGCAACCACAACTCTGGCCAATCAAACAGAAGACGCTTTAAATTCACAGAATAAAGGTACAAAGGTTTGGGCTACAAACTCTGAAAATTTCATCAAGATTGGTGCAATATTAAGAAAGTTACAATATCTTTCACCTTATTTATTGGACACCCTGTATCTTTGGTGTCATATTAAACCAAGTGTAATTGTGTACTATTATATTGACTTGTGTCATACTCACTGACTGTATAATTGTTTATGTACTAATTGGTATGATACTGCAACATCGATATTATACTACATCATCAGTGCTATATTGCACCATAACAACTGCATGTAACACGTTTCAAAAATGTATGTTTATTCTGCATCTATCGTTCCAGAATGTGGCTATGAACCAACCGGCCAGCTGTTCATGTCTGACGACCATTCTCCATGTGTTTACCATTGGTGTGCTAAAGGGAAGTATCTTGGAAAGGCTCAATGTGCCCCGGGATCAGCCGTCCCGTATGGTTATATGGGGACGAATAATCCGTGCATAATAAATACAAAATACTGTGGATTGAATAGGGGACATTTATTTTACAATTCAGATGTTAAGTATTCGTATAAAGAAAATGGACAACCAGTGGTGCATAATCACTTCTCACATTATGGAAGAAATAAGCTTGACTATAAAGATGGAGATTCCTATTCCCAGGGCAATAGTTATTACAAAAGTTCCGGTTATAGCATAGACGAGCATTACTCAAATGATGAAAAGTCTCCAAAGGTAGACAGTCATTCATTTTCTTACTCAAAAAAAGAATCTTTCAATGAACCAATAGCCGACGATTACCCAACATACCCACATCCGGACGCCCATCGACAAGCGGCGCATGCACATTCACACACTCAACAATATGGTCACCACCGGTCAAATGCTCCGCCTCAAAGTCGCTTTAGCCATTCTGGATATCATCCAACGAAAAGAACAAACATACCCGACCATATTATTCAGCAGGTTGTGGAAAAACTTCTGAGCGAAAAGAAATCAATGAAACGTGATGACCATTACCATGATAGACATAAGAAGGAACATGACGATGGCTCATATGAGAAGCGAAGATATAGAAAAAAGAGAAAACCAGTCAAAGGTATAGCATACAAATCAATATAAAGGCGTGTTGTTTATTAATCCATAATCGTTTTATTACTAAACTGGAATCTCCAATACTTTTAATTTGATCATATTTTAATTACCAATTTGTAAATTAATGATACATTCTTTAAATTGTTATTACTATTAGCGTCGCATGTCGCGTTGTCACGGCCACGTACGAAATTTATTCAAAAACTCATAATATTTATGTACTTCCCTTGCAGTCTCGTTACAGTAAAATCCGCCATTTTGAAAATAAATGAATGCAATTAATTAAACAGAGACAAATGATGAATAGAACCTAGAATATATTACCGGATTTGTGAATGTTCGGGTAAAATCGTAGTTTCAAGATTAGGCACTGTTACCATGGAAAACATTTGGATTGCTTGGATGACCGTCTTGATATTTCTAAGTCAAAGACACGCCAAGGCAGGACCTGTCGGATGTGAGTATAACAGTTTTGATCATAGTTAGTTTAATACCAATGTATACAAGGAATAATGATAATTAAATTCAACAGATACTTTCAACGTACCATCCCAATATGTAACTTAATATAGCACATTTTGTGACACGAAGTGTATATCTTAATAAACTTGATTTACAGCCTGCGGACTCAACCCCCAATTGTTCCTCTCTGACAGTAAAGATCGCTGCAAATACTATTGGTGTGCAGGGGGTGCTATTGCAGGACCATTCAACTGCGCTCCTGGAACGGGTGTTCCCTATGGACATACATCCAAAGCCAACCCATGTACTATTCCAGTTGATAGATGCAAGAGCAACAATTATAATAGCGGAGGGTCAGTTTATAAGAGCCCTAGTGTATCCATAACATGGGATGCTGGACACAACCCTAACCATCACTACAATCGACAAAATTCAAAGGTCAACTCTCATGTAAAGCATCACTACAATCCACACAATACGAAGATCAAATCTCATGGTGTAAACAACATGCCCAATCCTCATGGTGTAAATAACATGCCCGCGGTTACATACTTCAAAAACGACGGAGCTAAATTTTATGAATTCCTACAGTCAAATAAAGGACACTACCCACTGGTGCTGAATCAGTTATTCTATAAAGGTCCTCCTCAGTCCAATTTTGGCCATAAGCAGACACATACTCAAGTTAAACCCAAACCTGTCAAATATCACAACAGGCTAGCTCCATCCCCGTTCAAACACCCGATATCGCCAAACCGACAAAACACCAAACCTAATAACTTCTTACCCAAGGCATATTCTCAGGTCCAGACAAGTGTTAATATTCAGAAGCCAAAGGCACCTGATATAGGAACAATCATTGGCATTTACAAGGCTGGAAACGATCTGTTTGTCAAGTCGAAAGGAAGGAACAAAGTGAAACGTAAAGTTAATGATATTGATGAGAAAGATGACAAAGATGACAAATCCCTGCAAATAAAAGCTACTGTCGATAATGTAACGAACGAGGTTAATAAAAAGAAAGATGATACAAAAGAAAAACCATTGAACGACCAGCCAGATCAGACACTGAGCGATGGATACCACACTAAAACTAACCTTGATATCATCAATCCTGGCTTTAATTCCTACAAACACGACGCACATGCTGCTCACCACGGTCCCATTAACATAGGTCAGCCCCCACCTGGTAACGTTTGGGCTGGGAGAGTCGATTTGGTAAACACGGGCCAATTTGCCTTGTTGACTACACCAGATCCGAGCAAACTTGCAAAGGTTGTCCTAGTAGATGCCAAACAGGATCCATATGGTTTGAAAGGTCCTACTAAGTATGATTTTAGCTACGTAAAGACCAAGACCAAGGAGAAAAAGCACGGATATGACGAAGATTCGTATGAGCATGAACATGAATACAAACCAAAGAGGAAGAAGAAAAAGAAGCACAGTTACCATGACGATCATGACGATTACGATGATCACCATAAATATAAGCCTAGTTACAAAAAGCAGAAGGGTAAGAATTCAAAAAAGGAAAAAATATATTTATTCAATGGAAATGTAAAACATGTCTATGTCATGTTTAGTAAACGGATAGACGTTTTAGTTCATAATCTAGAGGCCTAGTTATACATCAAAAATATATTCAATCTGCAAGCTTTTCATTGCATTCATGTTAGACTTGTGACTCGCGAAATTTCAGTCCTGTCTCTGTGCTGCTTTATAACAAATTTATTTAATTATTGTTAGAATATCAGAAAATAATGACATAAAATTTTGATAATTGATTTCAGAAGAATCATTATAATTTTATTGGTTTTATGTAATTAAAAATTAATGACATTTTCACATGATGATATCATGTGAGTACTATAAAAAATATTACACGCAGCGTTCCAGACACCAGAATCCCTAACTAATTACAAATATTTGTATTGTGAAATGAGATTTAATTTCAAACATAATTGGGAAAGTTGAACTATGAGGTTCAATAACACGTTTTGCTCAGAATAAGGAGTTTGCAAAAATATAAGGACATTGGGAATTCGACATCGTTCTACAATGGCCTTACTAGCCTTCATGTTGACGTTGAGATATGTCTTGGGATTTGTCGCAGGTGCCCCGATATCAGGTAAAGTAATATTTAAGTAAAAATTTAACAAACTTGTATCGTATTTCAAATTATCGAGTTCCTATTTTTCACAAATGCCATCCATTAGGATAGTATTCCAGATAATTTGGTTAACGTATGTCAGCAACATGAAAGAGGTTGAGTAGCATACTTTTAAGAGAACTTTTACAAGAATATGATCATGAAACATTACCACCCTCAAGGATTACCATTTTCCTCTCAATTGTTTTTTCAAGTACCTTATTAAAACTATCTTTGGTATACATTTATACTTATTCAAGTACATGATACGAAAAGGAGAACTAATTTCTAGAAAACTTGAAGTCTACACGTTTATGTGCAAGTTCTCTTTGCCCGTTTAGTTTCACCCTCTTATTTTCTTAAATGATGCACGTTCTATTCTATAACTTTTTGGGATTTGAAAGTCAACAGTTTTGCTTTTCTGAAGCTATAGGAATTATTGTATCGTATCGTATTGTATTTTTATTTTTCAGTATGCCTCCCAGGGTCGAACATATTCCTAGCGGACGTCGATGACAGTTGTATATACTATAGGTGTATAGATGGCGTGATGACTGGCCCTACCTGGTGTAAAGCTGGGACAGGAGTTCCACCCAACTTCAGAGATAACAGAAACCCATGCTCTGTGAAGTCACAAGAATGTTCCAAGACAATAACACGCCCTGGATATGTGGGGAAGAACAACAGAGAAACACATCATGTCCCAGCATCGTATTACGACTGGACACACACTAAATATTCAATGGCGATAGAAACGTCTATGCCGACGGGTGTCGAATACGGCTACCACCCTCAGTATAGTAGTTTCAGAACAACAGATGCAAAGTCTAAGAAGCAACGATTTTCTCAAAACAGGGTATCACAAAAAAACAAGCCTAACGACAGCGAAACAGTTGCTTCAAAAGATGGGCATAGCATGCTAAAAGATGAAAACCGGACAAGGTTTAAGAAGCGCCAAAATGAATCACAAGTCTCTTCAAAGAAACAAATCTCCAAAGGAAAACGAGCAAAGAAAGTGTTATCAAACAGAAAATACAACAGAGATGGGACTAAAAAGGAAGATGTAAGAGTCATCAACATCGCAAAAGTCATGAAACGATTAGCGAAAGCTTTAAAATATAGGCTATCGAACAAGAGTTATAAAAAATATGTAAAATATCAAAATTTTGCAACAAGAAATTCAACCAGACACAGAAGAAGAAAGCAAAAGCCAACTAAAGATACTTTAGGGGAAAACGGAAACCAAGCTACGGCTATAAATAAAAAAGATAGAATTAAACAGAAGACAGAGACCCAGGAATATACCCAAATAAAATCGACAAATGGTAACCATAAGGACCTTATTTCCACATCAAAAAAGCAAAACGATATCTCCTCTCAAAATTCTAATTCTTCAAAGGACAAGCACCAGATAAACCAGAACCAGAAGGACCAGAAAGGAGAAAAACAAAAGGGATCCCCAAAATTTGATATGAAACATTTTGTAATGCGAAGATTAGAGAAACTTATTCCAGGTGTTAAAATAAACGAGGAAAGCAAAATAGCTGAAAAACCTGGTCCAAGAAGTAACGTGAAGTTAAATGATGGATACGGTGACAAAGTTGAATACTCCTTGCAGAAAAAACACAGCGGATATGACGTAGAGTATGAAGTGAAGGATCGGAGCAACAATTATAAGAGCAATCCATTGGTCCAAGCTCTACATGGCCATGATACAGGGGGCGTTGTTGCAGGAGGACATGCTGGTCACCAAGTGTACGGGGGTCAAGTTAATCGCGTCCAGTTAGGCCAATTTGCGTTGCTCACCACTCCAGATCCGAGAAAGCTTGCAAAAGTTGTATATGTCGATTCCCCCGAAGGCAAACAAGGAGATTATGATTTTACGTTTGTGAAGAAAATTACTAAGAAAAAGGGTTATCACGATGACCATAGCGATGAAGGATACGATGATCACGATGATCATCACGATCATGGTTATAAAAAGAAAAGATCTTATCATAAACATGATCACGGCTATAAGCATGAAAAGAAGGAGAAAGGTATCCCAAATATAAAGCAGTATTGATATTTTTATTTGTTGCTTTTTTATACATTTTGCCTGTTTATCTTTCAATTTAATTTTACTGTTTCTTAAAATGATAGGATAGGATATAATGTTGACTGATTGGCAACAATGTAATGCAAAAATTATTTATATATTTTTTATATATTCTGTTTTCGTAAACATTTTAAGTGCAATTGTTTTCTGTTCTTTTCTACCAATTCTAGAGAATGAAATAAAATGTCTTTCCGAACCTTGTTGGAACAAAATAGTATATACAACATATTCTTATACTTCTCAATATTATAGTTATACAAAGGAAATTTGGGTTGATTTAACAAAAAGTATGGGAAAACTGAGGACAAAACCCCCCAAAATGGGTAAAACTTAAGATAAACCTTCTATTTCATTAACAAGATACTTTTTAAAATCAACCAAACTTTCCTTTGTACAATTACAATATTGAGAGATCTAAAAACGTTGTGTTTATGTCGTTTTGTTCCAATGAGGTTCGGATAGATGTTTCATTTCATTCCGAACATATGATACCAAGTACAAACAAAAGAAGTGTCTGGTGTGTTTTTTAAAACAATATAGAGAAAAGTATATATATTTCAAATTATAATGTTATCATCCAAAAGATGACCATTAAATTGCCGTTGTGTAAAATTTCCAGAATGTTTTGTTGGCTGGTTTAAGAGAAACGCGTGTTCAAAATGTTCACCATATCGATACCACTCCTTTATTCGCTGATTTGAATCTGAAACATAGGATCAAACTCACTTGAGTTGTCTTAAAATTCCTAAGGATTCATTACTTTATGTACTTCTGTAGAAATCCTTATATCGACAATGCTGACGCATAAACTATGTAAATTTTTATTTCTCTCACGATTGTAGAGGTACATCATGTCAAGTATATCCCAAAGATTGTGAAGATTCTGCTTCCAACGACGACCACACCACCAGCAGAAGGATTAGAGGCAGCAGGTAAGATATGTTCTGCTGACCTTTTACTATGTCATAAATACACTATAACGTATACACAAACGAATATTATTTCTTTAAGAAGCTATTCATAGTTCATGCAAAATATTTTTTGAAGTTTTATTTGTTTTTGATTGTTTAGGCATTGTCATATTTGGGGATTATCAAACGCGAACCATGGATGTCTTTTTGCGATTTACTATGCAATTAAAAACTGAGTGAAAGATATGATAAGTAATAAGTCTATCTGAAATAATAAACATTATTTCATATTCTAACCACCAGGATTGGATCAACTCTTCCCACTTGTAAATAGCGGCTTTCACATCAACGGTGGCATTGAGTTGTGTAGGGGCTGCAACATAACTTCCTGTCACCAGCATTGCAGGAACACGCCAAGCTGCATGTCAGTTGATTGGAACTACATGGAGAAAGCCTGTTTTGCACATACACATGACACCGTGTGCAATACTATGACTGCCAAAGATTCAGTGACAAACTATAAAAGAGTTGTATGCGGTACGTTTAGGGTAGCTTATCGACAAAAGCATCAGTTGCATTTCACTAAAACCAATTTTATGAGTTTGAAAAATGCTAAAAGCACATCGTTATAACAAATGAATTTCATAAGTCTAGGCATGTAGTAGAGTAGAGTATAATGATACGTTGCTTCTCCGAGTAGTAAAGGACCATGCGAGGTATTGCACGTGATTTTGGACGGTCATCTTTCACCATGAGTTTATAATATGTTTTCCCAAACATATTGGAACCATGAGTATCAATATATTTTCTTTCAAGTGAAGTCCCAAAGATAGTAAAATATCAATTAAACTCTCAGAAAAATTATGGTTTAGGACCCCACCTTAACACTTTTTAAAAAGTGTAAGCCTTATTTTCTCTTGTTTTTCTCAATTTAAATATATCAAGAGTTTCTTCTACACTATATCAACAATTCCTGAAAAGGGATTTGAAATGCGCTAAATCACATATCACGAAACTAGACCTTCAAAGAATCTACTTTTAGAGACGTTTTAGACCCCGTGTTGAATAATCTGTTCATGCAATAAATATCAGGAAAAAAAGATCCTCTTTTGAGTAAAAAGGCTCAACATTTTGGAAAAAGTGTTAACATGGGGTCCCTATTCATAATTTTTCGAATTTTTTGATTGATATTTTTTATCATCATGTGGACTTCACTCAAAAGAATACATATTTTTAATAAAAAACACTGTATTTATGCCCAGTAAGATATGGCTGTCTAAAATCACTTGCCATACATCACATGGACCTTTTAAATTAAGAATATGATTTTTAGTTGCGCCCGCTAACCCAACACCTGTTGCGCCTCGAGTACCACCACCGCCCAATGTTGTTCAGCAGCAGACATTCCAGCAACAACCACAACTAATGCAGCAACCACAAATGATGCAGCAACCACAAATGATGCAGCAACCACAAATGATGCAGCAACCGCAGATGGTGCAACAGCAGTCACAGATGGTGCAGAGGACGCAACAAGTCCTACAGCCAATGCAGCCCTCGCAAATGAAACCATTGATGCCTGTGGGCTATAGAGCACCCACGGCTGGATTCACAGCAGGTCGTCAGAGTGGGCCTAGTAGTAAGTTTAATGTATAAATATGAAATCTTTAAAACTTGTTGTTGAAAAATCCCATGATTAGCTTGCTTATTGAAAATAGTGAAAATAATGCAACATCCCATTTCAATCTCACCAGGGAGCATTAGTGGAATGTCATGTTACTTACAACATTCATAGATGTATTGTTTTTCTAATTAGACTCAATGCCTGCAAATAAAACAGAAGACCTTGTGGAATAATCTGTTAATAAACATGTCATTGTGTCCCTAATCATCCAAAAGTCAATTTTTGAAAAGCAAATTGAGATTTTTGATCAAGTATTGAAAATATATCGAAAACTACATGATGCAGACGCGTTTTCGAGTTCAATAGATATGAAGATGAGAATCTTCGCTAATGATCTTATAACCTTCGTGAACTATTGTTGTGTGAAAAAAAAACATTTCAAAAATACTTTTATCATTTGAGACTAGATCCTCTTCTATAATAAATGACCTATAAACTGATCCCGTCCTGGAATAATTGTGCATCCATTTATTCCAGGACGGGTGGTTAGTCGTGGACGAAGGCGCAGACGGCGTGGCTAGACCAATTGAAGTACAATATATGCACGGGCATGCCTACAATAAGGACGATTAAAAGATCTCTACCAAACACAACAACGACATATATCCCTCATCATATCACTAAATTCGCAATCACTATTTATCAGCTATACATATGTATATATTAAAATCGCAAATTGACTAGCATTAGCATGTCATATGTCTTGACAGTTTAGAAGAATTTTTAATGTATATTAATCAACCTAGACTGTAAATCGCAACTATGAAGCAGTAAAATCCAACATGAGTTTAACTTATTTACTTTTATCACTGTTTTTTATTTCTGTGATTGGTTTTCCTTTCCCAAAGCAGGCCATATTAAATCAATTTTGCAAGAATTAAATAAGGGTTATGAATTTCAGCGACCTGTCACAGTGGTTTGTCGAAAACAAAGGGGATACTTATTTTTGTTTTTCTCCTTTTTTACACTTTTTGTCACAAAATTCTATGACATTTACGATATTCCGAATATAATCAAACTTATAATGTCACCCAAAAGTTCTCCTTTTAAGAAGCCAGACTCGTTTACTTTCACAATGTCTATGTTCCATTTAATTATTTAAATCTTTGAAGTTTGATTATAATTATAGTTCTGAATCCCAATTCATTTCAAGATTAGAACTTAACATTTTCAGTATCATAATGTAAGTATATCTTTGAATCGAAATGAATGTTTTTATCATTTGCAGGTGTATAATAACGGATATGTATATGTAAAGTTATATATTAGGAAATTAGCATGTTTCTGTATACCTCGGCTATCGTTGCGATTAGTCTATCTTTAATTCTTGCCTTTGCCCGCCATATCACTAACATTGTAAGGTTATTCTTTCAGTACTACCTCCTGGTTGGTCGGCCTACCCAGGCTGTAAAGTCAGCGGTGGCAAGTTCATTACAGATGGTCTGAAAGGTGATATGTGTTTTGACCTCTGTAAGCGCTTGCCTAGTTGTCTGGCAGTTGACTTTAACAGTGATGATGGCAGTTGCTGGGTACACGACTCCAAAACCTCCTGCAATGATAAAGAAGGTGCAGTTAAAGTGTACCATGCAAAGAAAGTGATCTGTCGTGAGTACAATAAGTTTAATTAATTTTCTAAACAGCTTATTTTCTGACTAGCTAACTTCTAACGAATAACAAATTAGTTAATTTTCTAACTAGCTCTGTGTTTCTAACTTACTACTTTTCGTACTAGCTAATTGTTTGTCTACGAATATATGAGCACAATGACCAAAAGTATAAAAAACAAGAATAAAGATAATTTTACTACAATTTAGAGTTGTTTATTAGCGTGTTAATGTTTTCCACAATGGTAATAATAAAACTGGAATTGCATTTATTTATTGATCATGAGCAAGTATGATTGTATGATTTAAGACAAACCTAATGTTATGAATTAATTCCTATTTTATCGTCATGTTTCAAAATGGAGCATATAAGATCGGGTGTTTAGTTTTTTCCACGAAAAGCATCCTTGTTGCATACTATTTTAGGCAAATTCTTATATTCGGAATACAATGCAGTTTTGAGAGAAAGTGGAAAGATATTGAAATGGGTGTCATTTAAAGCGTTTTCTCTTGAAAATCAGTTTTCTCGAAATTGACACTGGCCTTTTATTAGATAGAAATAGACTTTTTATTAATGCTATTATATATTTCACTGTATTTCAGCTGCACCATACCCACGGCCGATAGCAATAGCCCCAAGGGAAACCTACAATCCATGACCACATGGCCCTGTTAGACACACTAATAACACTCATAATTTATTATCTGACTACCACTAATACTTTATAAGTAAGAAATACGGGTCTAGCTAGATATTCATCCATGGAGCCATTCATTTGATAAAATACCAAGTGATAATGTGTCATTGTTCACACAAGTAAGCCTCGATACCAATTGCTTTTATGTATAAGATCATTTAAGATCTGATTGGCTTCAAGGATTGAAATTACAATACTAGACATAGAGCGAATTTTGGAGTCATATCAAAACTGGATAAATCAATCAAATATGATGAAGCAGTTGAGATTACATCGACAAGCTTTTCCACGATATAAGAAATAAATCCGCAAATATGCTGATCAGCTTATTCATATTTGAACTTTTGGGTGTACTTGTCATTATGTCATGATCAAACTAATTATTGTAATAATAAGTGTTTGTTAAGCATAATACGGAGTTTAAAGACATACACCAGTGCTCTGAAGACGCAGGTTACAATCGCTAATTGAATTATTATGTAAATATTATCTATAATCTTAATAGGTTTTCCCTTCTGTACATTCTTGTATAAAACATCCCGTTATTTAAATACATAATGATACAAACAATAGATCATGTGTTTCCTGTTCATTTAATTCAATTTTATCCGAGGATTCGTGCGAAAGATGTCACGAATGTTGAGTTACAGATGGTATATATATATCGAGAATATTATTCCAACTACTCAATTCAATTATTCCCTTCTTCAAAAGATGTCATAACTGATAACACCATTTTAGCAGTCCATTAAACAGTAGTACATATTTCAACTCAGGCCCGTAAGACACTTTTCTCCAAGGGGGGTGCGGTTTTTACTAAAGAGAATATAAAATTGTCAATTTTTTTTCGCGTAAATCAAATCGCATAGGTCAGAGGGGGGGGGGTCGGGTTTGGCATTAACAAATGCAACTTCAAAACGTTCCAATTGTTTTGTGGGGGGTGTGAGGAGTGGTCCACTCCCCCTAGAAAATTTTACAATTTTAAGATGCTGTTTGGTGCATTCTGGGCACTTTCAAAGTGTATGAGTCAATAAAAAATTTGAAAAATCTTAATTTCTTTTTCACTTTTTTTTTTGGGGGGGGGGGTGTCAAGGGGGGTGCCAGAGGGGGAGGTGGAGTGGGGATGCCAGAGGGTGAGTAAGTGTTAGTCTCCCAGAATCATTAACTATATCAAGGAGCTATTTGATGATGTCTGGGCAATTTAAAAGTGTCTGAGACAATACATAAAACAAATTCAGAGTTTTTCCATTGTTTTGTTTGGGGTGTGAGGGGTGGCCCACTCCCCCTAGAAATTTTTTCAATTTTAAGACACTATTTGGTGCTTTCTGGGCACTTTCAAGTGTATGAGTCAATTAAAGAATTTGAGAAAATCACATCTTTTATCCAATTTTTTTTTTTTTGGGGGGGGGTCAAGGGGGGCACCAGAGGGGGAGGTGGTGTGGCGATGCAAGTGCAAGATGCAAGAGGGGGAGCAAGTATTAGTCCCCTAGAAACACTAACTGTATCAAGGAGCTATTTGATGATGTCTGTGCACTTTAAAAGTGTCTTAGACAAAACACTAAAATAAATTTAGAACTTTTCCATTGTTTCGTGGGGGAGGGGGTGTGAGGGGTGGCCAATACCCCTAGAAAATTTCACAATTTTAAGATGCTATTTGGTGCTTTCTGGTTACTTTCAAAGTGTATGAGTCAATGAAAAAAAATTACAAAAAAATATTTTTCAAAAAAAAAAATTTCCAATTTTTTTTTTTTTTCTTTTTTTTGGGGTGTGCCAAAGGGGGGTGCGGTCGCACCCATCGCACCCCCCCCATCTGACGGCCCTGCAACTTCAAGTTAAGAATTAGATGGCATTGTTTACATTTCCTAGGGAGTTTCTCTTAAATAAAATTTAAGCCAATTTAAAAAATTAATTTAATCAGGTGATTCTTTAAATGAAGGTGCCTTTACTATCAAATTGATAGTAATTTTGAACTATTAAATCCTTAAATGATTCAATACTTGTATCTTATTTGAATGCTTTATCATCTCGACTTGTCTCTTGCATTCTATGCATTGATATATTGATCTGCACCTGCACGTCTTCCTGATTTGCAATCGAAGGGGAAGTGGAGATGATACGGTTAATCATAACTGTTCAGGAGACATTTGAAAATGTTTTAACAAGCAAATTAAAATTTCAATTAAGGACTTGACTCGACTTTCTGATGGTTACGTAATAGAAGAGAGCTGTTAGTCATTACTTTATATAATAAACAGTCTTTCAATCTTTATTGACTTTCGAGAAGATACTTTTGTGGGTATATTGACTTTTATATGAATGAAGTGAGTAATTGAAGTGAGTTGGCATTAGGAACCTATTTCAGATTTTTATCTTTCGTAAATTGAAGTCGGTGTGCATAAAGCGATCTAATAAACACACAAAGGATGACATAATCTCGAATATTTACTCTATCTAGTATTTTCCATTTCAGTTTCTGAACAGAGATAAAATATAAAAGTACCCTTATTCTATATCATGTTACTACTATCATATTTTGACATTTATGGCAGGAAATAATTCAATTAATTAAATTCAGAACAATATGTTTAAATATCGATAAATTAATAAAAGATCACGAGGCGATGTTTTCAGGCGTATTGAGTTATGCCATTAGTAAGGCTTGCTTTTATTGTTTATGCACCTGTATATGTGTTTTTCACTTTTCATAAAAAGTTCAGTTTGAGACAATGATTAAATTCATAAATATTCAAAATGTAGCCTCGTTACATTGTAAATACTGTGTCCATTTTGCTTTATTTTTTATTTTCACAAACATAATCTATAGTCATCGATAGACATCAAAATGAATGTAATTTTACGTGGAATGTTTCATTAACAACTAGTACTATAATTTCCAATAAGCATTTTTGTACCGTTCGTGACAATGAATATAAAGGGAAAGTATGGTAGTTTACATGCACAGTGGTTAGTTTATATCCATTCTCAATATTTGATAGATATCGGTAATCTACGTGTAAGTATGTATTTCAATTGGTGTATTTAGTTATGTTCTACAAACATTAATTACTATTTAGTACGTACTGTTCAGGAAAGAATGATGCGTTCGATATGCAAATTTTGACATAATTATTGACAAGTACAGTTCAGTCATGATTTCTACAATGCACCATTTTTGGTTTTTATGGGACAGCTAACATTTTAATTAGCAGGGCACGTTTTAAATGAATCATAAAAATAATGCCTAGAGGGAGACAAACGACTCTATGACCCCTGGAAGATGTAGAATCCCCAAATGGCATTTATTAATCAAAATCAAGTAGCCAGGGTTCAGTATTATCGTGCACACGAAATCAAAATGACTTCAATGGGACTGAAACGCTTAAACACATTTCTCATTGGAATTCTTTGTTTTTCTTACGCAAGATGTCAGGTTACGCAGCTAAACCCAAGTAAGTATTTGTTTTACCTTTGTTTCAATTTAAAAGTGCATTTTTGTTCATTTTGGTTCATTCTAAAGAGACAAAAGCAGATTTTAGTAATTATATTTCATAAAAATGCAAGATGCTTTTTTGATTTTTACAACTTATCATTTAAAATTTAAAAGGCAAGAGACAAATTTGGTCTTAACATTTTTTGTTTTAGGCTATATTATCATGAGCGCAAAGATTCTTCATGGATTTCAACAATAAATTATTCTTCACCATAATTAGAAATATTTGTGCTTCTACTGAAATGTACTCTCTGTGTAGGTTGCTCGGGTATTTCTGGCATTCTCGCACAAAGAGACCCCGTTAACGTGTGTCGATACTATTGGTGTATATTAGGGAGGTTATACGGACCATTCCTCTGTCCACGAAACAATCAAGGGTTCCAGACATCAGTTCCGACATCAATGCCAGCATTTGGAAGTCCCTGTACGATTACTTTACCCGCTGGATCCCAGTGTGGTACGGCGGGATCAGTAACAGGAATACCGTTCATTACTACCCCTAGGCAAATCAGTCGTAAGTAGAAATAAATCAGATATTTTCATTTACCTTCTAATCTGTCTTGGTGTTTATTGGATGTTTAGAGATGTCAACAAGTTCTGCAAACATGGACCCTCTCTCTTTTCTGTTTTACTAATTCCTTATGAATACCAGTATGATATAAAAGTTAACGGAAATAGGTGTTGGCCACTGTTCGGGGCACGATATACGTCGTATATCGGTCGTTTGTCTTTTATTGCAGAGAGAGTGGTTAACTTCCACATTCAAAATGGTGTTAAGCAGGTGGGCATCAGCACAGAGGCGAGGTGTATCGCTCAATGTAGAGCCATGTCTCAATGTGTTGTGATTGACTTCAACTATAACACGCAAGAGTGCTTTCACCATACGAGGATAACAGGATGTAACCCACCTTTGCAGCTACAGAATAATGCTCATGTGAAACTTTTGGATTGTGGTAAGTAAAATATAAATGTGTATCGCCAATACCCGACTTTGTCAAATTGAATCCCTTTAAGGTCTACTTACAAAATATCAAAATAGTAAATCCAAAGGAAAAACTGGCCATTCACCTGTGCTTGATTTCTTAGCTTCAACTGCTGCACCAACTACAGCTTTACCGACCCAAGGTTTCACAACAGCTGCACCAGTGATAACAACAGCTGCACCAGCAGTAACTACAGCTGCGCCAGCAGTAACTACGGCTGCCCCTTTGATTACTACAGCTGTCACACAAAGCCCGCAGACGTCAGCGCCAGCCGTGGGACCGGGAACACAAGTGCCTCCAACAGGTAGTTTTCGATTATTGCGTGATATTTTATTTTGCTGACGATATTTTATCTTTATCAAATGCAGAACCTTGTACAATTCGTATTTAGAAAAAGAAGGGGACTTGCAGGTACATGCCCTCCCGAGACCAATCACTCAAAAACGTCATCACGTAGTCTTCCAAATGAGCATGAAAACGTCAGCATAAAGAATGACTTCTAAGTGAAAATAGTTGTGAAAAAGTAAAAGGCTGTGGAAACGGGAAGTGCATGTACATGTACATGTAGGTGATTTAAAAATAGGCTATTGTTCATATAGAGAATAATTCCAGATATTTATCAAGTCGTCTGTATTACAGAATCAGATCCAGGAGCATATTTTCTATATTCGTAGGATTTGTTATGTCCAGTCCTGGTATGCATATTGTGGGTGGCACGGAGATTCTACCTGGTCAGTTCTTTACCCAGCAGCAATGTCTTAACCAATGTCTCATGGACGCCAACTGTCTCGCCGTTGACTATAACGCTGCCACCATGCAATGCTTTTTCCACGGGACACTTACCTATTGTAACACACCTAGGTCCAAGACTAGCTGTACCCATTTCAAAAGAGTCAGTTGTAACCCAAGTGAGTGAAACTAGAATACAGATTTTAATATTCATTCATATGATTTCAATATCAACTACAATTTAGCGTTTTTAAACTAGTGTAAAAGAAACTCGAAAGGAGAGATAGTGCCATTTGGCCGATGATTTGTAATAAGACCATCATTGAAGAATGTAACGAAGGGGACAACGTTTACACATGTTGCCATACTACGTAGATGCTTAATTAAGTCAAATCGTACCTAATAATAGGCCAATGCAGCAAATTATGCCACTCGGTGGTTATAATGTCATCTAATAGTTTCAAGACAGAAATATTCTAACTAAGCTTATTTTCAAACTATCAAAATTTTACTTACAAACCGTATACTGCTTACAAAGTATGACACATATACATACTCGCTTCTATATTCTATTTTCTTGCCTCGCCAAGAGAGAGGATCAATTGAAAAGTTGAATTGAAGACATTACGTAACATGTTGATATGAACACGCAATGATTTCCACAGGTGGTCAAAACAATCTTGTTGAGATTCGATCTGGCTTTCATCTTTTTGGTGGATCACCAACGACTTGTCTTGGGTTCACAACGTGTAGCGCCAACACGTGTGTACAAGAGTGTTGCAGGGATCCTGCCTGCTCTGGTGTCGATTTCGACCAGGGCACTAGGGCGTGCTTCAAGCATACAGATGCCACAGAATGTACAACTCTAAACGCAAAGAACAACTGCACACATTACCGGAAGAGAACATGTCGTAAGCTTAATCTAATACTATTCTTACTATCCAGACAGTGTTGATGAGATTACAATAGCCGATCTAATACCATAAAGATCGTGGGAACTCGTGGGTCAAAATAGGCTGCGACTGTATAAAGTTTAATATGAAGGACAAAGTACAAAAAAGTCAAGCATCCATCACGTCTGGGTCGTAGTCATGCGCAAAATTTGTGCTTACATAAAAAAGGCCTTGGGATTCCAGTTTCATGAGACAATGTGTATTTGATTAACAACATTGACATAGAAAACATATGGCCTCATTCCTAAATATATCGTATGTTTGTATGTTGCTAAGTATACCCTGAATTATATTACAATATTACGTTTCATTAGCTGGGACCATTATATCCCCCGGAGTTGTTCAGACCACTGCAGCCCCGGGAGGTAGTGTTGTTACCGAGGGCCCAGCAACTGTCACTGCTGCTGTAACGACAGAGGCGCCCTCAGGTGGGCCAATTGCAGCAGACACAACCGGTTTTGTACAGATAAGCCAGCCGGGGCCAACAGGTACGTTCCATATGTTTAAAACGCTTGTTGGTACAATGTTATATATTTGTAAACGCTGATGAGTCCAAATTCAAACATGTCGCTAAAATATTTTGTGTTTCCATGTCATGCCATCATCCAGCAAGGAATCTTAAAAATTGAACATAGTCTAATAGAAAGAATCCAACACTTAATATCACAGTATTTGATTTGACAAATTAGATATTTGAGAAAATGTGCAACATAGTTCATATGTTTCAGTACTACCATGTAACAGTTATGCATATCCGGGAATGAACATCGATGGCGGCCAGCCCTTTCCCAGTAACAATCTCAGCGGCGACCAATGTATCGCAATGTGTATGACGGAACCCACTTGTATGGCTGTTGACTTCAACTCACAGGACGGAAGCTGCTGGGCTCACACAAATGCAACTATGTGCGGTCAGCTGAACTCAAATAGTGGAAATTATCACGTGAAATTTGTTGTATGTGGTAAGTGTTACATGTTACATTTAAAAAAACTATTTCGTGAAGGTAATAAAATTATATTCATTAAATAGGACCGCTTTATCAGAAAGATATGTTTTTGTTATGCTATTAGGAATTTTGATTTTGTATTATTTCATTTTGTTTATTCATTTGGTAATTCTAGTATATTGAACATACTTTACAAGTCAAATATGCCGTTACTCGTACCTTTTCTAATTCATAATTTTGTGTTTAATTTCTAGCTGGTCAGACGCCTGTACAAAGCAATACATGTTAGCACTTCAGTGGAACAGGTCCTTATGAAGTAGACTCATTAGAGACGACATTATCCAGATAAATATATCCTATGGACAGTTTGACCTTTCATAAATATGATACGATTGGCTTAATATGACAAAACGACACTCTGGAGAGAAACGAAAACTGTACCTTAATGATGACTTCATTAGATAGATTTGATAGAAATAGGAAAATACACTTAGTTTATTTAATATTGCACTGGTAAAGTGAAGTGAATGGACAAATAAATGACTGCATTATTATAAAAACACTGGAAAACCGATACTATAGTGTATTATTTGTGAACTTATCTATATTAAAGTGCATGTAATTAGTGAAAATTACATCTCCCTAGCCATAGTGGTAAATTAGATTTTGAAGACTATTGGAATACAGAATATAAAGAAATGTTTAGTATCTATTTTATATAATGTTACATTGTATTTTCATTTTGAAAAATCTTATCATTTGCAATCGAATAGTTTACGAAACACAAAAATTGTCAAATGATTTCTTTCTATTGTTACGAAAACGGACAGGTTAAAAGTACAATTCAGTACACTACAACTTTTTAACTTTTCGTTTACGTAACAAAAGTAACGATTTATATTGCCGATTCTGGCTTCCTGTGAACTATTCGATTAGACTAATATTAGGTTTTCTTTAAATATAAATTTCTGCGCCGTTCGACGTCTAAAGGTTGGGCGATAGTGCCCGATTTTCGTATTCGGATCAGAGCAAATATAACTTTGGCAATTTCAATAGACAGTGAATTCTTCAGATAAAATTTCATAAGTGCATTATATTTACACATTATGTGACATTGACAAATATTGAAGTCACATTTATTCATAAAGATATAACTTTCCTTCAAAGGTAAATTTTCAGAGTATTTTTTGTGTAGAGTCTTATACAAAAGTCTTGACAAAGAATTTCATCCTGCTTGCAGCGAGAAGACGGACCGGTTCGGGGCAATCTGCTTGCAGCGAGAAGACGGACCGGTTCGGGGCAATAGCTGAAGAAATTCTTTGTTACAAAGTTTGGCATTTTTTATAAAATCAAACGCGCGTCATTGAAACTCACAAGATGTAAATAGCATGTCATTTACATCATACCTTGATGGGGAAAAATATATCTTATATGTTAGAAGTACTAAATAAAAGTTATCGTGAAAATGAGACAGTCGTTCTCGAGAGAAAAGAGCATAAATGCGCATTTAGAGTGTTTTGGTCCGTTTAAAAATCTGTAAAAAATTGGGGTACTTAAAAGCATCGGGAGGCATCATATATTTCAAATTAGACACGAGGAAGTCAATATTGAGCAAGTTATGGCTGTTTTAAATTCAAATAAAACCGTTAACCCGTACCGGTCCAGCTTTTGACCCGTTCCGGTCAATTTTCGTTAGCTGCGTATACCAAGGGTGAATACACACAATTGGTATACATAAGCTACCGACAAGGAACCGGTCTGATACAACAGCGTGACTGATGCGGTACAATATATTGACATTTTTAGTTACAATTATCCATAGCTTACTAAAAATATTTAATTTTTTCTGTCAAATTTGAAATCTATGATATCTTTGGATATTTGGAAACTCCCCAATTTTTATGAATTTTTAGACGAAGCATTGTTCGTGAGCAGTGAATAAATTATGAGTTTTATGATTTTTGATTTTTCATGAGTTTTATGATTAATTAAATTAAACAAATGAATATAAATAACGTTTTTTTCATTTGTCTGTTCAAAAACTCATGCCTACAAGTGGTGGCGAAAGCACATGCTTGTAGACTTATGATAACACCATAATTATGATCTGTTTCACAATTGGTTTTGGGCTTGCTCTATTTAGCACTTTAGAATTCAATGAAATCAATGTTAGAGCAACACCAAGCGATGAGGCTTTCAAGCGACTTGCACTAGATGTCAATTCACTTTCAATCATGGTTGTTGAACAGCAACGACGTGTAGGAGACCAAGATATGGAAATTGCTGCGTTGAAAGAAAATGATGGCAAACTGGAAATCATAATTGAACAATTGGAAGAGAAATGTGATGAAAAATGTAAGGGAAACCGCGGCTTTCCGGGAAAGAGAGGGCTTAAAGGAAATCCAGGTGTAAACGGCAAAGCTGGACCAAATGGGTTAGATGGTGAAAAAGGTGACAGAGGACCAAATGGTACACCTGGTGCAAAAGGTGAAAAGGGAGACCGAGGGCAAACTGGTTCACCTGGAAATAGTCCAGACGGTGAGTTTATATCCACTAGCCAAATCATTAATTACTTTATGCAAATCGATTCCACAATTGTTTAATGAATATTTAATATACGATTCCAACATGAAGTCAATGGTATACCCTGTAGAGGAAACCCGCTTCTTCTTTATTGAAACAACTTTTGTTTTGTTGAAATATAATTTTACATAGTGTTTTCGTTGACCACTCACAAAGGTATTTTTGTAGCTTTTGAACAGTTTTTGAAACGACAATAAAGAAGATAATGAGATGAGGGCTCGTTTAGTCGTCTGGCTGTCTACGCTGTATATTCCTTCTCATAATTTGTGTTTCGTAATTAGCGTAGCGCGCCTACATCAATATCATATTCTTTACTCACTTTACTTTTTGTGTGTGCTACTTGTTAATGTGCTTTGTAAAATATCATTAAAATATACTACTCTACGGGCTGTCAATGCACGGCATCTTGGTCAACTTTTGTAGAGGTCCTTAGAAGTGTGGTAATTGGACAAGAAAAGAATGAAATATACACATTGCATGTCTTGTACATCAATAGAAGCCAAGAGTCAATCATGAACTACTTCATCATGGCGTCTAATATAAAAAATATTAGGGTTGTTCGAAAAGTTTTGCACGAAAGCTTCAAGACAAGAAATTTTATTATTTTTCCATGAGATGTAATACAGATATACTATCACCCTTCTTACAACCATATGTGAAATTTCAGGACCGTAGACAATGCACTTTCTAAGATACATTTTACAAAATTTAAACCAATGGGCCCATAGACCATGTGAAGATGATTACATTGAATTGATTTTGTGAATGCCTTGGCTGAAATGGTTTGGTTAACCTTTGTTCTGTCAGGTGTCAGTCAGTTTATGCTATAATATAACTAATTGATGTCTAATCTAAATATATAGTAATTAATATGTAGTCTTCCTTTTTAGTAATGTATTACTTATATCATAATGTTCACTCCATAAGTAGACGTCTGAAACATTCTACCTCTAGAATAGAAACCCTTCTCATAATTACAGCTACCTTCAATTTCCATTCTCTCCATTCTCTAAATCTTTGAATACCACTACCAACTATGAAGAAGATTGGTTCATAATGTTATAATTAGGTATATCTGTGCAAACCCTTTTGAACAACCCTTGTACATCCAAATAAAATGCTAAATACACGTCGCACGAAACTGGGGACAATTAGCGTAACATTATGGCGTCAAAAAACAAAACAAAACAATGAGCAGTATAGGGCGCAAACAGCCTTACAACGTCAAAAACGACAAGCGTCACATTTTTTACAAGTTTAGTCAACCTAAAAATAAAATACTTTATCCTTATCTAATCATTACAAAATTTACAGGGTAGCAAGATCTCGAGGACAGTATTTCTAAAATGTTTTTGAATTTTGAAAAAAGGTCAAGAAATCCACTTGGGGCGTTAGTAAAAATTGATATGTATGGAATTTGTGGTAAAAAATCGATGCGTCACATTTTTTCAAGTCTCGAAAACCAGCTCTTATTTTGATATTATTTGCAAAATAAACAAACCGGTTATTGTTTTGTAAATTTCGCCATGACAATATTGTGCAGTTGAATTTTCTTTCAAATCAGACCTAAATTAGAAGGTTAAATGAAGGTAAACTTATTGCTCGTCCCATTCGCCTTCAAAACCTTACACAATTTTGAAAATTTTAAAAGCGTTCGTATAAGATAATTTGAAATGTAGCCGTTAAGCAATTGTGACGTCATAAATGCAAATGTTCCATTGAATAAATTGTGAAATTTAAGTGGGATTTTGATCATTGTTTCAAAAGTTATCTCAATTCCAACGAGCCCTGTAAGCGTAAAGTGTTACGTCTTACAGCGTATTTGACAATGTCGGAGTATATTTAACTTTAAAAATGTGTTGGATCCCATCAAAATTTTGAAGGAAAAATAATTTCATTGAAATGCGAATAAAAAATACTTCAAAATGATATGTAAAACACATAGTTGGATTTTTAAATAAGGCAGAGATTAACGTTCAAAGCTGAGATAAGCCCGCATTTCCCGAATTGTCCCCAGGTCCGTGCACGTCATAAAATTGCTTCAATTCAAATGGTATTTTACGCAATTGATTACAAAAAAGATTTTCCTTGTCATATCGACATTGTCCATTGTATTTGTCATCACTTGAGTATTTATTTACCTGAAACAGTGATAAAGTGGATGCAAGCATGTATAGCGTTAGCATTTATAGGTCCAAGTGTATCCTCATTTTTAACGATATTTAATATTCTAGCAACTGACAATGACGCCGTCATAACAGTGGCGCCCTCAAGTGAGCCAATCCCACTAGATACAACCGGGTTTGCACAAATTAACCAGCCGGGACCAACGGGTATGTTCGATAGGGTTAAATATGGTAGTTGGATAATGGAACAGTTTTACTAAACATAAAATTATTCATAAAGTTACATAATGTACGGAGCTATCGTATGGAAACATAGAAGTAAATCCTTCTTCTTAGTACACCGGATCACCATTTGAGAATTATGATATATAATTTACTACTCATTTTAAAGCTTACAGTAGTAGCTCGGACAGAATTGTTCAAATGTCACCTTTTCTTTCATAACTTTTTTAATTTTCAGTATTTCCAAAAACCGATTCGAAAACAATTCTCACATACAACGAAAATATTTTAGGAATATCTCTTAATTTATCAATATTTTAGGCGTTCATAGTATGAGTGACGCAAATACATAATTCATCATTTTGTCTCATATTTGTTCTAAAATAGCAGCATGCTTCGTAAATTTGAACGTTCAGTTGAACGTTGATATTGAAAGAATGACATAGGCCTTTTAAGATCATGCTGCCATTATTATGAAACTGATGCAATACAGGCCAATTATCAAATACAAGTCAAACTCCCTCCAAAGGGTCATGAACTCAAATCTTTTGAAATGGTCGGGGATTGTGTTCAGGAGGATGTGAAAAGGTGGCGCCCCAATGTGTGGGATGTGATGAGAGTATGAGCCCAATCTTTTCAAGAGACCTAAACAGCCATATCAGAGGCCTTTGAAAACCTTCAACATAATTAACAAGCATTGGTCGAGAAGCGTTAAAAAACAGTGACAGCGTGACCCTATAGCTCCACGAGTTAAACGAACTAGGGTTGCTAACCCACTCCAGGTAACATTGGAATGGTCGAAAAAACGTTATGTGCTGCGACTCTACCAAGTCCAATATACTGTACATACACTATATGATTTTTAAAGGATACATTCAAGTCAATTTAAAACAAAAAGGTTTTAGATGCAGCACTCACCTCATTCCAAAGCAGGGGCCGACTTCTTCATAGACATGACTTCATAGGCCTCTGACATTTCTTAAATATTATTTTTAATTGAACATTCAAATTCACGAAAACATGCTGCCATTTTTTAAATAAATATATGAGACAAAATGATGAATTATGGATTTGGGTCACTCGTACTATGAATCCCAATAATATTAATAGATTAAAAGATATTTATTAAATATTTTTTGTATGAAAGAATTGTATTGTAGTTTTCAAATATGTCATTGGTTTTTGGTACTACTGAAAATTAAAAAGTTATTAAAGAAATAGTGACGCTTGAACAATTCTGTCCGGGCTACTGATTTGGAAAATTCATTAATTTCAATCCTAGGCTTTGCGCGAAGAATCTCGTGACCATATATGGTATCCCTAAGAACAATATTGACATAAACAAAGTGCTTCACATGTATCTCTCAAAATCAGCCTACTAACAGGAAATCTTGTGTTTTAAAGGGGGTAGATTCGGAGGCATGGCCAATTTTTTCAAATGTGTTTGCAGGTCTAAACAAAATGTAGTTGTCCGGGTGCTATAGTAAAGGATCGATATATTGGCTCAAATATTTCGTATATCCGTTTTTCTAGCATGCTTTCGGAAAGTTATTGTACATAGAAAGAACGAAATATTTGAGGGAACGTTACATTATAGTAAGTTATGTTTCAGTACTACCATGTAACAGTTATGCATATCCGGGAATGAACATCGATGGTGGTCAGCCCTTTCCCAGTAACGGTCTCACCGGCGATCAATGTATCGCAATGTGTAGATCAGAACCCACGTGTATGGCTGTTGACTTTAACTCTCTGGACGGAAGCTGTTGGGCTCACACCAAATCAACTATGTGCGATCAACTGAAATCAAATAGTGGAATTTATCATGTGAAATTTGTTATATGTGGTACGTGTTACATTTTGTATATTTTCTCAAGAGCGCAGAAAAAATCATTTTCATTGAATACGAACGCGTTGACAACCCTCAAATAAAGTGTCTATACAGCGCGTCCCAAAAAACGCAACAAGCAAACATTGTAAAATCACAAAGCCAGTGATGATAACATCAATTTTATTTAATTTATCATGAAGCCATGTGTCTCCTCTTTCCAATGGTATGGCATTTGTTTATATCTGATGATGGACCACTGAATAATCATTGTTTTTTCGTGGTTGGGTGAAAAGACTTTGGGCCAAGTTTTGAAATATGCTTGGTCAACTGATCCAGAAACGGTTTTTCGAAAAACTGTTAAGATCTGCACTTTTAATCCAAACCGTTTATGTAACTTAAGTGAGGAATTTAATCGACGATTCTGTTGTCCTCTGAGCTATTTTTTCGCAAACATGTAAATTTTCTAAAACATATGATACTGATGATGATTGTGAGAAAAACGTCGTGGAGATTCTGCCTACAACACGTGAAATAAGGAAAAAAGAAAAATCGTACCTTCGACGTTCCGACATTTGTTACGGAAACGAACCGTTTCGGTAACCAGCGTAATCGAGCAGATCAGGAGAAAGAGGAGACACGCGGCTTCAGGGCAAATTAAATGAAATTGATGCAAGCATCACTAGTTTTGTGGTTTTACAATGTTCTTGATTGTTGCGTTTTGGGACATAGTAGCCGAACAACACAATTCCCAAGTCAGTATATATTTACTCTCATTTCTTCACTTTCAAGGTTAAGTCGCCACATTTTGCATCGATATTCCCAGGAGAAATCCTAACATAGAATTTTATTGGTTTTGATTATAATTTATTAGCTAAAAATAGGGAAAATTTTGATTTTGATTGGTCTATAACCAAAATATGCCATTTTGTGCAACAAATTTTGCGACGTATTTAATTAAAAAAGTCTCTACTCTTGGTGTAATAACTCCAAAATAAACATTTTTTCTTATTCAGCACACGTGTACTGTAACTGTTTTCGGTAATTGAGACATTTCCGAGAAAAAAAATAGTATGCAGAGACATGATATGTTAAACAAAACGAGGCCAAAAACGATGTTCCCTATATTTAATAAATGAATTTTAATCAAAACCAATAACATTTTATGTTAGGATTTCTCCAAGGAATGTGCATACAAAATGTGGTGACTTTAACTCTTAAAAGTGAAGAAAATGAGAGTAAATATAAAGACTTGGGACTTGAGTTGGTTCGGCTACTATGTTTCTAGTTTATTAAATATAGTTTGCAATTCAAATAATTTTAATTGTAGCTGGCCAGACACCCCTGCAAAGCAACACATGTTAGCATTTAGACGAAACGGGTCCTTACTGTAAACACAATCGCTACGCTACCCATGAATTGTTACACCAAAAATGTGGGTCTCACCAAAACCCTAGGCAGGACACCAATTGGGAAATCTGCTATTACTCCAACTCATTTACAGGACATTAGGAAGCAACTTAATATGGATAATTGCATTCATGTGGTTTTGTGGGGTGTCTGTTTGATGTTTGTTTCTATGGCCTGTTTAGGAGATCTAATGCCCTACCTTCAGAGTTTGACAAGAGCAAACATTTGTGTAGGAGAGGTGTAAATCCATGGGGGTCTTACTTAATGTAAAATGGTCGAAGACTATTCAGTCTGGAGAGAGAAACCTTGCCAGTTCCACTTACTGAGATCAAAGGCCATTCTCTTCCTCCAGTACCTGCACTACTATCTGCCCTTGCTGTTACGTTCCCCTTCAGCCCAGACTACCCCTTCTTTACTTTGCCCAAAGGTAAACCCTTTCACACTTCTCTGTTTTCATATCTCCTGGGCACTTGCTTGGCTAAGGTAGGTTATTACCGTACTTGTTTTCACCGCATTCCTTCAGGAGGGGAGGCTCATCCTTGGACTCTACAAAGAGGCCTTCCCCCTAATGTCATCCAGATTCTAGGTGACTGGGTTTATCTTGAATTACCTGTAGCTTCAAAAGTAGAAATGGCAAAAATCTTTTTCAACCAACCAACCTTCTACTGCTTTAATTAACATCAAGTTTGGGTTGATAATAATAAATGCTATTATGTAACTACTTTAATGCAATGTAATGTTATGTATTTTATATTGTATTATTACGTAACGTCTATTATTAACGCATTATATAATATTATGTAACTTCTATTAGTTTATTGTTTTAGTTTAGTTTGATACAATAGCTTATTTGACCAAATTTGCGCCTATATTTCTTAATTGGCATAATTTGAAATTTAAGTTTAATTTCAGTTGAAATAGATTTAAAGTAATTAGTCTCTATGATTAGTACCCTGTACAAATTTTTAACAGATGCACCTTTTTCCATTTAGCTATTCTACATCATTAAAATGGTTTATTATATCTTTTTACATCATATTTATTTGTTTCCCAGTTTGGCTTATATAATTTATATTTTGAGACACTTTGTAACATCAATAACAAATGTAACTAACAATATGCCATTTTTCAATTATTTCAGCTTGTGATAAGACATACACCCACTATATGGTGTCATTATCACTGATATGTATAAATGTTTTATATGATTTTAATAAATAAATAAAAAAAAGTATAGAGGTTGCCTTCTGGTTCTGCAGTTCATGCAAAGGCCATGAACTTTTAATTATGTCTAGGTAATCTTAATCACTTCAGCTACTGTAGTCAAGCATTAAACATGTAATATTTTTAGCTAATGCTCCCTCCCACCCACCCTTAATTGAATTGGGGTTCACTAGACTGGGAGGTCATTATGTAACTTCTATTATAATTTATTGTCTATCTTGTATTGGCGAATGCAACTAACGCCTGTCGGCTACCGGATTAACCTTCTATTTTATGAACAATTAATTTATATATGAATATGAAAATAGAATGGCATATCATATAGTAGCAGGCACTATTGATATTTGAATGAGTTGCCCATAAAATAGTAGGTTAATCCGGAAGCCGACAGGCGTTAGTTGCATTTACGAATACAAGCTCAGTTTAGTTAGGTACAAAAAACTATTTGACTAACTATAAGTAGTTTTTGCGTCTATATTTATTAATTGGCATAATTGGAAATTTAAAGATGACATTATACAGACAAATCTAAAGTCTTGGGTCACAGTTTGACCAGTTTAATTTCAGTTGAAATAGATTTAAAGTATAGAGGTTGCCTTCTGGTTCTGCAGTTCATGCGAAGGCCATGAACTTTTAAATATGTCTAGGTAATCGTAATCACTTCAGCTACTGTAGCCAAGCCCTAAACATGTAATATTTTTAGCTAATGCTCCCTCCCACCCCTTAATTGAATTGGGGTATACTGGACTGGGAGGTCATAATATTATATGCTATTATGTAACTATTTTAATGCAATGTAATGTCTGTTACATTTTATGTATTTCATATTGTATTATTACGTAACATCTATTAATTAACCCATTATATTATGTAACTTCTATTGTAGTTTATTGTTTAAGTTTAGTAAGGTACAATAAATTATTTGACCAACTTTGCGCATATATTTCTAAATTGGTATAATTGGGAATTTAAAGATGACATTATCCAGACAAATCTAGTCTTAAGTCACAGTTTGACCATTCATAAAGACATAAACATGATACGATTGGACAAATGCGACAAAAAGACACTCTGGAGAGAAAATTAAATCATATTATTAATGGTGATTTCATTCGAATTCACTAATCAACACGAATAGAAGATAAAAATAGCATTGAATGGTTTAGAATTACATTAGTTAAGTGTTAAATGAGGAGTCGACAATGCAATGGATGATTGAATGACCACATTAACAGTATAAACACGAATGGAAATGCAACACTTCATTATTACATTAGTTGGTCTGACATTTTCTCATTAGAATGGATTTGACAAGTGAAATGATAATTTACTCGATCAGATCTACAACTTCAGCTAAATTAGATCAAATAAACAGAAATGTATAGTATCCGTTTTGTATTTTTGAGGAGTATATTAAAATCAGCAAATCGTACATGCTAACAGAGTATTAATGTTAAAAATAACACAATAATGGCCAACTTGGTAGAGTAGAATGTGCTAATACCACTCGACATTTCTAGATCACCGTATAGTTTCAATGATTTACCTCTGTTGACATTATTTCTTGTCGTTAAGTTTTTGTTTAACTGGTGAAAATCTGGCACATCAATAATTTGGGTCTTTTTAGAAATCTTGATTTTATCCTCGTATTTTCGCCTTAAAGCATTGTCAGAAGAAGACATTTCTTCAATCCATTCATGATCGTATTCAAAATCATAATCAAATACCTCCTCTTCTGGTGACTGAATCTGTCGATTGTCCACATAATTCTCATAATTTTTCATGTTACCAAGTCTCTGCGCGATATCTGGTTTAGGGCTTAGACCTATTTGTTCCTTTCCCCGATTGAATTGATTTCGCCTGCGTGAGACTATTTTCTGTTGAGGAAGTACAGTTTTGCGCAGCGGAGTGATACGCTTCCTATCCATCATTTGAGGTAGTTTCTGAGACGATGGGGCAGGGTTAACTCGCTGTCCTCTGTGGCCATTTGCTTGGTGATTTCCTAGAAGTGCTTGGGGTAACTTTGGCTTTGAAATTGGTGCATTTGGTAACTTTGGCTTTGCAAAAGGCATGCCCTGCGGTCTTATGTTATCTCCTATTTTTCTTTTCATCTCGCTCATGTCATTTCTGCGTTCCTGATTCGCCTTACGTTGTGCATTACGTATTACGTCGCCAAGATAGGGAGGCGGTTTGACAAGGGCGCTTTGTTGTCTTGACGGGGGTGGCTCTGGGGCATTAACAGGACTCGCAACTTGAACTGAAGGTTGGGGTAGTGTTCGTAATTTTTTGGGAATGGGATACGTCTTACCAGGGCCACCTCTTTTCTCTATTGGTATTGGCTCAATAGGTTTGGCGCCAATTGCAACATCCGAACAACCATAGAACTCCTCCTGGCCTCCACAACCTATGCACTCGGTCCCATCTGCGTCTTGACCCCATGAATTTCCTGAAATGAATATCACAAAGCCAACATAAAAACTTGTATTTGGCAGCGGATGCAAACAGAAAATACATTTATATTTCTCGAGGCTTGACACAGGATAGTGTACTTTACGATGCATCTAAAATAGATACTAGACTATATGAATTGTATCGAAACACGCAAACCTGAGTGGTACTTCCATTGGAGGACACATTGGCTGCATCTTAAATTTCTAGGCAGCTGAACAAGAAGCTGGATGTTGCTCCATTCCTGCATGATTTCAAACCTATGACCGGGTCTTGTGCGTCCATCTGGCCCTGAGATGACGTTCAATGGATGAGCGTTCAAGCACTTCTGGGTTATAGGTTTATATGGGTTGTTGTTCGGACATATTTTGAACTCCATCCAACCTTTGTGATTGGCCGACATGTCTATTGTGACATTTATTCTGGCACCTGGTTGGTACGTCCTTGTTATAATTCCATTAGCGTACTTTCCACCTGCCTCATTCTCTCTTGGGCCTTCGAAAGCATCACCACATAGTCCACAAAGACCTCCTAATACATCCCATTGATGCTGCAAATAGAGCCCAAATTAAGTTTTGGCAACAGAAAGTCCCCTTCTTGATCGGTTTTATTTAGCTTGTAATTTCTGCCGATTAAAAGAATGATCTGTGTCATTAATTATTGTAATGACGGAACACATTTAAGATTCAACCATCAACAGACTTTAACACACTATCAAATGAAGACTTCTATTTGCCAAACTTATGAGTGTATCCATTCAAATCAATTCTCACATTGATAAATGAATGCATATAGCTCAGTCATTTGATGGTGAAAGTCATCGATTTTTGGATGTAAATCTATTCAAGTGTGGTGAAATCTAGGATCGTACATACCATAAGACATTGAGTAACTTTAAATTGAGTATAAACATTTGAAAATACGTTGTACCAATTGAACTAAATATATTTGGGTAGTTTTCTTTTAACAGTTTGATTCAATGGTGTTAAAAAATGATGCCAAGTACTGCAAAACAACCCAATGAGAGACAAAGGCCATGACTTCCAAATGCAATTGTAACAGAATTCAACCTGAACATGTCGGCCAATATTGAACTTACAGCTTTTCCACCACAATACAGCGCATTGTCGTCATAATTTTCCGGATTTGGGAACCCATATTTCCACATAGAAGAACGTGATGGGGGTTCTATAAGTCGTCCGTGTCCAAACACTAACTCTAAACAGGTCGCAAAGAAGACTGTGAATCCGATCCATGGCGCCATATTGTTTAATACACAAGTAATATTTAGTTAAACTTTACATATTAATTCAATGTTTATCTCCATCTTGACAATGAACATTTTGCTCAATTATTTTTTTAAGAATTCCTTAATTTGATCATTCTTAAAACTGTTTCCACATTCTATATTGTATAACATGCAGCAATAGCTATAGCAAAGTGAGCATGTGAATTTTGCTGTAGGTCTTTTCCAACCATTCCTAATTTGAACATATTAGGGCAATATTGACTAATTGGACACAATTAATTTGGCAATCGTTTAGGTAGATTGCAACTGATAATGATAACCAAAAACAAGTGCAGATTGTTCAATATATCTTCTCTTTGGTCTTTTCTCTTTTGAGCTTGTGTTTACATATTTAATTATTTGATAACATAAAATTAAAAATCTGTAATACCCTGTAGCCATACATATTGATTAATTAATTAACATAAAAGCGAGAAATCAAAATGTTGAAAATGGAAAGCCCGTATTGAAATAAATTGTATTTTGTTAAACAGACATCGCAACAGTCTTGTTTCAATATCTCATCAAGAATAGCCTTTCTTCAAATGCTAAGAAACAACCCATGTCGATTAAAAGAAACATATATGTACAGGGTAACCAGAACATTTTACTCGTGATTCATTATATTTCACTATGGCTCTAGTGAAGTCCAGTTTGTATCTTTCTACACTGGCATACATACTTACATTGAATAGATAGATTATAAGCAAGGTAGAGTCCATCCCCCGAATGCAAGGTTCCAGACGTCATCCACTAAGTTCTTTTCCTTCTGGAGGCCTGTTTTCGGTAGAGTCGGGTAGAGTCATTACACCATATAAAACCGGATCTCACCAATTGTGCTTCCTTTGACAAATTATTTAAAATATCCAAACATCGCCTTTGTTATATCATGCGAGGACACCTCACGAATAATGGGTATGAAAGCAATTCAGAAATAAATTGCTTATTTGGAAAATAATGTACACGTCTACAAGAAAGATGAACCATGCTTAAAACCTCTTTTTAAAACTCGCAAGGGTATAGCTTGACTGAAAATACATTAACCTTAACTCGAAGAGTCTAACTTCAGTATATCTATATGGAAGGAAAAAGAGGATTCCATGGTTCATAACAACATTGTTTAACAATGGATCATGAATGCTATATTTGGGTCACCTTGTAGGATTAATTAAATATACGAATATGGAAGGAAAATTGATGTGACCTGTCAAATGACGCTTAAAAGATAAGCTACAGAAGAATAACCAGGAAATCAAACGAAGGAACAGTTCTTAATGTGTCTTGTGATAAAATAGTCGCAGTTCTACCCACTTAGAAAACAAAGTGGCAAATGCGGAAATAAGTTACTTAGCGAGTTGTTTCAGCAACAGTCAATAATTAAATCTCAGATTCAATGAACTTCCTGATTGCCATGTCCAGAATTGCAATGTTTTATATGCAGCAAGTTATGATTAGTTATTGTTGTCGTGTTATTGTACGCTCTATTTTTAGATTGTGTTAGGTTATGTTGGGTTGGGTTTTGCTGGACTGCATGATATTGAGTGTAAAGATATCATCATTGTTATATTTCTGGTGGCCATTTTTAGAAATACATAATCTCCAAAAAAGTGAAAATTCTTATTATGAAAGACCTATTTAAATGTATTCTACAACCAAATATTAACGTATAGTTTGACACCACTCTTATCATTGTAGCATTCTTAGAGGGGAAGATATCTTATTTGTTATATTTCTGGCAGCCATTTTGAAAAATGCATATATTTTTAATATAAAGTGCAAGTCTCGAAAAAAAAGTACAGGACTCGAAACCTAATTAAATATACATTCTACAACTACATAATTGTATTTTTGACACCACTCTTATAATTGTAGTATGCACAGAAACAAAACTATTGTCTCTGATGTATTTTTGGCGGCCATTTTGAAAAATGTGTTACAATATAAAGCGCCATCTAGCTTGTGTCTTTGGATAAATTTCTTTCTATTGCCCTAAGGTATTTCCATGCCAAAGGGGATACTTTGTAAGGTAAGATATCTAAATTTGTAAGTATTCGTAAGGTAAGATATCTTTTTTGTTATATTTCTGGCTTTCATTTTGAAAAACGCGTATATTTTGAATATAAAGTGGAAGTTCTTAATTTTCAAGACTCACGATCTAATAAAATAGATTCTACGACTAAATCACTGTATTTTTTGACACCAATCTTATAATTGTAGCATGCACAGAAGCAAAGATATTGTCTCTGATGTATTTTTGGGGGCCATTTTGGAAAATGTGTATATTTCCAATAAAAAGCGCCATCTAGCTTGTGTCTTTGGATAAATTTATTTCTATTGCCCTAAGGTATTTCTATGCCAAATGGGACATTTGCATCATACAATGAAGTCCAAATGTAGTTAACCCATCTACTATTTCTGAAAAGGGAGATGTACATGTACAGTGGCGTAGGAACAATGTACACCAAAACGCCAGTGCGTAGTGTTGAAAAGTGAGAATAAAAAGGCTTATTAATTTTCTTATGTTCTTTATTCATATTTTCTCATTGTATTGTCCAAAAGTAATCTCGAGCACACTAGCCTAAAGAAATGTTGGATACCATATGATATGCTCGTTTTTTCAATAGTACTCTTTTGCATGTTTTTTCTGCCTTTGTTATTTTTCTAATCTGGGCCACAGATAAATGACACTTTTTGAAAAATAAAATATTGAAAGTTACCTTGTTTCTATAATTCTAATCCTAGAAAATGCAAAAAGTAACATGCTTTATTTCATGATAATCGAGCCACTATTGACTATCTTATGGATTTTAAAACTAAAATACAATTTCGCCAAATATTCGTGATTCGCGTTCTCTTCACGGATTTGAGAAAAAAACTGTTTTTTTTCAAAAACTACTTGATGAATACCTTTGCAATTTTTTGCGCATGTTCTGTAATGCTTATGCAATCAAACTATGGTCTCGTTTAATTATAATGACAAACCTCTTTAAATGAGATGTATATTTTTTTTATTCTCCCCTACCCCCAATTTTTTAATTTCACAATATCGATTTATATTCCATTGCTAGGCAAAATCATAGACAGAAATTATAGTTAAGTCAGCAATTATCTATTTTCTTACTAAATCACCAATTGTTATTATGGTAGTACTTCTTGAAATATGAATGTAAAGACAAAAACAACTTGAAAATGTTGATTACTCAAATACGCGTTTCATCGATTTCAGTTCTAGAAAAGCTATTACCTAGGTTTTTATTTCATTTGAAAGATAATTATTGTTTTAGGAAATATAAAATTTTTGGCACCCCCTAAGTCACGTTGACCTCGATTTGACCTTTGTGGTGGGAAGTTTAATTGGTCTTGCGAATTAGTGTTATAAAAAAGGTTGCAGACATTAGGGTTAATTGTTTCATTGATCACGAATGCGTTTCTTTAAATCAATTGATCAAGCTAGATTCTTTAATCTGTACGTGTCGTATTGCACAGTACACGATGGAATCAGACAATACTATATATCTCAATTTAATTATTCGAAAATGATTAAAAATCTCTCATTGTTATTTGGAAATTGATCGTCTATATCGTTCGAGACATAAGTGAGAATGATTTGTGATTTTCCATGGCGATTTTAAATGATGAAAATCATTCGAACATTTTAAGCACATTAAAAGGGGCATCAAGGATTTTAAGCTTGCATATAAAATCGAAACGCCAACCTATACGTATGACCAATCGCCCATTTAAACATTTCCGTTCACATTTAGGTTATGAAAACATTGCATTCTATTGCCATAAAATGACGTTTAACGAGCATAAAATAGGCGTTTTGATATAGAAGATTTGACACAATTGTTTCAAAGTTTTGGCGGGATTTTTTGGCGTAGTGTTGAATTTACACCTTCCTACGCCCCTGATGTATACAGCATGCAGGATCAGTTTTTCTTACTTATTTCTGCAATGATACTTCCAATATGCTGATTATCCTACTACCTGTATGCATCCATCTGAAAAAATGTATATTAGATGTAAATCTGGCACAATTATTTGAGGTATGACTAATATCCGTGTAATTATTATGCTTCAAATTTTACCCTGGCAACAGTAGGTGTATTTGTGTAAAACGGATTTTTCAACTATATAAATCACCTCAGACGCGAGTTCTTATAATTAGAACAACTAACGATCATAAACTAGCAGGCTCAATTAGTAAAAAAATGGAAACGGGAACAGTTTGCTTAATGATAACCTTGTGGAACCGTCTTCTTAGAGACCATAAGGAAACGAACGGCTTCTCACTTTTCAAAAAACAACTTAACGATTTCCTCAAGTCGAACCTAAAATTTCAACCTCCTATTTGCAGAACCTTGATAGAAAGGAAGAAATAGTACTAAATAAGATGAGAGTGAATCTATATTTTAAATCCGATCTTTTTGACCAATTTCTCTTTAAATTAACGAGTTCGAGAGACGGCACAACACAAATTCTTGTCCTGCCCTCTGAGAGAAATAAATGCGCTAGCGGTGGTAAAACGTGAACTAAACTTAGGTGTAACTAAATACAAAACACTAAAAAATAAGACAAATTTCCTACTTTTTGGCGACAAGGATCTGACAATAAAAACAATTCCAAAATTGTCAAGGCATTTTTAAATTTCATTGACACAATTAAACATGTATATACTATACTTCTATAAACTGTAAACAAAGTCAACATTTCACCCTGGGTATATTCGCGAACAACCCCTGGTAATACGTGTAATGTGTGACGTCATAACGGCGGGCCGTAGTAATGACGGACCATAATGAATATTCGAACTTGACTGTATTCATGCCTTCTATAAACTGTGAACAAAGTCAATGTTTCATCCGGGGCATATTCGAGATCAATTCCCCGGCTCTGTACTAAGTGTTTCGTTCAGTGCACTCATTGGAGGTTTAGGCCGTTCCGTTCTTTTCGCATCCCCCTCTCATCTGCAAAATTCAAAATGGCAGGGAGAAATTGTCTGGAGCCAAAATTTTCTGTCGAAGCATTTGTAAACTGTAATCTCAATAATTTCAATAATTATCAATGTAGTAGATATGCGTGAAACCAATAAAATAGGCCGAAATATCAATAAAAAACTTAAGTCGGGGTCAGGAGGTAAGTAAACAAATTGGAACAGCCAAACGCTCAACCGGAAGTAGAAATGAAAAAAAGTGGAAATGAACATCGAAATTGACGATTTTGCAATATTCTGGTGAGTTTTCATGTTCGAATCGTAATATAGACCTCAGAGTAGTACTAGTTTCGAATACACCCCTTAGCTCAAAGCACACAAGCTTTAGAAAACGTTTGTGCCTAGACCTGCGGGGTGTATTCGAAACTAGTAGCCCTGCTCTTCGGTCTATATTTCTGAATTAGAAACATGTTCGGAGCGTAACATAGACCTCAGGGTAATAAAAATGATTTATGTAATCAATCAAGGAATATTTGCAAAAGTGATTACTCTATCTCCATGAGAAATATTTTTAAATGCATGCATCATTCGAAAACATTCAATCGCCAAATAAAACGAACAAACGTTTTTTGCCACACGACACCCTGTATGCATATAGCAATCTGATTTTTCTAATATTGCTATCTTATCATAAGCTTGTCAGATCCGATTTAGCACTCCAAGCGAGAATAAAAAATTACAAATTGCATCTACGTGTAGCGCAATATCTTGTAATCGGAACTAGCGTCTGGTGCACCCACTCGTAAAAAAATACAAAGTGACACAAAATAGTGTTCCGAATAATCTGAAACATATTTCACAACAAATATGACTCAGTCAGCATAATCCTTAGGAATAGTTGATTGGGAGCTTAATAATTAATATGGAATCGATATCAAAATAAGTTTGCATGAAACTATTTACATATTATTGCAATTCTAACTAAGTGGTAATTTGCAAAAAAGTTTCATTAAAATTATGTTATTTTAGTCATTTTGTATCTTTTAGGTGATTTTATACAAAATATTGCAATATGTGTAAAGAATTTAAGCCCAAGACCCTCAGACCACTCAGATGTTGTTTCCTAAACTTTGCGTTCCCCTGTGGGGTCATGCAAAGATTTGGAGACAACATCTTCGTGGAATGGTTCAGCACACAATGCACTGAGTCCAAGGCTTAAATCCTTAAACAAAAACTGGCTATTTTTAGATTCAGTGTAATTAATTACTGTCATCACTGTCAAAATTTCAAGTTGGCAGTTGTGTGAAAACCTATAAATATAATCATAGTGAATAGCAAGGCAGGTAGGTAGCTTATGAAGGTTCAATGTCAAATGGTTAATGTTGAACTAGTTTTGACCATTTTATCTTGAAACCCTTGCAAAACATTTTCGTTGCAAAAAATCATTATTTTAAGTGGTCATGATAGTCTGCAAAATCATTTGCAATGTCTGAAAAAAATTCAAGCACACGGCTCGTTTAATGGTGGATGATGAAGTCCCCTCATTTCTTGTATTTTAGACTTTGAATTCGTGTTGTCGCACTCATTTAAAGTCTGGAAACAAGACATTCATTGTTAATTCGTCCTACAATTCATTGGGTTCGGGCATAAATCCTTCAATTATCCATTTGTTACAACCTCACTTATATTTCATATATCAATAAGTAGCTGAATTTCTCGGAATCCAAATTTTGGGTCACCCTGTAAATATACAGTGTCGGTGTATCCCTTTACGCTCAACTACTCATAGCCATAGCTACAAAAAAAATGGAGATAGACGTTCAGTATAAATTGATTACAAACCTTGCGTATGGCGCTGAATTTTTGAGAAAAATATCAAGAAACGATGAAGTAAACGTCGTAGAGAAAACTCTTATTACCATACAGTTCCGGGTTCATTCTCTTAAAAATTAATACGAAAAACAACGTCGATCGACTCTTTCATTCTCGATACGGTACTTGTAGGCCCCGGATGCGACAGTCTTGATAACAAATTTCAATGTTCAGAGAAAAACAATCTATCTTATTGAGATAGTCAGAGCTCGTTAGCCAGATGGCTTATTGGATTGGATTAAAATAAAGTGATTATTTCGCAAAATTGTTGTTTTACATGGATTGAATTGGTTGTGGTTACAGTTCTGCTTATTTTCGTTGGCAAATATATATTTTCTTTAATGGTCTTCGTAACATGCAGACCGGACTAACCAATTATTTTACTAAAACGGGATGATAACTTGGATGAGATTGAGAGATTTCTCACTTGGTGTACACCTTTTACGGATATATTGTACTAACATTCGGATGTAATTCTCCACATACTGAGGAACGGTAAACGAGGACAATATAAAGGATGGAAATGACCGATGCGCAGCGATCACGCAAGTTTGATTAATACGTCTGAGTATTCGTTGTTGCAGAGATAAGTTTCATCGGCTGGTGCAAAACCTGACCACACATAACGCCAGGAACTCAAACCACAAGCTGCTCAACATTCTTAAATTCTCTTTTTGTGGAGAGATGTACTAAATATCTAGTAGCTGTAATATTCTTGTCATTTTACGGTTATTTTTCTCATACAGCTATTCTTAGGGAAGAATTTTTGGATAACATGTCGAATAAGACGCTCCTCGTCCTCGCAGTTGTAGGCATTTTTGCATGTTTAGGAGCCGGGATTCTTATTGGGTATCTAGGAATGCACGGACCTAAGTGTACTAAACTATTACCCATGGAGGACATCGCAACGCTGCTACGTGCGACGTGCTCGTCTTCTAATACAAAAAACGTATATGACGATCATCAAAACAGGTAATGATTATTATTGTACTCCTCTATATACAGGGGCGGATCTGGGAACCAACAAGGTGGGCCCAAATTTCAGATTTAATAAAAAAAAATTCCGCGCTTGCGTGGAAAAAATTTGGGACCCTAAAACCAAAAAGTGGGCCCGAATTTTGAAAATTTGAATCCTATTTTCTTCAAAATTAGGCCTTAAAAGGTCAAGTAAAGAACAAAAATGCCCCCTTTTTGGGGCCATTGGGCCTCTGGCCTAAAAATCTTTTTACACCCAATTTTTTTCCAGGGCCCCTCCCCAGATCCGCCAGTGATACTAGTACATCATGAAATATACCAATAATGTTCTATTGCTTTACTTTTTCATTAATCGATAGAAATGAAGTTCAATGGTAGGATCCTATTCTCTAATTAGGCGTTGATTCGATCGCTTTGATTAAGTCGCCTTCAAGATCCTGTAACATGTGTTAACACCACTGGACATTATATTTTCACTAAAGCCGTTTAAAATCTAGCAAAAAAATTCTCACGTCACCGATGATAACAGAGCAACATCACATTCAACATTTGTCACAAAAACTTAGAGTAAGTGAATGAGATTTGGTTCCGGTCAAATATGTCAGATACGAGAGTCGTCCAAGTATTTAAGTATCATTTTACTGTGTACTTTAGTGTGGATACGGTTACTATAGCACCCCAAGGTAAGATAACATGCAAAGTGCCCGGCCACAACGAATAGGACTTTGAAATCAAAACTATTTTCTTCTTACAAAGCCTATTTTTGTTATTTCAACAAAACGTTAGGAACCTGCTGGTTCCTTTATCAACTTTTTTAACTGAGCTGCGCTGCATACCTGCAGTAATCTTTACAAGAATGAACAACAAACGTGCATGTATGCAGACAGATCGCCTAAAATTACATTCGTATGATGCGAGACTCGACATTCACCAGGAAAGTAGAAACATTTTGTCACCCATGATGCAAATTAATTTTTACTGATAATTAATAAATAATGAATGACAAAAAATGGCGGTGATTGAAATGACGATGTAAAGATAAAACCGCAACAAAATATTTGTAGATTTTTTTGGAAGACTAAGAAATATATGTATCACTTGTTGAATTTTTCAAAACAGAAAAACGTATAAATAGTAAGGCCTGTAAATCCGATTCCCCCTGGTAGCATTAACATTGGTCTCGTATAAGTTATACAATTAATATTATATTAATATTTAAAATCCAACTTCCATTCGAACTTATGATCGGACTTAAGTATGATGTGCCCAAGGTAATAAAGTAGCATCATACTTATGTCCGATCATAAGTTCGAGTGTTTCAAATATTAATTGTATGACATGTATTGGACCTGCAGGCTTTACTATTTATACATGTTTTTCTAAAAAAAATCGATATGTGATGTATATTTCTTAGTTTTTCAAAATAATATACAAATATTTCATTACGGTTTTATCGTTACATCGTAATTTCAATCACCGCCATCACTTTTCGAACCTCATGATATTCTCAATATGACTGTCATTGACCATTTATTAAGCAGTAAAAAATTAATTTGCTTCATGGGTTACTAAATGTTTCTACTTTCCTGGTGAATGTCGAGTCTCGAATCATACAAATGTAATTTAAGGCGATCTGTCTGCATGGGGTGATGTATGAAAGTGTTGGTGAGTTATGTCAAAAAAAATTTTGATGAAATAAGAATAAAAAATTGGAAACATTTTAGACAACCTTTGTATACTCATATCTCACGAGCAACACTTTAAAGAATAAAATACCAAAAAGCAAAGGCCACACCATTCAATTTAATTCTTAATAGTTTCTGGTGTTACTAAAGTGAACAAAAAATGTATGTCCTAGCGAGACTTTCATTTGGAGGGGAAAAGGTTAAGTTAAGGTAGTTGTTTTGTGGCAACATGTGGCTCCCATTGTTGAATCCACAGTCCCTACCCTTTGAATAGAGATACAAGCTTTGGATTCAGAGAGACTCTGATAAGTCAGAATGTGTGACGTCATGCTATTGCATAGGAGCAATGATTTGACGAGTGTTCATCTTTAGGACATTTCGTGATATCACACATTTGAAAAATGAGTCTTTTTTACTTTATATTTACATATGTAATTCTGATGAATTTAATGATCGTCGTAAAGTAATTTTGGGCCTCATTTAAATCTAAGTGCCCAATATGTTGAGGAAAACATATCAGGAATGAATCGGTAACATTGATCTTTTAGTTAAGTTTCTTTCGAAATCGCTTGAAACTATTATTGCATGCGCTTTTTGACATCAAAGTGATTCACTCTAAGAAAAGCAATTGAATTACCAAGGGCAAGAGGGTCCTCTAATGCTTTAAGTAGTAAACTAAACTATGGAAACACGATCAATGTACAGTTCGAAGGCTATTCTGGGTAGCTTTATCAGAACAAAAAACTGGCCCACGATGCAACAGAAACGATCCCAATGAGAAAAAGTTCTTCCTACATATATTTATTGATATAATAATATCAATATAATACTGAGCCAATTAGAATTTTTACTCGCCATTCTACAAAGAGTGATAATAGATTGATATATATCCTGGTTATAAATGTCTCGTAAACACAGTTACCCTACATGGCCTCGTCGTAAACTTACTGGTACCCTACTAGGCTACAAAAGCCTTGTCGTAAACATACTGGTACCTGGTTATAAAGGCATCATCGTAAACATACTGGTGCCTGTTATAAAGGCCTCATCGTAAACAGTTACCCTACTTGGCTACAAAGGCCTTGTCGTAAACATACTGGTACCCTACTTGGCTACAAAAGCCTCGTCGTAAACTTACTGGTACCCTACTTGGCTACAAAGGCCTTGTCGTAAACATACTGGTTCCTGGTTATAAATGCCTCATCGTAAACATAGTTGCCCTACTAGACAATAAAGCCCTTGTCGTAAACATACCGGTGTCTGGTTATAAATGCCTCATCGTAAACATAGTTGCCCTACTAGACAATAAAGCCCTTGTCGTAAACATACCGGTACCTGGTTATAAAGGCATCATCGTAAACATACTGGTGCCTGTTATAAATGCCTCATCGTAAACATAGTTGCCCTACTAGACAATAAAGCCCTTGTCGTAAACATACCGGTACCTGGTTATAAATGCCTCATCGTAAACATAGTTGCCCTACTAGACAATAAAGCCCTTGTCGTAAACATACCGGTACCTGGTTATAAAGGCATCATCGTAAACATACCGGTACCTGGTTATAAATGCCTCATCGTAAACATAGTTGCCCTACTAGACAATAAAGCCCTTGTCGTAAACATACCGGTACCTGGTTATAAAGGCATCATCGTAAACATACTGGTGCCTGTTATAAATGCCTCATCGTAAACATAGTTGCCCTACTAGACAATAAAGCCCTTGTCGTAAACATACCGGTACCTGGTTATAAAGGCCTTGTCGTAAACATACTGGTACCTGGTTATAAATGCCTCATCGTAAACATAGTTGCCCTACTAGACAATAAAGCCCTTGTCGTAAACATACCGGTACCTGGTTATAAAGGCCTCGTCGTAAACATAGTTGCCCTACGAGACATAAAAGCCCTTGTCGTAAACATACTGGTACCTTGAAATAAAGGCCTCGTCGTAAACATAGTTATTCTACTAGGCTACAAAGGCCTCGCCGTAAACATAGTTGCCCTACTAGACATAAAAGCCCTTGTCGTAAACATACTGGTACCTTGAAATAAAGGCCTCGTCGTAAACATAGTTATTCTACTAGGCTACAAAGGCCTCGCCGTAAACATAGTTGCCCTACTAGACATTTAAGCCCTTGTCGTAAACATACTGGTACCTTGAAATAAAGGCCTCGTCGTAAACATAGTTATTCTACTAGGCTACAAAGGCCTTGTCGTTTACTTACCCTACTAGACAATAGAGGCCTAGTCGCAAACAGAGTGGTACTAAAAGTTATCCAAGCACATGATACCTCGTCGTAAATAGTTCGAGAAAAGGGATTCTAAGCTAATAATTTCTGAGAACTAGAAAAGTAAATTAGTTTATGGAAATAGAATGCATTTATTTGCCCAAATAAAAGTCAAATGTTCAGATTCGAGGCAACGTGATAGTTTCTAATAAACATTAGTTAATGTTCCTTTGCAATCTAGTATGAATGAATGCGGTTGGTTAAACAAGGTGAGAAGTTTAGAATTCAGAATTACTACGCCTCCCATAGAGAATACGGACTAAAGAATACTAACTAAATGGCTGCCTGATATCAGTCAAGAAGCTAATAAGCGGAAAGCTTTTTTTGCTTTAAACAATAACTTAAAAAGGCGAAAGAAGAGATAAGATAGATGGCCCATTAAAGCCATGCTTCCCGATGGGGTATCTTGTTTATTCCGTTCTCTGGCATTATTGAAATAAAACCTCAGATAACAAAGCTCGTTTTCAGTGTAGAACACCATAAACATCATACGAATAAATAATTAATCACAAGGATAACATCCTCTCCGATATTAAAAATGAAACATGATCAGATCTATTTATCTATTTATAACATTACAATTTGTTTCCTCAATCAGCCCCTGAGGATTAGATCAACCATGCCTCTTGTTATATAATATCTTCAATACGTTGTTCTACTGCTTTGGATTGTTTATTGTTAAAGCACTTATAATATAGACGGGAAAATACTGGGCGTACTGAACTACATGAACATCCCTTGCGTACTAGCTAGATGCCGTCTACCGCCAGATTTTGACACATTTTTACGTTGTCCTTTTCAATTCAATTTCAAAATAATTTATTTCAGTTTTCATTACAAGATTTACAACATTACCTTTGATTCCTTTAACCGAAGTCTCAGAAAATTGTTTGAACATTGTACACCTTTTCCGTAACCTTGGAATTTAGATAAACACTTATTTTGATTTTGTTACACAACGGAAATAGAATAGACGTGTGACAAGAAAAAACTAATCGTGTAACAAAAGCAAAGAAAGAATTAGTCCAATTCTGATGTGCTGATGAAATCAAATAAATGTACGACAAATATGATACAGGTGTTGACGATTATTTTGTCCGTCTGGACCTAGTTACGTTTGGGCTTTGGCACAGATTCTCTGGTTTAAACGATCCACTTGGGACTTTTGCACTCGTGATTTTGGTGTCATGGCCTTTATATTTGTTTGTAGGTTTAGTTTCAAAAATGGTTTTCGAGGACTTTAATTCAAGGGACCGCAGTTCCACGGACATTGTTCCCTATGAATAAAAATCATGGGGACTAAATAAAATGCCAGACCATTTCACACTTTTAACACCAGTCCTGACGGTAATGATTGCGCTTTTCTCAATAATTTTCCAAGTGTTGAAATTGGATATGTTTAAAAAACATACTGCGATCATTAGAGAAAAACATCTGTAGCATCAACAAAAAGTATCGTTTATCAAAACAATAATTCGAGGAAGTAAATGAGCAGAAAATATAAGTGTAGTCGATAATAAGATATGATGACGGGTAGTGTTGTTAATGCTACCTGACAAAACAGAAAATGACTTACGGTTATATAAGTAATATGTTTTCCGCCCGTGGGTCGTGAATGGTCAGTCCCATACTAACAGAGCATTCCTTGTGATCGGCCCATACTTTACTTATATAACCGATTTTCTGATATCTATTCATACTTGGTAAGTTTGGGAATGGTCAAAAGTGGACTGTCTTCTTATGGATTACTGACAATTGACGAAGTTCAAGTGATATTGTATAAAATCGTTTGCTACGTGAGGAAATAATTTAAGCACATGATGAACGAAATCCTTTCAAAAATAGTTAGACCTTTATAAAGAATGCTATGTTCTTTGGTCATGTCAAGAGTTTTTATACCTTTATCGATCTATAATATACAGTATACTAGTATTCAATTTACAAATATTTACAGATTCACAGATTCATTGTTCTAAAAACTAAAAATGCCTTTTTAATCTATAGGTATTCACACATAATCAGAAATGGAAGTTAAAATATTCAAGCCAATTGAAGACCCAATTACAACCATGCATTCTTATCATGCTTCTGTAGCAAAGAAGCGACTAATGAATTTCCGAATCAGAGCAATGAATTGCTCAGCTAGGTAAAGAATCAATGATAGATGGCCTAAAAACTAATGTCAACATTCATGCCGATTAATAGGATGTAGAAAAATGAGAAAATTATATGGTAGAACTTGAATATAATCAATCGTAGCTTAGAAAGTTTTATTCAATAGATAATGATGGGAGACACAATACACACTTATAATCCATCTATCTTCGGTACAAGAGACACATTGATCTATAACACAGCTAAGACCAAATGGAAACGGATTTCAACACAAATAAGCTAGACTAGCAACTCTAATCTTTTTTTCTATTTTCAATTCTTCATGATATTATACTTGTCTAACAGATGTAAAGTTGTCCTAATCAAAGCATACGGTAAGCCATCGAGTAAAAGACAAACGCACTTTTAGAAGACAAATGAACCTAATCAATAGTGCTTGATGAAATTGGATGGCATATGAGATAAGTGTATGGTATGGTCATATAAGTATATTTATTAAAAGAAATATCCTATTCCGATATTTTCGCTATTTTTATCTCCAATATAAGATAGTGTACGTCTAATAAGTTGTTGTTTCAAAATCAAGAGTTTGAGTTTATAGCATCTTTAAAAACTTGTTGTATGTACCTCCATCTTGTCTGGCTCATTTTAACCGATTTGCTTAATTTGTGCAGTGGTTCTCTTCTGTTAATTAGATGCTACAAACATCAACACCATCAACATTACGGGTTTCTCATATCAAATCTTGATAACATTGTGTAAGGAGAATAACCAAAAGCCAAAATACTAGTTTATACTTTCCACCGGGGTATAGTTTTGGCCAGAAAGGAGAAATAGATTCTCGAATATCAAGAGTACGTAGAATTATCGAAAATCGCCAGCTGAACGCTTTCCAAAGGAGATAAGTGATGAAGAATAAGATCCCATGGGCAATTTAATATTTGGGTATATAATTGCAGCCGCTTTACCCGACATTTTGGAAACGCCATTGAAAGAGATCTAAGCGTTCTGCAAGTTATAGTTAAAAATGTTGATCCAAGCTTTAAGACGAAATTCTCGTCTTAGATCTAATAGACTTTCTAAATAAATGAATTAAATGGCAAGACGATAGAAATAAATGTGCTCTATCCGTTTATTTTTCCGATGGTGTATCAATTTGAGGTATCCGATTTTTTATTTGATTCTATCACCGTTTACTGTTTGGTATTATACGTTTGCACTTATTTTCTGGAAACTGTTTGTTGTCACTCATTTAATTAATTAAAGGTCTTGCTTGATAGATAGCGCATACAGTCTGAAGCAATATTAAAATCGTGACAGTATGCTTCTTGACTTCCATTTACCTGTACTAGCTCAGTGGTAGAGCACTCGCCCACAAAGCGAGGGGTCGTGGGTTCGATCCCCATTACATTACATTGGTCTGACTTTTTCACACCAGCCCTGATCGCAGGATTTCATACTACTACTTTCATCATAGTTTGAGTACTGGACGACTATACGGAGCATGGTATTGATAGTTAGACAGTGATATAATGAGTTAGTGATATACTTTCATATCATTTTAATGAAGGTTCATTTAAGATGTTGATCATTACTTTATCACGTTCTTCTTATACGTATACGTATCGTATATCCATCCAACTGAAAAATATTTTTGTGTAACAAAAGTAGGAAGGGGAAACATGAATTTCCCATTTTCAGGATTTCCTGTATTACCATTATATTACATGATTTATCTTTTCTATTTAAGATTTTGGGTCAGAAGTCTGGAATCTCTATGCATAGCTGGTGCATGTAAATTGCCCGATCCCCCTTACTATCTTGCCACCCAGATCCGACGTGATAACGTCGACGCCGATCCTGGGGATGATGTTGATCTTGAAAGAGCGGTGGCCTTGGATAGCGGAGATGATGTGTGGAATGATGTGAAGAGTATTGCCACTTACTCTGGTAAGGCAACCCATGGATTCCTACTTCGCATGGCTATCCACACTCTATCATCTGGAATTAATTTCTCGAATTAAGTGACTACATTTATAGAAGGTTCATTGCAAAAGGAAAAAAGAATTTAGAAACGTTATTGTTGATATTTGAATTTATTACTTCTATTGTTTTATTGAGTTCAACAAGATTGGTAAAGCTTGTAGTTGAAAGAAGTTTTATTATTTGCTTCTCATGCGGAAGATTAAACACAACCCCCTATAAATCAGATTATCCGAATCAAATATATTTGGCGTTTGATTTTTGATTTGTGTTTTATATAAAATTGATATATATTATCAAGTAATGTTTCGACTGTAATTGACCTAGCCAGATCTTTGTAGATTTACAATAAAAACTGACGTTACATGTCTCATATCAGAAAATTAAAGTTTTGGAATATGGGAGTTGCAAAATGATGAATAAATTTGAATAAATAGATGTCACCACATGTTTTTATTTTTGGTTGGGCCAGACTGCCATAGGCCTCATGTGTTAAAAAATTGCAACAGTCACTTAATTTGATAATTTACAAAAAGTGTTGGTTGAATCTAATTAAAAGAAATGACAGTGTGGGCTGACCCTGTTGATGTAGATATTGTGATGAATTATCGAGATTTCAAAGATTCCCTTGTCGTTATAAGTCGCATATGGCGGACGGACTATATAAAGCATATACAACAAATAAAGCATAGTCGCTTGAGGATAAACTTTTCCTATGTGGTCGTGATTATGTGAAAGAAATCCTCCAAGAGAAATTCATTAATGGAATTACATCACTTTGTCGATCAATAATTTATATTTAGCGAAGTGCCAAAGGATACAGTGCTAATATTTTTATTCATACCTATCAAATAGTTACAGTACGAACGTTAGATAAATTGGCAATATTATTCCTCGTGGGGTATTACACTCAAAGTTGTGATTAGATCATCAGATCACAGAATCACAGACAAATTGCAAATTACAGAAGTTCGTTCAAAGTTAACTCAGCCTTAATTGCCTCTGAATTGATTCATTATCGATTGCGTAATTCCAAAAACAACTTAGAAAATGGTGCGAGCTGAATTTGCATGGTGTAATAACACACGAACGGAGAAAGCCAAAGATTAAGCTTTTTGAAAACTCTCTATTCTAACTCATAGAACATCCAAACGCAAGATCTGAGATAGATAAAATTGAAGAGCAAGGAACATAAAAAAATATTTGAAGATACCCAGTAACACTTGAGTAAATTATAACCTGCCAGAAGCCATATGTTTTAAGATCAATACAATGTTCCTACTGATCTAGAGGGACTGTGCCACAGGGGGACCATCTCACTAACCTGTCAGAAGGCATAGTATTAATTTAGGTTATTATAACTTTTTTGTAACGTGTACATCTCAGAGTACCCTGTCAGAGGTCAGATCTTAGCTTCTAAAGTAGACGAAACAAGTCAAATGCAAATGTTAATAAATCACGCGATCATCAAGGCCAAGGCCATTAATTGCCAGTGAAAAATGACCATGGTCGGAGACACGATCAATTACAGGCGAGAAAAGGCGAAAGGGCCTAAATTATACTTAAACGAGGTAGAATGTGTCTTCTGTAGACATTAGCATCATAATTGAAAAAAACGAGGCACACGGTGAACGATATCGCACCTAATAATTCTAAAATGGTCGCCGTTCACCCACCATCCCCAAATCTTTTTTCTTATCAGGAAACATCTTGAAATTGCAGTTTCCCCATCAGCTGGATCAAAGGTAACCCACTGTTATTATCGTATATGGGTTAACCCAACCAATTGTTATAACATGCGTATTCCCATACAAACAACCTGTCTTCCAGAGAAAACTAAGATTTGTGGACATGTTTTGCTATCATTCCATCATACCCCAGTATGTCCTCTGTCAGTCAAAAAAGTTTGAATCAAAACTCCCCACGAAAATCAAAAGATCTCACCTGTTGAAGACGCCATCTATAGAAAATGTCAAAAAATGTCATTCTGATTTTGACAGATGGAGGCAGGTCAAAAAGGTCAAATCCTTTAAAGAAAATGCACCTTAATCACATCAAATCATGTCTTAGAGTTGGTCCATACATACACTTTTTCATTCATGTACTTACCAAAATCCAACCACTGGTGATGCTAATGTAATTACAATAATTGGACTATATTTTTGTTTTTATAATGCCATCTTCCCACTCGGCGGAAGGATCTAATGGTTGTGTGTCTCCTATGCTGAAACTTTATACATATAGTTGTTTAATTAATACTGTCTGAACGCAATCCTTTAGGTGGATGTAATCATGTAATATTGAGTCTGTCACTAGAATACCAGAAGCCATAACGTTTTTAATTAATTACGTATTTCTATGAAGAAGCAGTACGTCGGTTATATTTTGTGATTGTTACCTTAACTAGATTGGGCAGGCAGAGTGCGCGTGGGCGTTGCTAAGTCACTGTATATCCTCAACTTTATATCCATGACAGTGTTTCTAAACTTGAAACTTGAAACGGTAAATGTGCGGAGTATACTACATCCTTGCAACATTGTTGAGATATTTACAAGGAAATATTAAATATATAAATGCAAGCTTTGTTTAGAGAACATAATATTTTTACACTTTTATTTGGTTATGAAATTCTGGAGTGATATCACTAATTACGTTTTATACGATCTTCAGTATCTCGCGATATTGTATCCCATGTCACTGAACCAACCAATGTCATACAACTGGACTTTGTGTGCATACTTTACTCCTGTAACTCAGTGGTAAAGTTAAAGCACTCGTCTGGAAAGCGACGGGTCGAAGGATCGATCCCCCAGCCCCGCACCAACCCCACCGGTAACATTTTCAAATTAGCATCTGACACAATATTTCAATCTATGTTTGCATTAACCTTTCTCATTTATTTTGCAGGCACGATTCGCCAAGTCAAAACAAAAATGCTATGGGGTCGCTACCACCTTTTCTCAGAGACATCAATCTCCATCGCTCAACGAGACAAGATAACTCCAACCACAAGAATGACATGTGAGATGGAATTGGACGATGACTGGGATGCCCGATTAACCACGTTGGTTACAGTTGATGCAGAGTTCAACCGCGATAAGATAGACAGTGCCACGTGCGCTGGTAATGTAAGCACTATAGTCCGTATACTCTGAAATAAAGCCAAATATTCCATTAATGTATTTCAATAAATCACCCTTTATGAGTTCGAAGGTTCCATTGTGAGCTTTTAAAATCCATTTGGGTAGCTAAGTGAAAAATTAGTAGTGCATGCAATCAATGTGCATATTGTCCAAAGCAGACCATTACATCTACTTCAGTGGTTTAGGGAATGTTTCGATTAGCTCTTTTTCAAATAAGCTTCCTGGCTATACGTACTTAACTTGTCTTCGCGAATGCAGCTTTCGGCTGTCGGCTACCGTATTAACCTACTATTTTATGGGCATCTCATTTTAATATGAATGATGGTAGTACCTGCTATCTGCACTTGTTCACTTTTTCAGATAAAACATATTATGAGAAGAAATGGAGATGAAATCATAGATACCCAGTTCACTTTGGATGAAACTCGGGCCAAACTTTATAGTAAGTAAACTAAAGTATATAAAAAATCGGTAAAACATTGCACTGGCCGGGAATCGAACCCGGATCGCCCGCGTGGCAGGCGAGCATTCTACCATTGAACCACCAGTGCTTCATACAGATACAAGAAAACGGCTGATTTTTAAACGCACAAAAGCCAACAGCTGTTTGACATTTCCGGTTTCACAGAATAAATGATTTATGTCAACATTAGCAGTAGAAATTAAGGTAAATTGGAGTAACAAAGTTATAGTAGTAAAGGTATCGATATTTAGCTATCCATACGATACACGACACATTTTTAAAATAAGATTTGACGTTCATTTCTTTTAATAATTTGATTATTATCATTAAAAGCTTCCAAGAAAGCCTATTTTATGCTATTCAAAATGCCATGGAAGGTTGAAGGTTTTTCGTTGAAGGTTTTTCGGAAAATCTTGCCATCGCCATTTCAGGAAAACCGCTCATCGGATTTTCTCCAAATTCGCACACATGATAGAGGATATCAAGTTCTAAAGCTGATTGAATTTTGGGTGGTCATCTTGTTTTCTGGCGGCCATTTTTAAGTTTTTTCGGGAAATCTTGTCATCGACATTTCAGGAAAACCGCTAATCGGAATATTTTCAAATCCACACACATGATAGAGGATATCAAGTTTTAGACCTGGATCAATTTTGGGCGGCCATCTCGTTTTCTGGCGCCCATTTTGAAGGTTTTTCGGAAAATCATGTCATCGAGATTTCAGGAAAACCGCTCATCGGATTTTTTCCAAATTCACACACATAATAGAGGATATCAAGTTCTAGAGAAGTTCTAGATTTCAGGAGTGATTTGTTAGTAGTTTATTAGACTAGTAGTGGTGTATAAGACTTCAGGGAGAGATTTATTGGTGGTCTATTAGTAATATTTGAGACTTCAAGAGTGATGTATACGTGGTGTATTAGTGATGTATTAGTAGTGTATTACATCTTCTCTGATAGGTCAATATTTTTACTCATTTGCATGGTAAATCTATAAACAAATAAACATTCTGTTAAGTCAATGGCAAAAAGTGGTCTGTTAACGAAAATCAACACTAACAAATCACTTATAGAACATGTTCTACTAGTTGACTATTTGAAGTCTATTAGTGGTTTATTAGAGTGGTATGGCAAGCTGTTTTTTCACTCGGGAGAGGATATCAGGTTCTAGAGCTGATGAACTTCTGGGCAACCATATTTTTCTGGCGGCCATTTTGAAAGTTTTTTTGATGTTGTGATCTCGTTCACGTCATGTGCCTTGTTTGTTTTCTTGATTTAAACCTACTTATAAGACAAAGCTAGAAAATATAGTATAGTGTTAATAAGTTTCTTCGATTTGGAATTTGTTTTGTAAATGAAGCTGCCATTCATATATTTAGCCCCTCGCTTTTGTTACATTGACGAAAGTCCGTTTTTACCAATGTATGTTGCTTGTATGTGGAATCCCTATCGGAGAGCATCCGCTTCGTTAATAAAAACTGAATATATAAAAAGATGGCGTATACTTTATCTTACTAGACACCCTATTGATGTTTCAGATGGTAAACTGAACTTCTGGCTTAAGCTGAATTATGATAAAATCAGGTCGAAGTTATCACCTTCTTCCCCTTCACATTGGGAAAGTTGGCTATTCAGGTACTGGTATATCTAATGCGCATTTATATATATCATTTCAACTTCGATGTTTAATTACACCCCATGCAGACAGATCGCCTAAAATTACATTCGTTTGATATGAGACTCGACATTCACCAGAAAGTAAAAACATTTTGTCACCCATGAAGCAAATTAATTTTTTACTGCTTAATAAATGGTCAAAGACAGTTACATTGAGTTCTATAAGTATGAGAATAGCATGACGTCTTGATAATTCAAGGTAACTCGTTCGAAAAAGTGATGGCGGTGATCAAAATTACGATGTAAAGATAAAACCTGAATGAAATATTTGTAGATTTCATTGAAAAGAAATATACATCATATATGTCATACAATCAATATTTGAAATACAATTATCATTCGAAATTATGATCGGACATAAGTATAATAGTACAATAACGTCATTTCTAAGGGCGATATAGTGAAATATTGGACCGAGGGCCGAAGGCCCAGGGTCCAATATTTCACTATATGGCTCGCAGAAATGACGTTATTAGTATTATTACCACCGTTAACGACCAGGACTGAAATAGCAAGAAAATCTTACGCATTGAACGATATCTAATTTCCCGGGGAAAATTGCCGGTCTAGAATATATTCTAGACCGGTCCATATGGACCACCACTATGACGTCACACATTTCTCAGGTCGATATAGTAAAATAAACGCCTTCTAAACTGGCACTAAAACCCCTAGAACTGGCCCGGCAAGGTGGTGATAATGTTACTTTATCAATATTACATTGAAGTATACATCATACTTATATCCGATCTTAAGTTTGAATAATAGTTGGGTTACAAATATTAATTGTATGACTTATACAAGACCGATGTTAATACTAGCAGGGGGATCGAACCTACATGCCTAACTATCTATACATGTTTTTTTCTTTTTTGAAAAATTCAATATGAGATATATATTTCTTAGTTTTTCAAAGAAATCTACAAATGTTTTGTTGCGGTTTTATCTTTACATCGTACATTTCAATCACCGTCACTTGAAATATCAAGACGGTATATCAAGACGGCACTTAATATGACTGTCATTTATCATTTATTAAGCAGTAAAAAATTAATTTGCACCATGGGTGACAAAATATTTCTACTTTCCTAGTGAATGTCGAATCTCACATCATACGAATGTGATTTTAGGCGATCTGTCTGCATGGGGAATTAGTCTATCACAAGAACAGGTAAAGTACACCTGAATTAAATTCAAACATTACTATAGTATATATTATATTTAAGTAAATAAATAAGAACGATTAACAAAATATAATGTTACATCACAAAGGTCCTTACCAAACATGAGAGTATTCCAGAACATCAAATAAAATAAATCACCTTTCATAGAATATAAAAACATGTATTGCTTTTTATGTCCCCACCACATAGCGTGGGGCCATATTGTCGGCCGCGCCTAGGCGCGTCCGTCTGTCTGTCCATACGTTCGGCAGTTTTCTCCAAAACCGCTACAGATATCACCTTCAAATTTTCGAGGATAACTTATGAGTGCATACAGATCTGGACGAAATTTTTTTAATCGATACGTACTTCCTTCCTGTCGGCCATTTTGAAGTCAAATGCTAAAATCCTTGTCTGCAAGCTTTAAGAAAAACGACTTTACAGTTTAACATCTTGTTCAGCTCACTTCATTCTACATCTGATTAGGTTTTGGACCTGTTAGCTCAGTCGTGGCAGCCATTTTGAATGTCTTGAGATAATACTTTGTATCATACTGAATGGTGTTTTTGAGTTCTCATACTTTAACTATTTAGTAACTTTATAAATAATTGCAGGTATACTTTATTGTAAAAGCCTATGTTATTGTTAACAGTAGTTATATGTGATAATTGTGTAAAAAGAAATCAGCAAAAACACATTCTTTTTTATTGTCGGCCATTTTGGATTTTTCCATCCTAAGATCTTGTCTGTAAAGTCTTGTCTACGCGTTTTCAGGTGAACCGTTTGGTAGATCAATTTCAAATTTTCAGGGATGATTCTAAGTATGAAAGTCTAGATCTGATTAGTTTTTTGGCATTCTGGGTAAATGTCAAGGTAGCCATTTTGAATTTTCCGTCCTAAAGTCGTGTCTGTTAAGTCTTGTCTACTCGTTTTCGTGTGAACCTTTTAATAGATCAATTTCAAATTTTCAGGGATGATTCTTAGTATGAAAATTTAGAACTGATTAGTTTTTTTGCATTCAGGGTAAATGTCAAGGCAGCCATTTTGGATTTTCCGTCCTAAGATCTAAGTCTTGTCTTTAGCGTTGTCTGCTTAACTGTTTGGCGGATCAATTTCAATTTCAGGGGTGGTTCTTAGTATGAAAATCTAGAACTGACTCATTTTTGGCATTCTGGGTAAATTTTAAGGTGGCCATTTTGGATTTTCCGTCCTAAAATTGTGTCTGTAAAGTCTTATTGTAGTCCTCATTGAAAGCCCGGGGTCCTGCTAAATTTTAAGGCGGATTAGTGTTACATTCAGGATAAAAAAAATTGCTGTATATGACATCACTCATTGGTGGGGACATGTTGTACATGTTGTATTTATACTATTGTCAAAGTGGCTTATAATGTTTTTTTAACAAAGCCGCTCATATGTATGTGTTATTATTATTTGATTTATGGAAATAAAGTTATGATAAAAAAACATGTTGTACACATTTGTGTTCTTGTGTCTAAATACTATTGTTTTGATTTCAGTATCCGCTGCTATCATTCTACAAGTGAAGTGCCAATACAAATGAATGTTGATAGGTAATTTTTTTTCAGTGCATTATTGAGAAAACTTAAACTTATTTATGATCGATTTCCTCGGACATTAATGATCAAGGGGTTTTTCAAGCATATATTTTGAAAATTAAAATTGGTTTATCATAATTAATTTCATAAATACTTTTTAGGTTTGGTGTTCTACAGTTCATCACGAGTGACATAAATACAGTATTATACAAGCAGCCACCTTATTGGCTTCTCTACCAAAGTCTTCTTGAAGTATTCCATGCAATCAAACAAACTCAGGTGAGTATATCTGTGGATCACTACCTTAGACTGGTGTAACCATTATCTCAGACGCTACAAACTCTAATATAACCAGTCAGTTTAAAGTCCAAACTTAGAAATAGTAAACTGTTAAGGTAGTTAACTATAAACTTTAATTGACCTTTCCTAGAAATGCAATATAAATGATCGATTATTACATTATTTCTAGAATAACATATTTCAAAATCAAGCACAATGAATTCGGAATAATGAATGAGATCGTATTATAATAAGTGTTTCTTATCCAGCTATTATTTTATCATTGTCAATTGTCATGTATCTCCACTAATAATAAGGGAGTTCAATGTTTCTTTAATGAATTTGTGACTTGTTTATTCCAGGGTAATAGCTTCACTAACAGTGGTGACCTAAATCTGATCAGTATTTCATTACCTCTTAACATCAAAGCTGGACTTTGCCACCAGCCTCCCATCGTGCTCTATAGGGAGGAAGGTTTCACAATCACTATAGCAACACTTGACAATTCAATGCTTGGACATATTGATAATTTTGGTGTACTGTGGTTTGAAAATACCTAAATAAGGATTAGAGTAATAAGGAAAATAAGAGAAGGGAAAACGCGCCCATCGTACCCTGTACGTTGAAGGGTGTTTAGAACAATTCGCGAAACAAGTATAGACTATATATCGACGAGCAATAATCACTTTACATTTATAGGATGGCAGATCAACAGAAAATTCACAACTATTGTGAAAAACTTTTGTAAAAAGAGTTAATCTCCACTCTCATTTCGTGCTCTGACCTATATAGCTACATAAAATCTAAAAATGTAGTTGTGAAAAAGAAATGAAGATAATCTCAATAAATAGTTGTAATGTTTGTATTCAGGTCAGTTCTAATTCAGTCTAAAAACTAAGCCTGCCTCACTGACAGAGACCGGGACAGTTACATTAGGTATGTGTTGCTGAAGTGAAACTGCACTCTACTTCATAAGTTGTAATATTTGTACTCCGGTCAGTTCTAATTCAGTCAAAAACTAAGCCTGCCTCACTGATAGAGACCGGTGCAGTTACATATCTAAGTATGTGCTGCTGAAGTGATACTGCACTCTACTTCATAAGTTGTAATATTTGTACTCCGGTCAGTTCTAATTCAGTCAAAAACTAAGCCTGCCTCACTGATAGAGACCGGTGCAGTTACATATCTAAGTATGTGCTGCTGAAGTGATACTGCACTCTACTTCATAAGTTGTAATATTTGTACTCCGGTCAGTTCTAATTCAGTCAAAATCTAAGCCTGCCTCACTGATAGAGACAGGGGCAGTTACATATCTAGGTATATGCAGCTGAAGTGACACTGCACAAACAGTGACTACAGGAAAATTTGATGCCGATTTTTTTAAATCGCCAAAAATAAAAAACTTTCGTCATCCAGAAGCAGGGGATTGTCGGTTGTCAAACTTATCTAAGGGAGTGTACGTCTTGATCTAGTATTTGCAAAACAATAAGGCGTTTCGAATTCATGTTTCTTGAATGATATAACTTAGGCGCAATATCCTGGTTAAACAAAACTGTTTAAAATTCGGGAAACAGTTTTCTCACGCACCGAGTGTGGTACACAATCGGCTATTACTCGATGTAAAATCTCAAATACACTTTGTTCCAAATCTCAGCCCTCCAAGAATTTCAGTGTAATAAAACAAAACATCTTTCTGTCAAATTCAAAAAACTCACACAAAAACAAAAACTTTTTACATATATGGAGGGGCAAATATTTCCCGTTCTTTGTATTATGTTCACATATCTTCATGAAGTCCCAATACAGGTTTTTAATAGAGCTACTTTCCTTATATCGCGGAATAAACAAAGCTATGGTAAATCCGATGTTTTTAACGAAGACGTAGATTGAGAAATTATTTGAGAAATATGCGTCCGCGCACCTATCGTACAGATAACTCCGGGACAGATCATATGGAAGTACGTGGAAGGGAGAAGTCAGTAAAAATTTCTGCCCAAAGATGTAGACATACTTCTTACTACTTCCTATATTCCAATAGCAGAGTAGTGCCCAACTAATGTAACCAAAGCTTTAATAAGTTGTTTTGTTCTCAGAGGGAAAATAGATGAGACTTTTTTTATAGAATTAGCACAGACTTACTTTTGAATTTCAAGAACTTGTGATGCTGTTTAATTTTACTCAATGCCCTCTGGCATCAGATGTCATCCAAATTCGAATATCCCTGTTTTGAGGAGTATGCACAGTTCAAAGCATCAGATTCCAAAAAGTCAAACGTCGATTGAAAAAGTTTGAATAACTTACGAAGCACTATTGCTTGTGACATTTAAGTTGTATGTATATACGTACCATCAGCACAAGGGTGTAGCCAGTACAAGGTTGGAGAAGGCAAGGCAATTTAAAATTATTGAGTTGAAATAAATCGTATACTTAGATCATATTTAATCCTAGTGTTGGATATTTTCAATATCACACAGTCAGTTTAGAATATTATAGTCTGAGTTAGTATTTCTGGAGAATCGGTGAACTCGCCTGCCTCGTGCCTGGCTACGCCCCGATGTCGTGGATGACCTCTGCTGTGACGTTTGTCATTTGACCTTTATTATTTTTCATGCTTGTGTAACATGTCAACTTTTCTCCAAGCAGATTGGCATGCACGTTGTACAGCCATGCTTTCAATTTTGCAGCTGCTTGGAGTATTCTGGGAATCTCAAATAAGAGTCTCAGTTTACAAGCATCTGTCCCAGATCCTCAGTGCCTGGGATTCTGTTGAAACGCGACGACGCTGTTTCAGCTTCTCTGAAATCTAACGCTTTTCTTGATTCAAATCACTCAAAGTAGGATTTAATTTGGACATTGGATTGGTAAGGTTGATTTTTTCTATTGTCTTAGCAATTTTTATCTTAATTTTCCTTGTCAATTCTAGCATTATCTTTTTCGTCCTAGATCATTTACGTCTTAAAAGCGGAACTATTAAAACTATCGGTATTGTAATTTCGTAAAAATGAACAAATCTGTAGAATTGATGTGAAAAAGATTTGAGATTTGCATTTGCTGTGACGTCATCGTTTTGTGCCTTTATGGTTTGACCGATCACGATAACTTGCATACAAGATATTAGGAAAAAATGGCACTGGCGTTTGTCTAAATCTATTGATGACTAGATCAAGAGTTAGGGGCGTCCAAAGTTTAAATTGAAAAAAACGTAAATCATATGACGATTCAGTCACCATTTCCATCTTAGTTAGTTCATTATACTCTTAGTTCATGTAGCACTCGTGTTATCCGCACCCAGTGATTTTGCGGGCACATTTTGCACTGGGTGTAGTAGCTATACCACAGTGTGACACTTTTATAAAGTAATTAGCTTGTTCATATCTTTAGTCTTGTGTTAATTGAACATGGTGTCACTTTTGTAACTGTATACAGGACTAAATTTTAACATTTCAGTGGTGGTCTGAATATATCCAAGAAGAGCTATGTGTGTCTAAAATAATGTTGATCAAAATACTAGTAGTTAAATAATATAATAGATCTCTAATATTTTTCTGTAAGGCCATGACTAATATAAATAGTCTGAAGTGGAATCACTTCCTAGGTTAGACGGGTTATTTAAATGTTTCATCCGGGTGTTTCTTTTAGGCCTTATGTCATTATACATGTCCATATGTCTACAATTAACGCTCGACCAATACATGTAATTATTAATTTACAACATATGGTCCTCCTACTTATGATTTTATATTACTACAATTTTCATTAATGGCAATTTGGAGGTGAGTTTTGTATTTTGGTGTAAATAAGTAGTTATATGTGAAAGAGTTTTGCATTTTTACGTGAATAAATAGAAATACGTGTAATGAAACAGTAATTATGCAATAGTTTAGATTCAGCTGATCATTCAATGATCTTACTTTAAACTCAACTTAATTTAGACTTAGTTTATAACTTATTACAAGTACAACTCGACTTCAATTTCGAAATATTTTACGTTTTTGTTAGGTTATGTTTGTACGTTTCAGATTCTCTTTAGCTCCAATCACACGATAGCACCCTGTATCACCATGTATATACTTGCCCTCGTCACGTTAATGGCAGCCTCTGCAGTCATGGCTGATGTACCTGCATTCTGCAATGGATACGACTGCCCACGATTCAAGGTTTTAAGGGAAATGCCCGTAAGTCTCTTTTGATCCTATTTTCATGAAAATGAATTCTAAAGTGGCCAAGATGACGGGTTGGGTCCAACACTTCTGACTTTATTTCATATTTGATCAGAAAATCTCTGAGTCGCATTTTGTGAAATGTAAGATGACGAATATATCAATTTGTTGCATTTAGGACTATGAAGTCCGCGAGTACGAGGAATCACGCTGGGTGGGCACTGACGTGTCCGGCGCAAGTTTCAGGCAAGCAGGTCGCAGTGGGTTCTGGCGTCTTTTCAGATATATCTCAGGAAACAACGTTGCAAGTAAGTACAATTTGACAAGTTTACGTACAAGTGATTCTAGCACATTGAAATATATTTGTACAAAACAATAAGATTTTTAGATTTTTGGTACCAAAGGGTGCGTTTTGATAACTAGGATTGATGTGGTCATTTGATTATTTTGTGAACCAGATTTCAAACTGAGTATGTTTTAGATATTTTGTCAAATGTGATAAATTGTGATAAACTGTGATAAACCATCCATGTTGTAATATCTTTTAATTGTTTCCCCTACGAATCATCGTCATACTGTGAATTGCTGCTCAGGAACACTATCAACCATTTACCATTCAGTTAGATCATGAAGAATCCCATTATGAAAACATATTAAAGAAAACTCGAGAGAGGTGGCATCCCCGGGGTGGCATCGCAGTAGTTGTTTGTGTGTAGGGGATACAAATTATTGGTCACATCATAACTAACATCTGTCTATCCACTCAGCACCTATGTACACTTTATATAGTTTATTTAATTTGCTTTGGGAATGTAAATAATTAATCGATTTTCTAGACGCCAAAATCCCCATGACTTGTCCTGTGTTGAGAACCATCTTCCCAAAAGAGGTCGCTGGCAGTGAGGGAAAATACACAACATTATTCTTTCAACCGCTCAACCTACAGGAGATAGGAGGCCCCGCTCCAAGTGATCCTGACGTGTACCTGCAAGTGGTCCCTAAAGTCGTCATGTATGTAAGGTAGGTACCAACTGTTCAGTTTCGGGGCCTGTGCTATAAGCCGGAAGGTTAATCGACAATTTTAGTTTATCAATCAAACTGATCGAAAACTATGGTCAACGTGCAAATAGAGTAATAGAAATCTGATAAAAGAACTGGAGAAACTCCATGAAATTGGAAATCGATTTTTAAAGATCATTCTTCATTTCTAGATCTATTAATTATAAAATGTTGTATACTTTCATAATTATATATATGCAACTTGAAAGAGCTCCATAATTATGGTATTCGAATTATATCCGACTTGGTTTTGAAAATGAACGAAATCGGTGGAGGTGTATTCAATTTATAGGGAGTTTAAGCTTGCACATTAATCGAAACGCCAATCTATATATACGTATGACCAATCGCCCATACAAACTCCCTAATAGCCAAATGGGGAGCGATTTCGAATATTCTTCTATCGTGACCATTACCAATATAAAAGATCCAAGACTGACAAGTTTATTTGATTGATTGCCGGAACACACAGGCGAACAGATAGACTTATCGCTCATCTTTAAAAGCTCTTCAGAAACATCCGTCGGTGGGATTGTATTAATATTCATCTAAGTTGATACAAATGAGATATGGTTTGCCCTTTATCATGAGGTGTACGAACGAACGAACGAATGAATAAATATATTTGTTGCATCAATGATTTCCAATTATATGTGTTCATTTATCATTTTGTATCTATTTTCAGGAGTTTCGGCGGATATGCATCTGAGGACGATTACCTCAATGAGGCAGATATTCTCGCTGCCAGCATTAACAACTCAAGTGCTTATATCAATGACGAATACTATGCCGCTGGTTATGACAGTCCCTTCAAGTTTTGGAACAGACACAACGAGATCCTCTTTAAAGCCAGAGATAGCCAAAAGGACTAAATATATAAATAGTATACAGTAAAACGGTTGTAGCGGTTGTTAACATTTCAAGATTATTTTAACAATGCTAATCAATGGTAGATTAGAGAACTGTTTTTACTGTGCATTATAAACTAATAACAGACTGGCATAATGAATGGACCAATGGTTTTGCAAATTTGCTAATAGTTATGATTTTTATAATGCTTTTCTAGTGACCAAATATAATCTTTTAGCTGTATTAGATATCAGATATAATATTAATATTATTATTTCTTTCCGATCACTTTGTCTTTTGGGTGCGACTCAATTTTCTTGGGTAGAGATAATCACTATAAAAATATAATATACTACGAAGGTCGGTGTTGGAACCCTGCTAATTTGAGGGGTCCCAGGAGATACTCAAGTTTCTATTATGCCGGTGTTTTACACTGTTTCTAAGTATGACGTACAATCGAAGCAACACCAGTTGCAGTAACCTAGTAACGTCTGAAAGTTGGAACAGAAAATGGTCGAATGTGATTAGCTTGGGAGGAATGTTTGACCACTGTAATTTGTAACAAGATGTATCCAAAGCAGGAAATAGTGCAACACAGGGGAGCTCCCCACATACAAAATGCGTATCCATCGATTCCAGTTAGTGGTACTCAGCCTACGCAAAACATGCAGCCAATACCAGTAGGCGGTACTCCGCCCATGCAGAATATGCCACCGACTGGCCAAGCCAACAACATACCAATGGGAACCCAATCACCGTATGGACAAACAGGGCAACTAAATGTACAACCGGTGATACCTGTTCACGGATATTCAATGATTACATCGGAATACCGAATACACCAAGCAAGGAACCTCGCGATTTCTGGAATATTAGGAATAGTGGTTGGAATTGGCTTCACTATATATGCCACAATTGCTGACGGCATGGGCGAATTTATCTATATCGGGCCAATATCAATCTGCATTGGAATAGGTATTACAATTCTGGGAGCGTTCATGTATAAAAAAGCAAAGGAATCAGTCGCCACTAATGCAGTTGGACCTAGGAATACTGATGTATCAAACATAAATGCTCCACAGCCAACCGTACTAACAGAAGCAAGTCAAGGAGCGTATCCAGCTGCCCTTCCTCCAAATGGGCCTCATGCATCTTCTCCACTACCAGGTGCAACCTTCCCGACAGCTCCACTGCCAAATAGTCAGCCTCCACCTCCTTATATGCCGCCACCCCCATATTCAGGACAATCTGCAAGGGGCAACTAATCATCATTAACTCTATACCAGCACTTCTTTGATAGTATTGGTTTAATGTTATTGAGAACTATTCCAACTATCATACGGCAATTTTGCATTCACGATATTTTAACAGCATCATTAAATAAATCAGACCTACGTTTTTATTTATTTAGAATCAGTCTATATCCATTTTGGAACACACTATATCGTAAATGCAACGTTTGTACGGTTCACTATTAAAACAAAAATAGATTTTTGTACAACCAATTGATGAGTTGGTACTTTCGTTGATCTTCAAGGTTCTAATTTGACTACACAGTTCATGTAGAACGGATATTTACACATTTTGCATCAAATATATCCTTTATTCACACATAGCTAGACATAGCTAGGCAAAGTGCGTCCAATATCAGCCACTCAGAATACGATATTTCACACGGCATACAATTATACAACCGATCATCGCATCCATTGAATGTTTGTCAATGGTTGTCAAGGTGAGAACCAGATTCTACAAATTGAAATTGATGCTTTGCAAACTTGACCGTTGCAAAAGGTTTTATAGAAAAGAAGTTCTTTAGATATTTCGTACATTTTAAGTGACATGAAAATATTTTGCAATGTGTGAAAAGAATTTAAGCCCAAGACTCAATGTATTATGGAATGACCATTCCTTTCAGGGGTTGTTTCCTAAAATTAACAGTCGATGCTGGCGCATCTCGTGCACATTTTTGAAAGCAAGACCTTCAACGAATGGTCATTCCACATTGCACTGTGTCCTTACTCTCCATTGATATAAATAAATGGAGATTAGGACCATAAATTAATAGGTCCTCCTGCCCTTTTACACCGGTTTACTAGAAATAGTAATTAAACTTTCGCATTGCATTTAACCCACTTATACTTAGTGGGCTTTTCCATAGGTGACATAAAATACCAGGAGAATATCCCTTTACTGGATCAAACTTATGAATTTAAAGACGAAGGAACAAAATCTGATAAAATGTACATTTTTATATTTCTGACTTATTTTTGTATTTATAAGCTTATATTGTATCATATGTTTCAACTAGCTATACTATCAAAACAATTATTACAAGTTTTACTACACACACTCCCATTCTAATATCTAGAAATAATGACTCTGCAGATGATTCTTGAATTTTCATTATTTTTGGAACAACTCACTGATATATTCAGTCAATTTTTAAGTCTCAAAATCCGGATTTTACGAAAAAATAGGACGGAGTTATGTTTACGCATCACTACACCAGTATTATTTCATGAGTATATCAGAATCTCATTTGATTACGCATTTTGTACATTACACATGCGTAATAGATTATGTGATCATATTTGTTTTTTAGAAGTGACCCATTTTTCATGGCCCACTTTGTATTTCAGACAAGGTGGCGCACATTTCATTTACATTTTAATTTTTCTCGTCCTTTGGAGAATTCTGATGTTGCCACCTCACCTCACATATGGTCTGCCATTAAAGGGTTATACCCCATCCCATCCTCGATCATATTTTCCGTTTTGTCTAAACATTATTTTGTAACACATTAAGTTCCTTTTGGATTTTCACGAAATGGGCATGACATTGGATAACATGATCCATAAAGCTCTCCAAATTAAGACAATTTTCGAAAAATCTCTTCTCTGCTTCTTCCGTCCGGCTTACATTGACATCTACTTGGGTCAACGTGGAACCTTCTTTGACAGCAAAAGATTGTGTGTGAAGGACATTGTGTGTACCCCTTGACCTAACGGTGACGTCATAGTTACCATGGAAGGCATTTAGTGATATGGTCTCACTATTTGACATGACGGGAAACTTCTCATCGGTCATCCAGTCATTCTTGACCAATTTTTGCCATCTTCTACCAGCGGCGTTGGCCTGAAACATATAACTGTTTGCAGTAAGAAGGTCAGATTAATGGGGTGTTGTATTCTTAATTAAATGTGAAACGACCCCCTGCTTCCTCATCGATTAGTCACACTACCCTCTCATATTCTTATAACACCATTTCAGATTTTACTGATGCTGATAAGATCGGAAAAATTCTAACTAAGGGCGTTGAAATGTGAAATGTTCCGACAAACCGTAATAACAATATATAGCAAGAAATTAAAACGACTACCCATACCTGGCAGTTTGGACCCTCTGCTAGTGCGGCCGAAGGTCGCCAATGTGCCTGGTCCCAGAAGCCCCAAAGAAGAACACCCTTTACAGCAGGATGGGCGTAGAAGACCTTCATTGTCTGTTCATACAGGTCAGCTCTCGTGTTAACATTTATCTCTTCTATATCATGCTCAGTGATCCATATTTCCGCACCCACTTCAGCGAGCGTATCAAGACGTCTCTAAAAAGAGAGAAATGGTTGAGTAATTTACACACATTTTTATGCTATTGTATCAAGAGCAATACTCATCGCTCCTATGCTGAATAAACAACATATGATACGCCTGAAATCTTGGTCATCTTTCGATTTCCATCTTAGGATTGTAATAGTGAACAAGAAGGAAATAACAGAGAAGGTTTAATGTAGTGATGATTCGGCTGGATTCGTTGGGTAGATCTTCTCAAAGTGAATGTTTGTCCTACATTGTGTATTCCTGAACGTTTTGACATTAAGCCTCCGAGATTAGATGATGGGTCTTTTTCGCACTATTTTTCTTACTTGCAGCACTCCTGGTGGCGGAACTTTGCCTTGGCGGAAATGTCCCTGGACTCCGACATGAACATCGACACCCTCCTCTCTAAGACGCCTCACTTGGTTTGCAAGAGCCTGGATGTAGAAATGAACGTTGAAATAAGCGGATATATAAACATAAGTGCTAAAATTGAAAAGCCAAAAGCATAAGAAAACACGACGAGTGAAATTAGTAACAAGAACATGTGTACAAAATGTCCCCATCTATGGGTGATCCCGGCAAATGGTTATCCTAAAAATGAGTAGACAAGACCTTACCGACAGAATTTGAGGACGGAAAATCCAAAATGGCCACCTTAAAATTTACCTAGAATGCCAAAAAATTAGTCAGTTCTAGATTTTCATACTAAGAACCACCCCTGAAAATTTGAAATTGATCCGTCACACAGTTAACCAGAAAACATGTAAACAAGACTTTACAGAGGAGATTTGAGGACAGAAAATCCAAAATGGCTGCCTTGACATTTATCCAGAATGCCAAAAAAACGAATATGTTCTAGATATTCATACTAAGAATCATCCCTGAAAATTTGAAATTGATCTATCAAACGGTTCACCTTGAAATGCGTAGACAAGACTTTACAGACAAGATTTTAGGAGAGAAAATCCAAAATGGCTGCCTTGACATTTACCCAGAATGCCCAACAACTAATCATATCTAGATTTTCATACTAAGAATCGCGTAGACGCGTAGACAAGACTTTTCAATATGATACAAAGTATTCTCGTGCGCTAACTTTCCTTAAAACATTCAAAATGGCTGACATGACTGAGCTAACAGGTCCAAAACCTAATCAGATCTAGAATGAAGTGAGCTGAACAAGATGTTAAAGTTTTAAAAGCAACTGTGAAGCCGTTTTTCTTAAAGTTTGCAGACAAGGATTTTAGCATTTGACTTCAAAATGGCCGACAGGAAGTAGGTATCGAGTTAATTTTTTTTCATCCACATCTGTTTGCACTCATAAGTTATCCCTGAAAATTTGAAGGCGATATCTGTAGCAGTTTTGGAGAAAACTGCCGGACGTACGGACGGACAGACGGACATACGGACAGACAGACGGACGCGCCTAGGCCGACAATATGGCCCCACACTATGTGGTGGGGACATAAAAAGGAAAACAAAATTCCGATATTTTCATTGTACTTAGGATGAAAATTGTTGGATTCTGCATAACAAATATAGTTACAGTAAACTACGGTATATCTACTTCTGGAACTTACAAACGTCAATCTTTGACTTGATATAACTTGAAAATCATTAACGAACAGTTTCACGTTCCCGTCAACTTTTTCAACTTCTCTAAACACATCAGTCATAAAGTTTGCGTTTCCAGTTTTCTGCTCGAAGAAGAATCCGTGTAGGTCCTCATTGTTAACGTCCCAGTGGACCAGCCTATAGGGAGGAAGGTTTTAAATATTGTAAGGCGGTCGATACGATGCAAGTTTAAGGAACGTATCGACCGACTTATACTACTGTAACAAGTCGGTATCAACTGAGCAACAAGAAGAAAATAATCAAGTTATTTGGAGAAGAAAGATCACACGTGAATACAAAACAGTCAGGAGATATCATAGGTACAAACGTTCATGATGATTGCGTTAAGATCGTTTTGATAGATGGATTGGTTAATGAATTTACTTCATATGAATACCATAATAAGAAACTAATGTAAATTTAGATAACGATTTTGAAATGTATGTTTCATAAACGCCCAAAATACGTCACCTTCCTTTGAATCTATCGACAACTCCATTTATTCGAGTAGTCACTTCTTTCCGGACCATTGGGCCTGTCTTATGACGAATCCAATCTGGAATTCTCTCATCCACTCCCCATGATACACAATGACCACGAACTGGGATGCTGAGTGATGAAAAATGGTAAGACATGGTAAAAACGGTTTAAAGGCTTTTATTATCACTAATGCTGTTGAATGCTGTTGTTTTCCATGTGATACACATTTAGCGAAAATCCAGTCGGTCACCGCATTATCTTAGAAGTGTCTTACGTTGTCTAGTGCTTTAGCTTTGTTTCAATTTTGAGAATTCAAGTACGTACCCATGTTCCCTCAGACTGTCAACTGCTATCTCAGGTCGGCCATAGTTAATTTGCCCCTGAAATAAATTTATGTACGCATTTTATGAATTTGGTTTCTTTTATTTTGCCCGGATTGTCAATATATGAATTTCAATAATGATGGAAAACATATACTATAGTAGTTTAGTCAGTTTTACTGAGTAGATCGTACCTACCTTCTTCCGTTCCATCTGACGCCATTTTAATGCATTTTCTAAAACAGCCCACTCAAAGTTTTTGTAATAGAAGTCTTGATAGGGTTTGTTTGCTAGTTGAGAGCTGTTTATTCTCATTGCTTGGACTGCACTTCCAAAAGCAAATGGTCGACTTTTCTGCGATACCTCCACTTCGATGTCTGAGGGGTTAATGGACGATGATAGAGCTAGGCTTGAACAACGATAAATTTTATTAACCAAATATTCTAAAAATGGGTTCACATATCTATTTGTGCAGTCGAAATGTTGACACATGCGCAGACCTCTATTTAGTGATATTTTCATTTCAAATATGGCGGCCAATCCGATGTCTGACGACCCTTACAAAGAATCTAGGCAGTGTGCAATTTTACCTCCTGTGAAATAACAACTGGAATTTAGTAGTTGTTTTGTGTTTTATTATCATTCTGCATCGTAATTCTATGTGATGTGGTGTTGAAATGTCAGCAGAAATACATATCCATACGATAATCGAGTGAATCAGATAACAGATTTTTCGAAAACATGTCTCGTGCTAAGCGTGTAAAAACTTGTATTAACATGCTCAAAAGTGCCAATGTGCACATCAATGTCAAGCTAAATCAATGTTGTGTCTAAAACAGGTACCTGATCTACTCAAAACAGCTTGTCATTCACGTATACACGCTTAGCAAACACGGCGAAATGATCTGAATCTTGGAATTTCGTTTGAGAGCTAGTAATGTTTGCTCCGGTCTTCGTCATAAGTGATCATCAGACTTCACGCATGCTCAGGAGAAAAACCATCAACCAATCACGTTTATAAATCAATTTTGCGCATGCGCCTTACAACGGTAAAGAAATTTGTATTTATAAACGAACCAATTTGAGATAACCCGATATCAGTCGGAGAAATCTGACGATTTACGAAACTCACTTCAAAAAATCAAATGCGGACTGACGGCGTATTCTACTATGTTTGGATCTAAGATTTTCAGCATAGATAAAGTCTTTTATGATCTTTCGAATGAGGTAAGTCTCTAGTTCGAAAGACAATCGTATCAACTTGAACAAAAGTTGAGTTTTGACGAAAAATTTTAACATGCGCAGAAGTCCCATTTTCGTTGTACCATATTGACTGTGTGGCCACTTTTTAAGGCTATTTCAATCTTGTACCAGATCGACTCAGAACTGCCATGGTAATACTTATATGTTTATAAAATGACGTCACAATGATATAATATTGAAAACACCCTAAATAGTTATTGATATTGTCATGGAGAACTTCAAATTACGTCACATCAAAATACTTAATACATGACGCACAATTATGACGCACAGTCGGAACAGAAAGCTCCTTAGAAACAGAAAATCTTCAGAATGAACAATGAAAACAATAAAACTGCTCATTGGGCACATATTTGACGATACGTGATGTATCCAAGGCAGGAAGGGGCGCCAATTGGTGGAGCCCCGTCCTTGCGGAATCAACCGCTCACACTACATGTACAGGATGGTGCTCCACAGCACGTCGGACTACAATCACTGTCGACGCTTGAACGCCAACATAGAGCAAAAATACGTTGTTCGGTGCAGTTAGTGTTTGCCGGAGTATTTTTATTGATTGGTGGTATCGGATTGACTTTCTTTCACGCAATTGTCTTGTCGGGTGAAGAAGAGGAAGGGGCGGATGTAGAAGAGGAAGGGTCGGGTTTTGGAGAGGAAGTGGACATTTTTTCAGCGTTTCAAATAATAGGACCATTTCTAATTGGAATCGGGCTTATAATGTCGCTCATCGGAATTTTTCTTTACAATAAGGCAAAACGTGAATCCGTCATTACTGCAGAGCGTCAACGTGAGCAGTCTGACACTTCAAACATGGACTCCCAATCAGCACCGCCGACATTGTCAAATCAGGGTTGGCGACCAGGGTTACAGCCTTTGAACGCGCCACCATCTATTTCAGGTACGACGTATGCAACACCGCCACATCCAGGTACTACTTTTCCAGGACCGCCGCATGCTGGTATTACTTTTCCAGGACCGCCACATTCAGGTACTACTTTTTCAGAACCGCCACATCCTGGAACTACTTTTCCAGGACCACCACATCCAGATATTACTTTTCCAGGACCGCCGCATCCTGGTACTATTATTCCAGGACCGCCCCATCCGTGTTCTACTTTTCCAGGACCGCCACCTCCAGGTACTACTTTTGCAGAACCGACACTTCAAAGTACTCAAATTCCTGCTAACTTGGCATCTCCAGGCCCACCACTACCCCCGGGCCCACCTCCACCCCCATATGTGCCGCCACCTCCATATTCAAGTGAACTACGGGGACAAGGCGTGGAATATAGAGGGATATCTGGAGCGGGACAATCTGCATTTAAGACCTAATTAAAAACATAGAATTTAGAACATTTGAAAAAGGGACAATGATACCTTTTGTGAAAAAAAACATTTCGTGGCCAATGTATACAATTCGGGGAAATGCAAAAGTTATTTTTTCATCTTACAGTCTCAAGGATCCAAATGAAATGACTGTTATCAGTTCTCTCGGTTTTATCATGATTTGATATATATTTATAATAATAAAAATGCATTACTTCAACTCAACACCTCCTTTTCTCATGGTGCTGATTTGCATATTTATATTCGTCTCATGCTGTGGGTCCTCAATGATTTCACGCATAGAAACACTGTCGATGTTGTAGTTTATACTCGCATGGACAGGTTGGAGGAAGATGTAGGCAGAAGCTATATCTGTAAAAATAGTACATGTAGTAAGAGAAATATGAAACTGTTTTACTTCAAATCAGACTCCAATACAAATTACAGTGTAAATAATTCAACTGTGCTTAAAAACAAAAGTCAGTTTAAATATAGATTCTAACATGATATGTGATGTCACAATGACGAGAACAATTGATTTATTGGTCTATATTGGGGTATGTATGACCTGTAAATTTCAATATAGACCAAAAGATGTAATGACTATTACAATGCATACTCACCCCCTCTGAACCAATTTAGTCCAAAACATAAGAATTTTTAGATTGAAAATAATCAAATCGGAAGAAACTTAGGTTTTATCATGTTAGAATCGTAACAAAGACCTCGATTCTATGATTTATGGCAAATATATGACCTCAAATTTTATTCTGTCCATTGCCAAAGACCTCAATCGCTATGCGATTTCGGTCTTTTAACAATGAACAGAATAAAAATTTCGGTCATATATTGGGCCATAAATCATAGAATCTTGGTCTTTATTCCTTAATTCACACACATTGCACTGAGTCCATGCATGGCATAAATTCTTAAATATATGAAGTGAACAACAGATAGACATGAAAATACACGTACCTTCATTTGGAATGAGGACATCTCCTCCAATAAGTTGCCAACCTAACTCTTCTCTCATCTGAGGTAGAACTCCAAACACCCTACGGACCGTTCCACCTAGTAAGCAAACACCAAACATGTCATTAAAATGGAGAAGCTTCCGCTGACAGATTCTAGTCTTTCAGATTAACATTTATTCAGAAAAATGTAATAAAAGTAATATCACATTTAGAGTCCTTAACGGTGCAACATATGGATTTCTTTGCTTCGTCTCACCTCTCAACTGGTGAACCTAGCATTCAAAATGGCGTATTCGCAAAATGAAACACATGTGGACTATATTTGATGGAAAATCTACTTAACATGAAATATCACGTTTTTTTGTTTGAAATTGTTGACAACCTGATACCATCCTTCAGTTGAGAGATATATAGATCCATAGCAGTAGTTACGGATTGCTTGGAGACTGTGAGAGATCAACTCACTTCTGCGCAGATTAATGGTCAGCATGGCTTGAACGCTGTCCCAGAGGACTTCCTCTCTGGTATTGGTGTATTTGATGGCTGCCCTAAGGTAGTAGTATCGTCCCTTCTCCAACTGCACATTCTGAAGCATTGCTCCCCATCTTGCGCTTCTGTTAATTGAAATTTTTTTTTATCAGAATATTCTTCTACAAACACTGGAATCGTGAAATATAAGATAAATTAACAGACAGAATCAGACATCGTTTGGGTCTTATGATTCCTTGACTTAAAATAAGTTTTATACTTTTTCCAAGGAAAAATAGTTTTACATTAATGTGTTTTTTCTATAAGAATGGATAGGCCTATGCATATTTATTATTTGGAAGAATCTACATATTTTGACATTTCCTCAAATGTATACAGTACTATCTTTTATTGTTGTGTTATCTATCGATCTGGATATGTACATGTACATCTCTAGATAAAAAGAAAAGAAAAAACATTGGATATTGTTGTGTAATGACATGAAACTATAATTACAAATGTAAGTTTGGCACAATCCATGATTGTGCTGTCAGTATTGTGTTATGCGCTGAGGCCATCTAGCGGCAATAAATAGAACTAGACGCCATATTGAAAAGAGCATGGTTTTGTTGACCTAGATATTAAATGGATCAATTACATCTTATAGTGAGTTAATCACCTGGAATAAGTAATTCTACATAGTGTCAGATGAACCATAGAACCCTGAAATGCTCTGAAATGGACTGAACAGTGAGTAGAGTGAAGAGGAAAATACTTTGAAAAATTTTGACAGAAAATTTATCAATTTATGAAAGCTTGCAAGAATTAATTGGAGTTTATCATAGATATCTTCACTGGATTAACATTGTATCAGTGCCAAATAGACATATCAGATATTGATAATGGCGTGTAAATTACCACCACCAGAGGGATTTAATTTCGCTACACCAAACTTATGGCCTGCATGGAAGAAGCGATTCCACAGGTTCAGGCTTGCTACAGAATTATTCAAGAAGCCTAATGAGGTGCAAGTGAGTGCATTATTGTATGCAATGGGATCAGAGTCTGAGAAAATATATGAAACATTTGTATTTCCACCAACACCTGTTGTTGAAGGTGAGGAAGGTCAGCCAGCTGCTCAAGGTGCAATTGCTGCTAGTGTAGAGCCGGACTATGATCTAGTGATCCAGCGTTTTGATGGATATTTTATTCCGCAACGAAATATTGTATATGAACGTACTGCATTTGAAAGGATGACGCAGGCTAAAGGTGAACCAGTAGAACAATATATTCGTAGACTTTACGAGCAAGCTGCTAAATGTGAGTTCACTGACAAGGATGAACGGATTTTAATGCGGATAATTATTGGCATTACTGACTCTGAATTGTCATTAAAGCTACAGGAACCAAGGGAACCAGAATTAACATTGTCTCAGACTATAGCTATGGTACGGAGCAAGGAACAAGTACAACTCGAGAATAAGGCTCTGTCGACTGAAGTTGAAACCGTATCAGCGATTAAGGATCGAAAGACATTTAATTTCAGCAAGTCAAAGCCAGTGCGACAAAAATCTGAGGCTTCCAGTAAGAAGCCAGATTCCCAAACTGCCATCCGTAATGATTGTTCTAAGTGCGGACTTACACATGATAGGGGACATTGCCCGGCGGCTAATCGAAAATGTAATAAGTGCGGAAAAATGGGGCACTACGGGAGAAAGTGCCGATCGACATCCTGTAAGAAGGCTGTCAGAGAGGTCGAATGCGACGACAGTTCAGACGACATTGATGATGTTTTCTACATTGATAATGTGAACGTAAGTACGGTTCGATCTACTAATGTAAAACCCTGGAGAATTTTGTTGCCAGTAAACAAGAATATCATTGATTTCAAAATTGATACTGGGGCGGATGTGTCTGTGCTCAGTCATGATATTTATACTCAGTTAGACCCCAAGCCCAAGTTGAAGTCTATGGGGGGTAGGTCTGTAACTAGTCCTGGGGGGGATTTATCTGTGGTAGGAGAGTTTGTAGCAGAGGTGCCATATCGCAATGTAAAATATAAAATGCGGACTATAGTAGTCAAAAATAAGACTGATTGTTTACTTAGTCGAGCCGCAGCGGATAAAATGAACCTAGTGACGCGTAATCAGTGGGTAAACAATGTTCGCGAAGAGAAGATTATTATGTCCGGAGATTCCGTCGGCAAAAGTACAAAATCTCGCGAATTACCCATAATGAAATGTAAACCAGTGACCATATCATTAAATGAGGATTGTAAACCATATTCACTCGCCGTGCCGCGACGCATTGGATTAAATCTAATGAAACCGTGCCGAGAGCAGTTAGAGAAAATGGTTGAAAGGTCAGTTATACGCCGCGTCGAGGAGCCCACTGATTGGGTAGCGCCTATGGTTCCGGTTTTGAAGAAAAACGGGTTGGATGTCCGTATAGCGGTGGATTTGAAAAGATTGAATCAATCTGTAAAACGTGAAAGATACGTTATGCCTACGCTAGATGATATTACACACAAGTTGGCAAAATGCAACACATTTTCAAAATTGGATGCCAAGAGCGGTTATCACCAGATACCTTTAAATCCGGAGTCGCAACTGTTGACCACATTTATTACACCGTTTGGGAGGTTTTGTTTCCAAAGGTTGCCAGAGGGGGTAAGTTGTGCACCTGAGATTTATCAGAGGACAATGTCTGAGATTCTTAAAGATATGCCTGGAACATCAGTTTGGATGGATGACATCCTTGTGTATGGTAAAACAGTTCAAGAGCATAATAAGAATCTTGACAATGTTCTCAAACGCTTAAAAGACATGAATGTGACATTGAATCGCGAGAAATGTGAGTACCGGAAATCAAGCATTGAATTTCTTGGATACATTTTCAGTGAAAATGGAATGAGTCCAGATCCAAAGAAAGTACAAGCGATTGTGGACATGCAAAAGCCTTCTAACGTAGAAGAGCTTAGACGGTACCTCGGGATGGTTCAATTCCTTGGTCGGTTTGTGCCAAATTTATCGACGGTTTTGAAACCGCTCAATGAGCTATTGCGTAAGGATAATGTGTGGGTATGGACAGATATACAACAAGATGCTTTTGATAAGGTCAAGTCCATGCTTTCTACAGCACCGAGTTTAGTGTATTATGAAATTGGACGTCCTACAATGGTAAGTGCAGATGCCAGTTCCTACGGGTTAGGGGGAGCAATTTTTCAGAAACATGAGAAAGGATGGCTTCCGGTAAGTTTCGTATCACGTACCTTGACTGATGCTGAGACAAGATATGCACAAATCGAAAAAGAGTGCCTGGCCTCAGTTTGGGTATGTGAGAGGTTTGATCGATATCTCATAGGTTGTGAAAAGTTCAAACTTTTGACGGACCACAAACCATTGGTACCTTTGATTAGGGATAAGGATATAGACAAAGCTCCGATAAGATGTCAGCGGATGTTGCTACGGTTACTTAGATATAATCCCGAGGTTGAACATTGCGCAGGGAAAAATTTGGTAGTCGCGGATCAGTTATCGCGATCTCCATTAAATTCCAATTTTGGAGCTCAAGACAGTATCGACAGTATTGAGAGTTATGTCAAATCAGTGATTACTGATATACCTATTTCACCCACCAGATTAGACATGATAAGAGAGGCAACAAAGTCAGATAGTAATTTATCGCGAGTATATGCATATACACTTTCTGGTTGGCCCAAATATCACAAAGATGTGTCTATTGAGTTGAGACCATATTACGATGCGCGCGCTTCTATCAGCGTATACGATGAGTTACTTCTATTCGGGAATAGAATCATTATCCCCATGTCAATGCGTGACGATATTCTAGAAAAGATTCACGCGGGTCATTTTGGGATTCAAAAATGTCGTGAGAGAGCTGCCACAAGTGTTTGGTGGCCAGGCCTTTCAAGTGCCATTCAAAATAAAGTCGCTAATTGTCAACATTGTGAAGAAAAGCGAGCTTCAAATCCAAGCGAGACACTATTACCAACACCATTACCAGACAGACCTTGGCAAAAACTAGCCACGGACCTTCTAGAACATGCTAAAAAGAACTATCTTGTAATAGTTGACTACTTTTCACGTTATTTAGAGGTTTTACATGTTCCTGGGTCTGTGACTTCCCAACAGGTCATTGACAAACTTAAAACTGTGTTTGCAAGATTCGGTATTCCTGAGACCTTGATATCGGACAACGGACCTCAATTTAAGTCATATGAGTTTAAGCGGTTCGCAGAAGAATACGATTTCAAACACGTAACGAGTAGTCCACATTTTGCGCAGGCTAACGGCCTCGCAGAACGCGCAGTTCAAACGGCCAAGCGTATTTTATCAACAAATGACCCTCAGTTAGGTCTTATGAGTCACCGTGCAACTCCAGTTAATGCTACAGGCAAAAGCCCGGCACAGCTGCTCATGGGACGTAACTTGAGAACCACATTACCCACTATTTCAAGGAATCTTGATCCTGATTGGTCGGATATGAGAGAAATGAGAAATCGCGATCAGAGAGCAAAACTGATTTATGCAAAGAATTTCAATTCTAACAAAGGGGCAAAAGCCTTACCAGAACTAAAACCGGGAGATCGGGTTAGAATCAAGTTAGACAAAGAAAAACAGTGGAGTTCACCAGCGAAAGTAGAGAGAAAAGCGCAAACTCCGCGTTCATATATTGTTAATCATGAGGGGACTCTTTATCGGAGAAATAGAAAGAATCTACTCCAAACTCAAGCCATGTTAAAACCAAAGCTTTCATGGGATAAACTGTTCCAAAATACTGATTGCCCTCAAACTCTTGAGTCACAGGCAAGACCAGTTACAAATCAGATTGAGAGTCCTATTAAGAATATTCCACCCAGCAAGCTTCCCAATCTAAGCACAGATACTGAGCTTCAAACCCCTTCATTTCATGCTAGTGGCAACCAGGGTATTAGTAGTTCCAACAGTGCTTCAACAAGTATGAGTGGATACACCACACGTAGTGGTAGAGCAGTAGTAAAGCCACTCAGATACCAGAACTAATAGTTCTAGGTTATAACATTTGCATAAAGTGATATATATAGTGTGTTCATTCATAAACAGTTTGTATGTAAAAACTGTGGACAGTAAAAGTGTGTTTAATATATTGAGATTTTAGTTTATTTCATACAGAGACAATTAAAGCCAAGATGTTATTCATGCACAGCATCATTAGAGACTTTAAATGTAAAGTTTTATTTTATTGACTTTTGAGATACAATTGTTTAAAGTGATACTTAAACTTAAAGAGGGAGATGTTGTGTAATGACATGAAACTATAATTACAAATGTAAGTTTGGCACAATCCATGATTGTGCTGTCAGTATTGTGTTATGCACTGAGGCCATCTAGCGGCAATAAATAGAACTAGACGCCATATTGAAAAGAGCATGGTTTTGTTGACCTAGATATTAAATGGATCAATTACATCTTATAGTGAGTTAATCACCTGGAATAAGTAATTCTACAGATATATATTTACTACCTTCCACTGACGCTTCCACACCAGCTATCCTTGTGAGCCCCAGAATTCACCCTCGCAATCTTGCAGCCCCTGGCGTACCATTCACCATTAATTGCATTCTCAAAATCTCCATTTTTTATAAGTTCTGGCCCGAGTGTATATCCTACTATGATTGGAAAGCTACAGCATAATAATATCAAGACAAACTCTTTCATTTTAAGTAACACAAACGTTTCCAGAATTTTGGGGACTTGTGGAGTGAGTTCGGCCGATAAATTAAGTCCAGACAATGCAGTTAGGTTTATATAGGTCCCCGTTCCCCAGCTGTTAATGAAATGTTAAAATAAGTAAATGAAACAAACATTCGAATCAATTAATTGGTTTATCTATAGCTCTGGCCAGATTCGTAGATACCCATTGTAACTGGTAATTACTTCTGTCAAGTGATGTGTAGTGATATCATCATCTAATTAGTTATGGTAGAGTTCAGTGAAGGGTCACTGAAGTTACTTTCAAAGCTGTGAACTTTGGAACATGCGGACGATACACTCCTCTCAAAAAGTTTGGCAAAACAAAGTTAACTTTTGCATGTTTAAACTTGTTTTTGAAATAATTCAACAAATTAACAGGCATTGTACACAATGTAGCAGTCATTTCTTGAAGAAGTCTTCAACGACAATTTAGAAGATTGTGGTTTACATTTTATTTTTTTCCAAATTTTCAAGTATAGCAGCAGGCGAACAAAAGGAGAAGATGTGGACCGAGGCAAGAAAAACTTACAGAATTATATTAGAAGATATAAACTATACCAAAACATTTTACATGGAAACTATTGGGTTGATCGGGGCGTGGTTTTCTACCAAACTTTACTAAAATCATAAAGAACGTACGCTGGACAAAATGCTGAATAAATCAGTCGTAATTGACATAATCAAACAACAGATACAGTTTTTAAACAAACATTCCATTTAATAATTTCTATTTTGCACATCAGAAATCAGGGTACATCAACTTCAATAAGTGTAAAGGATGAACCTTCGCTGACTGTAAAACTTTGGGTCTTTATTACGTTGCCATTTTCCTTCACTGTGAGATCATAGTCCCCATGGAACGCATCAAATGTTATGATGTCGTCAGTGTCAACCACAGCGAATGTTTCATTGGTGATCCAATCCTGCTTGACAAGTCTATTCCAAGCTAAACCGGCTGCATTTGGCTAGTGGAAAAATAAAGAATATATTGATCAATAACGCAGATGTGAGTAGGTAGTTACCAGATTCACCATCGGGTGGCTCGTTCGGGTCAGATAGCATGGCTGGTATAGTAGAAAGTTCCCTTTATCTTAAATTACATATATTTGCGAGGTTCAATTTTCATATAACCCTTATTATACATATGTGTTTAATAGTTACGCAAATTAAAATATGTCCAGTAAAAGAAAATGTTATCTGTCCAATACAAGAGAAGATAATTCACTTTTTGTGGTTCTGTAACATGGGGTCTATGGGGTATCAACCCGAACAAGAAGTCACATTTTCAAAAAAAAAATTCAAAGTTGATAGATAATTTCCGAAAACATATTTCTACTTTTACATGCAGATTTCAAATATGAGATCACTTTGACTGAATTTTGAATATTTAATGACGTGAATCAAGGTTATTTCTACTCGCATATAGTCTATTGAAAGTTGTTAGCTTAGGACCTATGTTCAGGTCCAGTCAAGGTCAAGGTCATGTTGCTTGTGACACAATACTGTCCCACGTGACTAGCCTACTTGTTGAGACAAGTCAATGGTGTATATCCCCATGTTAAGTCAATGCACCCTTGCTGAAATCCTCATTTTCTCAGAAGAACTCAAATTGATCGAGTCTCAATAAACAGATTCCTGTGGGATAGTATTGCTAAAATCCGTTTTCAATAGTAAGAATATGGGTTGACATTGGGCTTCCCCTTTAGTCTTCGATTCAACCAGCAAAACCTTCTCTGTCTTAGCATGGGCGTATATTATCTTTACCTCTGTGTTTGTTTGCGCACATACAATGAGTTCCCTGTGATGTTGGACATTTGATCAGTTCATTTATTTTCTCATCTCATTACCTCACAATTTGGTCCATCAGCCAGAGAAGCATTTGGTTTCCAATGAGCCTGGTCCCAGAATCCCCACACAATAACGCCACGCACAGCAGGATGGCCATAGAATATTTTCAATGCATTTTCATACTGAGTTGCACGCTCGTTGACATCTGGTTGGTCTACATCGAGCTCCGTAATCCAGACCTCCCCTCCAGCCTCGGCCAAACTATCAAGGCGTCTCTGTCGAAAATGCAATAAGAAGACGGTGTACGTCAGCGTCCTTGAGGATCTAGATGACTAAAGAAAGTCATTCTGAGGATCTAAGATATAACTAACCTCATAGCAACTGACCACTCACCTGTAGTACACCTGGCGGAGGTAAATATCCACTATTAAAGTGCCCCTGAGCCCCAACATGTGCGTCTATTCCCTGCGCCCGCAAACGCCGGGCCTGATTGGCTAGGGCCTGAAAGTTAATTAATAGATCGAGCAGCTACAACATAAAAGAGATGCTATAGAATACTATATCTAGTAAGTTGATGATGGCATTAGTATTCATGTAGATTGTAACATACCACAGTGTATTGAGAGTATGTGACAGCGCCATAGTCATTGACAAACAGCTTAGAATTACTGTCAACATCACGTGTCTCTTGAAACATTTCAGTCAGGATGTTAGCGTTGCCCGTCTTTTCTTGGAAGAAGAAACCATGAAGATCTTCGTTGTTCACATCCCAGTGAACCAACCTAGTTGAACAGAGGCACTGATGAGAAGAAATTATGTTTAATATGCAATATGGGGAAATGATGGTATTTGATAGAATGATGAGAGGTGATGATGTGAAGAGAAGTGATGATGCGATGCGATGTGATGGTGAAGTGAGAGGTGATGGCGCGATGTGATGATTAGAGGTGATGAGATGATGACCTGAAATGTGATATGTGATATAATCACAGGCTGGTATCGAAAAAGTGTGGTGGCAGGTGACGATGTGATGAGGGCGTAATGAGATGTGAAAGAATGGTGGCAGGTGACGATGTGATGAAGCGTGGTGAGCCATGAGAGGTGATGAGGGATTATAGTGTTATTGGAGGTGACGAGGGATAATGGTGTTATGGGAGGTGATGTGGGATAATAGTGCCATGAGAGGTGATGAGGGATAATAGTGTTATGGGAGGTGATGAGGGATAATGGTGTTATGGGAGATGATGAACGATAATAGTGTTATGGGAGGTGATGAGGGATAATGGTGTTATGGGAGATGATGAACGATAATGGTGTTATGGGAGATGATGAACGATAATAGTGTTATGGGAGGTGATGAACGATAATAGTGTTATGGGAGGTGATGAGGGATAATGGTGTTATGGGAGGTGATGAGGGATAATGGTGTTATGGGAGATGATGAACGATAATGGTGTTATGGGAGGTGATGAACGATAATAGTGTTATGGGAGGTGATGAGGGATAATGGTGTTATGGGAGATGATGAACGATAATGGTGTTATGGGAGATGATGAACGATAATAGTGTTATGGGAGGTGATGAGGGATAATGGTGTTATGGGAGGTGATGAGGGATAATGGTGTTATGGGAGATGATGAACGATAATGGTGTTATGGGAGGTGATGAGGGATAATAGTGTTAGGGGAGGTAATGAGGGATAATGGTGTTATGAGAGGTGAAGACAGGAATGATGTAATCTAGATGAAATGACAATTACATTTTACAAGACATACACGGAAGACACCAAATAAAAAATGACTACAACAATACGTCAAGTAACAAGAAGACATTACCTTCCTCTAAATCTGTCGACAACGCCATTTATTCTTGTGGTGACTTCAGTTCTGACTTCAGGGCCTGTCATCGCCTGCAGCCACGATGGAACATTCACCAGCACACCCCATGAGACACAATGTCCCCTTACAGGAATCCTATGGTGAAACATTCAGGAGTTAGTAAGCGATGAGGAGAAAACATTTATGTTTATGTTAATCTTTCCGTCGGGATAAATTCCGTTTCCGATAACTTACGTTACCGTTCGTGTGTACACCTAATGACAATGGTTATATAAAATATGATGATTATTATGTAATGTACGGACGGTAGCACGGACAATAAATCTAAGCTAATCATCACGCTATTGAAAGTTACAACATATCAAACCAAAGATAAAGTCTAAAAATCAGTGCATATGTTGCAAACCAGACGTGTATTGCAGAGTGACAGTTCAGTAAAATGGTTTACAATACAGATTTGTAATTGAAATACGATTATTAAAACACAAATCATTGTTGGGTTGATTTTCATATTTTCAGGGGTATTGTACCAGCTGACACAGTCGACTACTATGTTTGATTGGCCGCCTTGAGACTGATTCTAACTTTCACTTCCTGTCGATTACTCCTGTCTATCTATAACATGTATATTTACTTACCCACGTTGGTTAAGAATATCTAAGGCAGCCTCTGGCCTTGCATAATTGATGTTACCCTAGAAAAAGAAAATAAATACATATTTTATGTACTAATTTTTTATTTTCAAAATTTAGTTGAAAATTGCTCGATACCATTACGTCCGATCGGTATACACATAATTGAATGTTCAACATTTTTTGGGCCCAATTTCTTTTTCTGGGGGGGGGTACGGAGGGGGTACTTCATATTAACTGTCAACACTGTTACGCTTACCATTGTCCATCCCATATTTATGGTGGGGATGTAATTCATATTTACGGAGGGGGTACTTCATATTAACTGTCGACACTGTTACACTTACCATTGTACATCCCATATTTATGGTGGGGGTGTACTTCATATTAACTGTCAACACTGTTACGCTTACCATTGTCCATCCCATATTTATGGTGGGGATGTAATTCATATTTACGGAGGGGGTACTTCATATTAACTGTCAACACTGTTACGCTTACCATTGTCCATCCCATATTTATGGTGAGGATGTAATTCATATTTACGGAGGGGGTACTTCATATTAACTGTCAACACTGTTACGCTTACCTTTGTCCATCCCATATTTATGGTGAGGATGTAATTCATATTTACGGAGGGGGTACTTCATATTATCTGTCAACACTGTTACGCTTACCTTTGTCTATCCCATATTTATGGTGAGGATGTAATTCATATTTACGGAGGGGGTACTTCATATTAACTGTCAACACTGTTACGCTTACCATTGTCCATCCCATATTTATGGTGAGGATGTAATTCATATTTACGGAGGGGGTACTTCATATTAACTGTCAACACTGTTACGCTTACCATTGTCCATCCCATATTTATGGTGGGGTGTACTTCATATTAACTGTCAACACTGTTACGCTTACCATTGTCCATCCCATATTTATGGTGGAGGTGTACTTCATATTAACTGTCAACACTGTTACACTTACCATTGTACATCCCATATTTATGGTGGGGGTGTACTTCATATTAACTGTCAACACTGTTACGCTTACCTTTGTAAATTCCATCTGTCGCCACTTCATAGCATTCTCCATCGTAGCCCATTCAAAGTTGCTGTAGTAAAAGTTCTGGTAGGCTTGGTTGGAGCCGTCCGTACTACTGATTCTGTCTGCCACAATAGCACTTCCAAACGCAAATGGCCGACTCTTTTGAGTCACTTCAATCGTCAGATCGAATGGATTGATCGGCGGATCAACTAGAACGCTTTCAAACAATTTTGTAACAGTAAAATATATCTGAATGCCTACAGTTATATTTATGTTTGCTTCACGCGATACTTCTCTTCCATAATTCTTGTAAACGAATGTTTGAATTTTTATTTACCTCGTCAGGACAGGTCGAAAATGACAGGAATAATTAAAATCAATTGGCGACAAGTTAAATTCACCAAACGAGATAGGCTCAAATACATCTCCGAAGGGGGACATCCGTTTCCCAAACTTATTTGGAGAGGTATAAAAGAGAACAAGAGAAACACAATATGGTGGTACCTTAATCCTACAGTTCCTCTTCTATTGATGTTGATATCTTCGTCAATGTTAATGTCATGTTGTGGATCTTCAATGATTTCACGCATGGAGACACTATCAAGCTCAAAGTTTCTGCTGGCGTGAGATGATTGGAAATAAACCCTCGCTGATGTGACCTCTAGGAAAATGATGAATTTAATGAGGCAATAATTCTTACCTTTTTATAATACCATTGATTAATTATAATTGATTGATTTACATGATTCATTTTTGAGCCTCGGCTTCAAGAAGGGCAAACAGTATTCGCTATTTCAATTTGCCACATTCAAACTTCTCTGACTGACTGACATGCATTTTACTTACCTGTATCTTCTACACGTATGTCACCCCCAATCTGCTGCCAACCGAGTTCTTGTCTCAGCTGTACAAGGGAACCGAAGGCAGCGTAATACGTTGACCCTGTATTGAAGGAGTATGTCATTATTTTAAAGAAACTGTGATGTGATGATTATTATGTATCATTTAAAATATTCTTGGGTGACCATTAGGCGTTGTCGTACCGTCTCCCCGTACAATTGCCACCATCGCATCTGCTTGGTCCCATAGAGCTCCCTGTCTATCGTTGGTGTATCTAATCACTGCCCTTAAGTAGTAGTACCTGCCCCGTGTCACCTGCACATTCTGGGATATACCTGCCCAGTTGGCGCCCCTACAAGAATATAACAGTCGGCGACGTGGTGACCATATAATTGGAGTTATTTGGGGCTCAAATTAGAAAACCATTAAAATTTCTGAATTTACGGAACTACCTTACAAGTACATTTAATTACTTTTACCTGTTCGTCACACTTGCACTCCATTGGCCTTCGTATGGCTCGGCGTTGACTCTTGCAATCTGACAGTTTGTGGCATACCAGTCACCATTAAACTCAGATTCGAAACCTCCATTTACAATCACTTCTGGGCCGAGTGTGTAATACCCAGTTGTTGAATGGAACAAGTAGAAAAGAAACCAACGTATTGGAACAATCGCCTTCATTTTGAACTGTTTATATGTATTTCTAAATTTAAAAATGTTAAAATTCAGGTTGTGGGAATTAGTCATATGTCAAGGTTATATAATTATTCTCAATCAATAACATTTGATAATTGCCTGAAACCACACAAAAAGGCTGGAGTAGCCTATCAACTGGTTTGTTGCATTTACACACACATTTTCGAAACCTCTGAAATAATATCTGCGATGGGGGTCTTTATGGAATTACGACATGGACACTATAGGGTTGATTGGGGCGTGGTTTTCAACCTAACCTTACCGTAAAAACAACGTACTCTGGACAAATGTTGAAGATAAACCAATCCAAATTGCCAAAATCAATCAACAGATATAGTTTTCAAACAAATCCTCCATTTAATAATTTTTATTTTGAACATCAGAAATCAGGGTACATCGACTTCAATAAGTGTGAAGGATGAACCTTCGCTGACTGTTAAACTTTGGGTCTTTATTACGTTGCCATTCTCCTTCACTGTGAGATCATAGTCCCCATGGAACGCATCAAATGTTATGATGTCGTCAGTGTCAACCACAGCGAATGTTTCATTGGTGATCCAATCCTGCTTGACAAGTCTATTCCAAGCTAAACCGGCTGCATTTGGCTAGTGGAAAAATAAAGGATATACTGGTACATTGACAGTTGGATTCCTCATTTTGCTTGTGAAAGTGAAACTTTTCGTTCTTCAGAATGATACAAATGAGCGTGGGTCATCGATTCGATCAGACAGATCTTCTCTAGCGTAGTTATCTCTCTGTTTGCTTGCACACTTTCAATGAGTCCCCTATGATGTTGGACATTTGATCAGTTCATTTATTTTCCCATCTCATTACCTCACAATTTGGTCCATCAGCCAGAGAAGCATTTGGTTTCCAATGAGCCTGGTCCCAGAATCCCCACACAATAACGCCACGCACAGCAGGGTGGCCATAGAATATTTTCAATGCATTTTCATACTGAGTTGCACGCTCGTTGACGTCCGGTTGGTCTACATCAAGCTCTGTAATCCAGACCTCCCCTCCAGCCTCAGCTAAAGTATCCAGGCGTCTCTGTTTTAATCGAAAATGCGATACGAATAAGAATATACAACAAAAATAGTCCATTTTTATGATTCTAAATTACTTATTCCACTACATGTACTACAGCTTGTGCAATGTTTTTGTGGGATCAAACCATAAATATAAAATATAAGATCATTCTTTAATTGATATCATTTTATCATCAAGTTGATATCAAAAAGCTAGTTTGTGACAGTGGATAGGACAATGACACCAGTGGCGTAGCCAGGATTTGGTGACCGGGGGTTCTATTTTTATGTTATTCACAAATCCCCCCCCCCCCCCTTCATTAGGGTTCCTTAAAAAATGCAATTTGTACAATTACACTCCCTCCAAAAGTTTGGCAATCCTAATTAACCCATTGGCTTATGTATTAAAGCACCTTTAAGTTTGAAATCTTATTTGTAAAGAAAAAACTATTTTGGAAGGGGAAATATAATTCATTTTAATACCTTCATTAAGTTAAGTAGACAATTGAATTTTATTTAACAAAAATGATGTCTTTATTTACGTTAAGCAAAGTCTGAAGGTAATAGGCTTTATCAAGAAACCTCTCCCATTGAAATAACAAAGGACGTAAAAATGATTTTCAAAAATGACCTTGTAGCTTTGTAACTTTAATGTTCACAAAGTAAAATAAACAGGCAACAGGCAAAAAAAGTCAAACAACTAGGACAAAATAAATCACCTCATGCAATGGCTTATGACTATTTTTCAGGAATTTTGTTGGAAGCCAGTTCGGATCAAATGCAAGGTAATTGAAATTGGCGCAAACACCCTATACTCCGAAAGATCGTTCTTCTACGATAACTTTTCACAACGTTTACACGAAGGCTTTTTAAACTATTCAGGATAGTTGTATTGCTTAAATCTGGGGTAACAAAATTACAAGCAACATGTATAATTACCAATCCATTCCTTACAATATCAAATACAATATTTCCCAAAAGATTCACAAATAATTCATTTCACAGCGTTTTGAATAAATTGGTGAAGTTATTATTGATTCAAAGTGCAAAAATGAGTGAAAAATGTTTAAATTCTCCCAAATAATAAGAATGATAACCGTTTTTATAGAAAAATAATACATTTTTGTAAAAATCTTTAGTTTTCCTGGAATAAAGTATGCACTTTTGTGATTTTTAGAAAATAGACATGAAAAGGAACGACATGAGCCAGAAATATTCTAAAATTGAAACAATTTTTTGTTTAGACTGCTCTGATTCTCTCTTTAACATGAAAATGGAGAGCAAGTAAACTGGAACGATAAAAAATTGAATTCTATAGAATCTCTTAGATGAGTGGAGTGTATCTGGAAAAAATCATTTTTTGCAATGATTGATTTTTCTTTGGAAAAGTGATGGGTAAATAAATACTAAACAAATGAAAGAATGAATAAATTGAACAATATACGATATACGCTTTTAAATAATTCATTTCACAGCGTTTTGAATTATTTAACGCGGGGACTTGCCAGCCTCAGGGACGTCCCAAGAAATATTTTAAATTTTATTGAAATAAAACAAAACAAAGATGTACACATTTGAAAGAACATGTGTTTCATCAATATTACGACTATTCCAGATATTTATTCGTCAATGTTCATCATCGGAGTATGGGACGTCTGAATTTTTCAATAACTTCGTATTGGACCAGAATTGGCTTAAAACAAAATTCCTACAAAGGACTGATTTAGCCATTGCCCAAGATGGGTTATTTTGTCCGAGAAGAAGCAACTTTTAAGTTAATTGTGCGAAATTATTGTTATTTCTAAATGTAAAATCTCATGCTCTGGGGTCTTCCCAAAATTAAATCTCACCCCGTGCCTAAGGTTGCCAAACGTTTTGAGGGAAGTGTAACTTCACTTTGACATGTTTTTAGCGAAAATTAGGCTCTCGTGTTCACCATAACAAAATTATATCTATTCATTTACTGCTCATATATGTAGTTTTCAAATAGCAAAGTGATTTAATGTTTCTGGTTATATGCATATTTCGCAAAATGATATTTTTGGAAATCCTGACCGGGGGTTCGTTCGAACCCACCGAACCCCCGCTGGCTACGGCTATGGACACTAATGTCAATGAGAAGCACAAATACACCGCCAACCCACATCCACATGGTATCCATACCTGTGGAATCCACATGGTTCGGGTTGGGGGTGTATGTCAGTGTTCATGATAATCTATATATACAAGATGACGGAATATATGAAAGATCTAAGTATACAATAGAATGAGAATCTCAAAGCGATTGTCCACTCACCTGTAGTACACCTGGCGGAGGTAAATATCCAGTGTTAAAGTGCCCCTGAGCCCCAACATGTGCGTCTATTCCCTGCGCCCTCAAACGCCGGGCTTGATTGGCTAGGGCCTGAAATTAATAGGGCAGCTATACAATTTTGAATAATTGTTATTTCCAAGCGATATATTATATATTAAACTATGTATGAAGGAGAGACAATGTTAGAGATAAGTTGATGATGTCATTAGTATTTGTATGTAGATAGGAACATACCACCGTGTGCTTAGATTCCCTGACAACGGCATATTCATTGACAAACAGCTTAGCGTTACCGTCAACATCACGTGTCTCTTGAAATATTTCTGTCAGTATGTTAGAGTTACCCGTCTTTTCTTGGAAGAAGAAGCCGTGAAGATCTTCGTTATTGGTGTCCCAGTGAACCAATCTAGTGGAACAGAGTGCGTGATGATACGGTGATACGAGGTGATGGCGTAATAAGAGTTGGTGGAATGTTGAGAAGTAATGGTGTTATGAAATAATGAGAGTCGATTTAATGATTATGGGTGATGAAATAATGAGAGGTGATGATGTTATGAGAGGTGGTGATGCTACGAGAGGTGATGATGTTATGATAGGTGATGATATGAGAGGTGATGACATTATGAGAAGTGGTGATGTTATGAGTGGTGATGATATTATATGAGAGGTGATGGGGATGAGGTTATGAGAGGTGGTGAAGTTATGAGAGGTGGTGTTTTGAGAGGTGATGCGATTATGAGAGGTGGTGGTGCTATGAGAGCGGTTGATATGAGAAGTGATGAGATTATGAGAGGTGGTGATGTTATGAGAGGTGATGAGGTTGTGAGAAGTGATGAAGTTATATTAGAGGTGATGAGATTATGAGAGATGGCGATGTTATGAGAGGCGATGAGGTTATATGAGTTGTGATAGGATTAAGAGAGATGTTGATGTTATGAGAGGTGATGAGGTTATATGAGAGGTGATGAGGTTGGGTTTTGAGAGATGGTGATGTTATGAGAGGTGATGAAGTTATATGAGAGGTTGAGAGAGATGGTAATGTTATAAGGGGTGATGCTGTTATATGAGAGGTGATGAGTTTATGAGAGGTGGTAATGTTAAGAGAGGTGATGAGGTTATGAGAGATGGTTATGTAATGTTATGAGAGATGATGAGGTTATATGAGAGGGGAGAGAAGATGAGGTTATGAAAGGTGCTGGGCTATGAGAGGTAGGGATGTTACGAGAGGTGATGTGGTTATATGAGAGGTGAGAAGGTTATGAGAGGTATGGATGTTATGTGATGATGAGAGGTGATGGAATCGTAACAGGTGATAATGTGATGCGATGCGATGATGTGATGTGATGAGGGGGTAATAAGCAGTGTTGAAAGAAAATGAGAGATTAAGACGATTATGAAAATAACATTTAATAAAACTAATAAAAACTGACTACAATAATACTTCTAACAAGAACACATACCTTCCTCTAAATCTATCGACAACGCCATTTATTCTTGTGGTGACTTCAGTTCTGACTTCAGGGCCTGTCATCGTCTGTAGCCACGATGGAACATACTGAAGCACACCCCATGAGACGCAATGACCCCTTACAGGAATTCTATGGAGTTGTGATAAAATTATATAAATACGAATCTTTCTGTCGGGATAAATTCAGTATCAGCTAAGCTGGCTGACAAACACAGTCGACTACTATTTTTGATTGGCTTCCTTGAAACATACCGATTCTAACCTTCACTTTCTGTCGATTACTCCTGTCTATCTACAACATGTTTATTTACTTACCCACGTTGATTAAGAATATCTAAGGCAGCCTCTGGCCTTGCATAATTGATGTTACCCTAGAAAAACAAAATATATTGGTCAAACATTTTCTATCACTTTAGTAAATTTGTCGATAATATTCATGTCCGACCATATTTGTAGCCTAAAATATCAATAATTCGATTTTGAATGTCAATCGTAGGCAACAATTTTACCGATTTTGTTCTTTTCAACGAAAGGCAAGCAAACAAATTGGGCATGCCCGTCTCCTCTCATTTAATTGCCCTGCCTTAGGTTACTGACCTACCATTAACCAACCTATCGTTTCTACGGGAATCTATCCTAATTTTTTACTGAATCTAACGTACAATTTCGAAATAAAAATGATTTGTTATCGTCATAGCCTACTGATTTCTGAACACGATGTAATGTTACATGCGTTCTCTTATCGGGATTAAAAGTGACAAACCATTTCAGTACACCATATTGAATGTAGTTTAAACACTAGTTGACGTTTCAACTGAGAAATCAAACATTATTTTACGACTTGAACACCGACAATGTTAAGTGTGTTTTTGTCATTGCGTTTCAAAATGGACTTAATGCAATACGTGCGTTTTCTCACTATAATCCAAAGTGACTAACCAGAATGAAATTGGACTTCTAACAACTGAGACATCATTTAAAATTATGACATTATACACCACGACGATATTACGTTTTTCATCATTGATTTCAAATAGTAAAGGTACTATAGTCATTGGATTCCCAATTTTAGTTTTACTTTCTTCTAATAGTGCGTCTTTTCATCTTTATGTAAAAGACCGACTGCCGACCACAGACCACGTGTACCCAACTGTCGAGAGTGACTGGTCGGTGGTCGATGGTCGGTGGTCGGCGGTCGGTGTTTTTCCTAAACCCATCTTTTGGAGCACCCGTGCTTTTACGCCACTAGATTCTGTTAAGCTATTTTTGGCAAATTCACCTAACGTTCCACCATAAACTAAATAACCCGCTGTCGAATGATTCCCAAATTAACTGAGGGGTGTCCTTCATATTTACTGTCAATGTCCTTACCTTCGTCCATTCCATCTGTCGCCACTTCATAGCATTCTCCATCGTAGCCCATTCAAAGTTGTTGTAGTAGAAGTTCTGGTAGGCTTGGTTGGAGCCGTCCGTACTGCTGATTCTGTCTGCTACGATGGCACTTCCGAAGGCAAATGGTCGGCTTTTCTGTGTTACTTCAATCCTCAGATCGGATGGCTCGATCGGCGCAGTTACTCGAACGCTGGGAACAATCGTATATCAATACAAGATATGCAAAGCACTATAGTTATTTATCCTATGCCAAGTAGAGTTTTAGGGAGATAAGTTGGTAAAATATATCCCGTATCCTGATTTTGAGGTTTCCATATCCTGAACCTCCATATCTCCCGCTCCAGGGCATATCTTCCCGCTTCTAAAAAAAATTGAAAAAATAAGAAAAATTGAAAAAAAGAAAAAATGTGAAAAAATTGAAAAAAATAAAAAAAATTGAAAAAAGAAAAAAATTGAAAAATGTGAAAAATTGAAAGAAAATTGAAAGAAAATTAGAAAACTCTACTTGGTATAGGATAAAGCAGTTATGTACGGTCGGTTTGGATATTGGGTTCATCCCTCGTGAGATATGCACATCTACCTTCGGTCCCTACGGTCCCTCAGGTAGATATGCATATCTCCCTCTGGATAAACCCCATATCCAAAACCTCCCAGTACATAACCCTTAGATATCTTCATAAACTTCGCGCAATGCTCTTCCATAATTCTGGAAAACGAATGTTTGAATTTTTATTTTCCTCCTCGGGACATCTCGGAAATGACCAGAATTAATAACGTTGAAATCGTCAAACAAGACAGGCTCCAACTAATGCCCCATTCGATCCGCTTTCCAAACTTTTGGAGGGGTATAAATGGAAACAAGAGAAGTGGTACCTTAATCCTACAGTTCCTTTTCTATTGATGTTGATATCTGCATCAATGTTTGTGTCATGTTGTGGATCTTCAATGATTTCACGCATGGAGACACTATCAAGCTCGTAGTTTCTGCTGGCGTTAGATGATTGGAAATAAACCCTCGCTGATGTGATATCTAGAAAGAATGATGAATTAAATGAGATATTACTTCTTACTTTTATTATCCCTTTAATACTAACTTGAGGGAATGATTGAGTGAATGAGCGAGTGAGTGATTGAATAATTGATTAATTCAAACATTCCATAAGTAGACATTCCTGTGCCTTCTACTTTAACCCTACCTGTATCTGGTATACGTATGTCACCCCCAATCTGCTCCCAACCGAGTTCTTGCCTCAGCTGTACAAGGGAACCGAAGGCAGCGTAATACGTCGACCCTATAATATACGTCATTGTTTTAAAGATGGGGCTATTGCGATTCCTTGGATTTTCACCTCTTTAAAAATCACGCTTTTTGGTGGCATCTGGGTGAATTCGGTAGGTCTGAATTTAAGTCGAGAAACTATCTGTTTTAAATAATAATAGGCCTACTCGTAAAGCAAAACGTATATTTGGAGGGGCACTTAAAACGAAATCTCGGAAGATACCCCAAGGTCTCGACTAATGTATAATACCATTATCAGAATCCAGGTGAAATCTGTCTGTCCGTCTGTCTGTCTAAAAATTGTCATCTGGAGTCTGAAATTGAACTTGTTTCCAATGTGTAGTTATTATATCTAGTTTAGTTGTCTCACCATCTCCCCGTACAACAGCCACCATTGCATCTGCTTGGTCCCATAGAGCCCCCTGTCTGTCGTTGGTGTATCTAATCACTGCCCTTAAGTAGTAGTACCTGCCCCGTGTCACCTGCACATTCTGGGAGATACCTGCCCAGTTGGCGCCCCTACAAGAATATAACAGTCGGCGACGTGGTGACCATGTAATTGGAGTCATTTGGGGCTCAAATTAGAAAACCATTAAAATTGCTGAATTTACGGGGCAACCTCACAAATACCTGTTCGTCACACTTGCACTCCATTGGCCTTCGTATGGCTCGGCGTTGACTCTTGCAATCTGACAGTTTGAGGCATACCAGTCACCATTAAACTCAGATTCGAAACCTCTATTTACAATCACTTCTGGGCCGAGTGTGTAATACCCAGTTGTTGAATGGAACAAGTAGAGAGACCAGACTATTGAAATAATTGCCTTCATGTTGAACTGTTTTTATGTTCCTTGTGTATTTTCATACAGTTCAGGTTGTGGGAATTTGTCATATGTCATAAAGTTTACAATTATTTTTTCGTGTTTCGTGATTCGCAATCAATTACATAAATTTGATAAGTGTATGAAACCATACAAAAAGGCGGAAGCAGCCTATCAACCGGTTGGCATATACATATCCATGTCTCAAACTTCTGAAAGTAAAATATGCGATATGGGCCGTTTTGGAACGGTCGACGTAACTTACAACAGTTCCAAAAACGGTCCGCTGTGTAAAATTGAACCATAACACCGTCCACTTTTTATTGGTTCAACATTTGAATCGTGAATTTTGGTCTTATTTCCTAACGAAAAATTCCAAAACTCACAAGAAATGATCGAGATATTGGTTCAAATCTTCTGATCTGTTTACTTTGAATTTTTAGACGGTTATAATTTCAGAAAATAACGACATTTCGAAGTTTTCATTGTTGGAAAATATCGAGTTTCCATCCTCCAATCCTCGTTGGAAATGAATGCTTTGTGAGTATTTTTGAACTAGAAAACAGTCTAACAAAATGAATGAGATTTTGACATGAACATAATTTATTTTGAAATAAATAAACCATAGACAGACTAAGATGTAAATTACAAAAATAAACTAATCTTAAAAAATAAAATTAAATAAATCTTGCTGAAGAAAATCCACATTTGGTGGACCAATGTCTACTGTGTTAGATATATACATAATACACACAAACGACCAGCATAGATAAACTGAGATAACCCTGCGATTCTAACCATAATTCTTGTGCAAGATTCACTATTCCTTCTACATCAGGCTTAAGGTTAAAATGTTATTTTCTGCATTATCTTTACTATGTATTTATTCTACAAACATATCCTAGAATGGCTTACTGTAACATAAAACACAACATTGTTTTTATAATATATATACAGTAATTCTAGGTATGTGTAAAACTAAAACAAGGTAAAAATCATACTTAGCTTAGCACTGTAATATAAAATACTTGGTCTTTTAAAGACGAAACTACAGAATTCATGAAGAATTATATTTTTGTTTTATAAGCAGAACAATTGCACATGGCCAGTTGTACATAAAATGAAATACAACATATCCTGTAATATAGTAAAAGTGGGCCATATTGACAGCTGTGCTTAAAATGAAATACAACATATCTTGTACTATTAAGAGTGGGTCATATATACAACTGCACAAATATGTACCAGTACAGGCCATTATTTTCATATTCCTATAGTGACATAGTTATTGTGACACATCATGAATACAGAGTGAGCCATAATATATGATTTATACAAGTATACTGGATATAGTACTATTAACATTATCAAATTTTATTTCCATGACAGCACATGGAACTTTTCGTCTACAGAATTTACAAAGCTCCGCATAAAGATATTTACAATTTTCAAACCAACGCATAATACCGTTTGAAATACTATGTTATGTTTCCTATCATGGTCAGGCCAACGTCCATTTTTATCTTTATGACTACAATAATGCCAATATCTCTGTATTTACTTGAATAATATACAAAAGTTTTGGATTTTTAGAAAATAGCTTGTGAGATGTTTTGAGAAATTTGTGTCTGGCTCTACCTTTAAAATCCCATTCCAACCCAATAGACTCATTATACAAAGACAGGATGGCCAAATATTTATGCAGGGAAAATAATTAAGCATATTTAAGCATTATAATTATACTACTTTATACTGTTGTATTATATTAGTTATCTCCGTTTTATATACACTGAGAGTCTACTTCAAATATCAACCAGGTTGTAACATCAACCACCCTTCAGTTTTGATACGTGCTCTCACTTCCTGTGGTGAATATTCAACAGATTCCCCGGATGTCCTTAGTGGAGTCAAATAGAAAACGAAAGGTTGGTCAATATCATCCACCTGGTCGATATCAGATAGACCACTCTTACATTGCACATCAGTTCAAAGTCTCGACTGTCTTGGAGAGTGGATTAAACAAAAGTTTCATGATAATGGACGACAAATGAACAAGAAAGAACAAATTATTTTGTGTAATTAGTCTTCATAATTAATTTGTTGATTTATCTGATTTGATTATTTCAAGATGCTCCTAACCATTCCATATGGATCATCTCTTAAACTGAATTATCAATCAAATCATTGCATCAAATTCACACACACCAACACTGTTTCCTAACTGTCTGTGTCAATTAGAAAAGGAGAAGGACTATCAACTATATGTATTTCTAAGTCAATTGATATTGCTAGGAATACCAAAACATTGCATGTTGAACTAGTGTTTCTGCACTGTTTCTTATCACTGTAATGTCACAGATATAACATATCTTTATACAGCATTGACATATTGCACAGGAACATCCTTTTATCATCATCATCCATTTACTATACTTTTATTTTATATCACCGGCACAGAAACTTTGTTTCAGCATCATCTTATTCCAGCTCATGTTTGGTGAACCAGTCTCTTAGTTCTGCTTCATGGTTCTGCATCCAAATAATATTCAAATGAATGGCCTCAAGGGATTGTCTCACCACACGCATATCTCCTACTTTATCATCAAAAAATGACTTTACCTGGAAATTAGAATATATATCTAAATATATTAGCAAACCTCTTGGACACTATAGAATTTTCCATTGGTAAAACGTCCCTTAAAGACTAACTTTTAACCAATACTGTATTGTAAAATTGTAAAATGTATGTTTATCATGTAACTGTACTGTAATTGTTTTTTGTAATTGCTTTAACATGCTTATTCTTTGAAATAAAAAAATTATAAAAAAAAAAGTTAAGTTTCAAAGAGTGGTCAAGAAATGATTTCTTTCAAGCTTTAACACTCGTCCCCCCCCCCCCCCCCCCTTTGCAACCCCCGCCACCCTAAAGAAAGAGGACAATACTGTACCTGATCATAGTCAAATTGTGTAGAGAAGTACTTTGTTGAAGAGAATACAAGACCAGTGAAGGCAAAGCTTCCTACAATGTGCCTAGAAGAAAAGAGAACAGTTACACAGTACAATCTTTAATTGGGGATGTCTTATACAGTAGAACCTGTAATTGTGGATGTCTTGTACAGTAAAAAAATATATAATTGTAAGTCGTAGACAGTAAAATCTGTGTGTATGTCTTATAATCTGTAATTGTATGTAGGTTTAAGCTTATGCTGGACCTGGAACAGTTTATAGTATAATCAACTTACTCTCTGACTAGGGCCTCCCAGTTCTGTTGTACAAATCTCCAGTTGAGCACAGTACCTGCCGGGTTGAGAGCCACATGGGCTATAACACTAACTTGGTCCTGGGATCTAATCTTACTCTTGTCCAGGGAATACTGTAGAAGCCTGTGAGATAGAAATATATAATGTTAAATTGAAACAATTCTGCTTAAACATATTTGCAAACTAGAATAAATCTAGTGTCATTCACAATATTCTTCAAAGTATTGGATTAAGTACTTATTACTTAAATGAAGGACACCTCAACTCACCAATTGAGAAAGTATCCATTTTCTGTGTAAGTTAGAAACTCACCTGTTTAGAAGGTATTCATTTTCTGTGTAAGTTAGAAACTCACCTGTTTAGAAGGTATCCATTTTCTGTGTAAGTTAGAAACTCACCTGTTTAGAAGGTATCCATTCTCTGTGTAAGTTAGAAACTCACCTGTTTAGAAGGTATCCATTCTCTGTATAAGACAGGGACATCAGATAGATTCTCCTCTCTGAGGGTACAGTCTCCTTTAGGTATTTCTGGAACATCCAATCCCAGGTGTCCTCGTCACAGTACTGCAGAGCTGCCTTGAATACAGTTGACTTCAGGTTAACAGGGATCCTGTGTAAGAGATGTACAAATATTGATTTTAACTTGTTGAGATGAGTTTTACAAAACTTGACTCTTTATGTGTAAAGGTGATTAATTTTAAATGTGGAAATGTTCACATATCATGGTGGATTACTTGATACCAAATTTCTGCCTAAAAGACTTCATGCATTTCAAACCAAATACTGCCAAAGGATGGCGCTCATTTGAAAAGGTTGTAGAGCTCTTCTGCATGTATGCTGTGTGAAATGATTGAATTTGATTGTGGCACATTCACAAATGTTTTAATGCTTCGGATGAAATTTTGAATTTTCAAAGATTTGACCAGAATTTGAACTTAAATCTGAAAAGTGGTTTGGAACAACCCAGTCAAATTAATATTTTTGTACTTTTCTTAATTTCAAACCATCTTTTTTACATGTGTATTGTGTTATTTATTACTACTTTGACTTACGGGACATCATTATTTTTCCAATTATTAAATAATTCTGTAGCTTTGTCAATTGATGCTTTGTGGCCACAGCTCACTGCCATAGAAAGTATGGAATTCCGCAAATACCTGGAAATATAGACGTGGAAAGTGATGATGGTTGCCATGGAAAGTGGGGATGGTTGTCATGGAAAGTGATGATGGTTGTCAATGTCGTAGTATCAAAGCATAATCAAATGTTGGAATGGAATTTACAAATATAGAAAAACATGGAATTTGGTGAGCAAAAACTATTGTAAAATTTTAACTTATTTTTAACTTATTTTCTCAACTTGTCCTTATAGGATGTATATAAATATCAAAGGCTTAGAAGAGTAGTTTATATAGAAGTTTTTTGAAGAATATCATCAACTAGATTCATTTTCATCCATTAAATCTGTTTTCTTTATATCATATTGAATGAAAGATGAGTATCCAGTCCAAATGTGTAAGTAAAAATACCAATATTATAAATGCACAGCAACATACTGTATCAAGGCTTTGAAAAGGAATGAAAATCACTTTAATAGTTATACACAACCTTTAAATCATGTTGCACCTTTAGTGCCTCCATACATTGTGAAAAATGACTTTGCAATAACATGCATTCTTACTTCTCTAGGTGGTCACCCTGTGTATCATTCCAGCCAACCTGCTCTATTGTGGGACCAATGATCCTTAGCACATATTTCTGGAATAGCAGATATCTTACTTCTTATGTTATCTTTTTGCAGTTTTTCTAAAATAACTCATAACTTCGGCAATGAATAGATTTTTTTCAATTTTCCTTACAATACTAGGACAAATCCATTTTCAAGCTTAATTATATCACACCTGGTGATTGGAAAAAATGAATGTTCATTTCCCAATCACTGGGTGTGTACATGTACATTGTACATACTACAGAAACGCCACCTTACAGTTACAAATGGAACTCTGCATAAAAATCAATACAAGTCAATGATGTAAACTTAAGGAGTACAATTCCAGGAGCACATACCTTAAAACTCTCATAGACAGCCGGCCTGCTATAGAGCTTATTCTGTATTGAATAAAGGTGCCCTAAGGCAGCATTCCATGGAAGGTAATCACGCTCATTCACTAAATATTGGCTCAGATTCATTGATAATTGGGTATTGACAATTCCAGCCCTGGAGAGTGAAAAGATATCTCCAATTATTCCTGCCCTGTCTCCTTCATCTATAACCTACAATGGAGAATATGGTAAATGTGAATTTTTGCTATGGCACCCACTAACCCACTTGCAAAGATGTATAGATGCACATACGCATGCATGCCTCTCAGCACAATATGACTGCAACATACAACTCTGAAAAAGTTCGAGTAGCGAGGAAATTCCACATTAATTCCACATCTAAGCTCCCATCATAATTCAAGAGAGCTTCATTTGAGATTTTTAAGATCTTTCCAGCATCAAAATTATAAAAGCAATTGATGAAGTCAGAATGTGGTAAGCATATGGGGTTTCAGAGTTAAAATTACCTTGTGATCTTCCTTAAACTGATTTATTAGAGTCTGCCACGACTGTTCATCATAGTTCACCCTGTAGTAGCCCACACACTTGTAGTTACCCTTGAACCATTTGACATCTACAACACAAATTTAGAATTGCTCAACATGACTCAACTCAAACAAAAACAAGGCATACCCATGCAAAATGTCACCAACTGCCATTTTATACCAACGCCAAGCATCTAACAGTATGTGAGCTCATGAAACATGAAACATTCATTTCTAACATTACGTCCTTTTCCAATTAAGTCAATAAGATTCAAAAACTCATTGAGTTGTCATTCCATTTGCACTGATTGCACTGATTTGCACTGATTGCACTAATTGCACTGATTGCACTAATTGCACTGATTGCACTAATTGCACTGATTGCACTGATTTGTTTACAGTTGTACAGTTCTTACCATTGTCTAAGTAAAATGTTGCAGATTCCTTGTCCATCCAGATAGTTTCACTTCTTGAGTTTTTCTTGTCTGTGAAATATGTAAATGGAATAATCCATTTGTAGCTGCAACAAATAGAAATAAGTTTCATACTCAACTCAATAAAATATCTGACATAAGAATACCAAATTGGAATCAGTTATAGACTATTTGATCATGAAGTGGCACTAACATATTAGCACAGCTTCAACAAGAGTAAACTACTCTAAATAATAGGCTTACGTGGTGCATAAACTTACTCATATGGAGACTTAAATTCAGATTCCTGAGTAGCATTTGGGTTCAGTAAGAATCTCTTTTGAGTAGCTACGACTTTTGATCCGTCTCGCATCAAAGTGACAACTGGATAATTCATTTGGAGAGTCCATGTGTCCATCATACGAGCAACATCTTTTATAGTACTACTGGCCTACAAAAAATAGTTAGTTTCTTAGTACAAAATACCTAATGCCCCACAGCCAACAAATCTACTGATCCAATGTTATGACAATAACAGACATAACATGCAAAATGTCACATCCTGCCATTTGTTACAGATGTTGACCACAGAACCCCTAACACTGAATGCCAATTGACCTTTCATACAAAAATCCTGAAAGTATTAAACGTACCATTGTTTTTCAGTGTCATTTCGTACTACAAATATGAATACTGAATGGCATCAAGGAGTGTCAATAAATGGTGAACAATTAAATAGGATAAATACTTTAACATTACTCCATTATATTGATCATATTTGTTTCAATTAGAGTTATTTGTTATTTATCATCATGTTGTCTCTCACTTTTGCAAGCATATATATTACACCTACCTCGGATAGGGAGTCCCACAGATCTTTAGTTTCTGCATTACCAAACTGGAATTTGTTAAGATACAACTTGAGACCCTTCTGAAGGACCCCTTCTCCCAGTACATCATTCAGCATTCGTAAAATTGAAGACCCCTGCATAGAGTTGTAAAACCATTATAAAATAAGAATACTACAAATCTTAATAAAAAATGTTTCATATTTCACATATTCATGCACCAGAATTTGCTGGCCAATATGCATGGTCTAAATCCAGACAAAATCATCCCACTAGGATTCCATATTAATATAGATTACAAAGGTGTAAAATATTCAGTTCATGTTGATATAAAATTGGTCTCTAATGATATCAATCACAATGACAAATCCACCAAGTTCTGGGCTCACAACTACTATGAACAGCAATTCAATGATATGACTTGGAACAACAAAAAAAGTCTTTAAATGGAGAGTTAATGGCAATATTGTAGATCATCTGATTACAGAATCTATCCAGGAAATATGCATATCCACCCTCATGTATCTAACACCATTTATTTATCCAATAAACTTCAAGTTCAATTCATTTATTAAACTGACACACAATCTTAAGGCTCACACTTGTACTCACCTTGTCATAGGAAATTGCATCAAATATTTCATTGATTTCATTTGGGTTGTCAACAGGAACAGCAATTGGGTGCGAATTACTGAGACTGTCCAGGCCCATAGCTTTTTGGAGGACATTCACGATAAATTGCTCATCCAGTTTGAAAGATGGATCAAAGTGTCCCGCCCCAATGTTCTCTACATAGCTGGCGAACCCCTCATTCAACCACAAATCATTCCACCACTTCATGGTTACTAGGTTACCAAACCACTGCAACACAAATGATTTGACATTATCATCCTATTCCTATGCAACAGTTGTAAAACCTTTTGTCAATTTTTGCAGAAACTTGATATATGCCAGGCATTGATTTATATATTATTTGTATAATGTTCAAATCAGATTTATTGTTTCCCGAATAAAATAAAGCTTCAACAGAAATATACGACTCTTTTTGCTTCAAATCTGTTCAGGAAAACAAAAGTGAAAATTTGAGACTTTCTAATACAATTAATGAGGATATGAATACTTGATGAGGAGCCCGTCCCTATGTTTAAAAGCACAGCGTCTCCAAAATTATGTCAATTCCATCTTTAAAATGAACAGAAAAAATATTACAAATGAAAAAACATACTTGATGAGCCAGTTCATGAGCCACTACAATGGCCACCCATTCCTTACTGCTTTCAGGTGATAGCTTAGGGTCATACATGATAGCTGTCATCCTGTATGTTATGAGGCCCCAGTTCTCCATGGCACCAGCTCCAAAGTCTGGGATAGCTATCAGATCTGAAATATATACAGGGTGAGCCATGTCTATGAGTAAACTGCACCAAAAAGTCATATGATACTTGTGTCAAATTGTAAGAGGACATCATTTTCCAAAACGAAAAACATCGTTATTTCAATAAATATATGTACTCTGGTTGTGAATTTGTAGGTTTGTTTGAAAGACTGAGATAGGATGCATAAGTGGGGTGAGATTTAACACTGTTGACTAAGAATAGATAGGAAAACTTATCATTTTTCTGGATTAATAAAAAAATATGTGCACCTTGATCGAACGATCTTGATCTTCCCTCTCTTTAAATTGTCAGTGTATGGCTAGTTAATAATCTATTTACCTTGCTTTGGTAATGGGTATTTTACACCAAAGAATTCCTCATAGTAGTTGAGTACATTTACGGCAACATCCAGAGCATATTTTACGAGATCTATCTGGTCCTTGGGGGCATGAACAGAAACCTAGAAAAATAGGCAAACCATAGAGTGCGTGTAGCAACATCTACGATGTATTTTATATGATCTATTTGGTCCTTTATTAAAACCTAGAATATCTAAATAATATTCATCTTCTGCTGTTTCAATGACTTGTGATGACAAGTTTACTTGAAAGCTTGTACATTAACAGGTCAAGTCAAATAACATCATTATCTGCAAATTTCTGATATTGAAAAAGTATATCCACATGAACGACCAAGCCAGCCTGGAATTATCAGTTTGTCATTAACAAGACAATAAGCTACATTTCAATATATCATTTGAAAGCTTATTAGATTTCAAAATTGACTGTTATATGTTCCACAAATTAGAGCTTAGTTACTTTCATGTGCTAAACAGTGTCATTATTGATCTCCCAGAAGACCTTCAATATTCCCAGTGAGAACATCAACTTTACTTATAAGGGTCATCCATTTGATCTTAAGAATCAATTTTTCCAGAAAAACAAATTAGGCTTAGTTTAAGACATGTCAATGTAGTTGGTAGAGTTATGAAACGTGACTAAAAATAACTTGGCTTTTAAGGTTAGATTTTTAGATTATAAAGAAACAAATATTCATAATAAAAAGCTCAGATCCCAAAAATCAAATGGTTCACCTCTCTTCACATTATTAAATAAATGCTAGCATGGTTCACTGTGAAGAGTGTTGAAAATAATGGATAGGTTACTTTGACCAAGAATAACATGGATCAATTTAATCTTGGGAGCATCTTAATCTTATTTACAAGTTGTGATCGAGAATTCATCTTTATTTTCAAAATCAAATTTTGTGTTTTATCTTGCGCATAAGATATCAACCTAATGATGCAAATGCCAGCATGAATAATTCATGTTATATATCATGATGGATGAGTATAAGTAGGATTAAACCCTGATAAAACAAGATGATGGCACTACATCTGTCAGTGTAAAAATTACATACTGAATTGTATTGTATACTGGTAGCCTTGCCCTAAGTCGGTATTTTTTACTTATCTGATCTTGAATTATTACCGCCTTGTACAATCTAATGCATCATCACTGATATTATGATAAGTTATTCAACGATTGACCAATCAAAACGATATCTGCATAAACAAAGCAAACTACCCTTCTACGACTTTCAATGATCTGATTGAGTATTTCTTCAGAGTTACAATATGTTATGTAATTAAGTGTGCATTGGAATGTAAGCAGTCATTAATATAAATTAAATCATGCGATTCAATGTTGATTTAACACTGAATTCACAATGAAAATGCACAAAGACCTAGTCCATGTAGTCTCCGATCTGATTCAGTGATTGATCTGAATCTATCATGTCCACAACGTTTCTTGTTGAAATCTTCTCACCTCCGGGTATTGTATTATACGTGTGTATATACATGTATGTGCATAATAATGAGCTAACGCTGCAGGACAGTCATTGATTGGTCAAATTTACTGACATAAACATTGGGTCGGTTAAGCATGTGGCTTTCCCATTGGTACAAGGCGGTCATAATAAAAATAAAAATAAGTAAGACTTTGGGCAAGGCTAGTATACTGGTTATTAACATTAAGAGATTTGATTGTATACATATACTTACAGTAATATTCCTGTCAGTTTTCTTTGTTAAAGATTCATAATCAGTTGTGACGATAAATGCAACCAAATATGTGCTCATCTTCACAGATGTCTCAAACTTATCAACTTTGTATTTCTCAGCGTAATTTTCGGTGGTTCTTAAAGGCATGTTAAACAGAGATTTGTGTGTTGGCTCTCGTACCATCTTCATGGTGAAAGTGGCCTTGAGGTTAGGTTCATCAAGGCAAGGGAATGCTGCACGGGCATCAGTGGGCTCAAAGTGGGTGGTAGCAATGTACCTAAAAATGATTTTCATTTACAAGTTAAATATGAGGGGACAATATCTAAAAATACAGTAAAACCTCTAAAGTGAAACACCTCCCAAGTGGAACAGTATTTGATGTATCAAAGGCATTCCACTTAACACAGGTTTTAGTGTATTATAGCAATTTTTTCATGAGAGTATGATCATTTGAAAAAATATTCTACAAAGAATGCAAAATTATGAGTTCAAGTAAGCGTGACCACATGCTAATCTCAAGTAAGCGTGACCAAATGCTGATCTCAAGTAAGCGTGACCACATGCTGATCTCAAGTAAGCGTGACCACATGCTAATCTCAAGTAAGTGTGACCACATGCTAATCTCAAGTAGGCGTGACCACATGCTGATCTCAAGTAAGCTTGACCACATGCTGATCTCAAGTAAGCGTGACCACATGCTAATCTCAAGTAAGCGTGACCACATGCTCTCAAGTAAGCGTGACCACATGCTAATCTCAAGTAAGCGTGACCACATGCTGACCTCAAGTAAGCGTGACCACATGCTAATCTCAAGTAAGCGTGACCACATGCTAATCTCAAGTAAGCGTGACCACATGCTAATCTCAAGTAAGCGTGACCACATGCTAATCTCAAGTAAGCGTGACCACATGCTAATCTCAAGTAAGCGTGACCACATGCTGATCTCAAGTAAGCGTGACCACATGCTAATCTGGCCAGTCTCAATGATGTTCAGATTTACCATAAATTTACACTGAATATACCTACCTAGTTGTGCCACTTGCATCTTTATAAGTACTTCTGTAGAAACCTGCTAGCTTATCCATTAATGTCCCTTCAAAATCTAATGACAATACATACTCCTGTCCTTTGCCTAGTTGTGCATCAAGCCCAAAGTAGAGCATCTCATAGGCCTTGTATTCCAGGACTTGCTTTATAGCAACTCTTTTATTTTCAGATCTTGGCTTCAGAGATTGTGCGTTGATTTTTAGATCCTTTATATGTACAATAACAAAGTTTGTGCTCTCTGTGGCTTGTAAAACTATATCTATACTCCCAGTGTATTTGAATGTAGTGAGGTTGGGGTGCATTAGGATGTCATAAGACAATGGAATGATGCTTGAGGGGAGGCGGATATCCCGCCACGGAAATGGTTCACCATTTGTTGAAATGAAGTCATCCTTCTTGGGAGCTTTTGTTGGTGTTTTATCAGAGTCAGTTTTCTGGCAGCTTTGGTCACCTGGGCGGGCAAGGGAGGCTATTAATGCTATGCTTACGATACATAGTCCCACCACAAGAGCGATGACAGTAGCTCTCCCTTGACTGCATACAATCTGGCGACATCGCTGTATAGGATTGGGCTCATACACCGACCTCTTGTCAGATTTCCCTCCTTCTGAAAACACACAAAGAGTAAAGTTTAATTGAACTATCTAGAAATCATGCAATTCTAACAATACTGCAAATAATTTAAGTGAAGAACTTCAGGAAACATTCATAAACTAAGTCAACATCAATTTCACATGAATACTTTCTTCTATGTATCCATGGGGCCGCGGAATGTTCATTTGTGAACAATAAGTGAATAATGAAAATAAGATGACATTTTGAGTAGAACTGACGTGGCAATGTAGTACTTTATTGAAGGAGAAATTGTTCTATTGACTGAAACTGATACAGCATATTGCAAACTTCAGTTATTAATGCTGTTATAATAACACAAGACTTCACTCGATTTGCTAACAAAAAGCAATCAACTGATGAAAACTACATTGTATAATACGAGTGCTAAAGCATCCTGCTGAGTATTGCATCTCTGAGAGAGGTAATAATTAATGCAATATGTTAGGCCACATATTTCTATGTCACTGAAACGTTCAATAAACAATACACAAAAAATGAAAATGAACATAATCAACCTAACAATGATAAAGTTCAAGTTAATTTTGAACAATAACTAATAACATAAAGTATAATTTAAACATCAATTTACGAAAACAAAAATTGTGAGATCTAATGAAACATTTACCACTTCGATAAGCCAAGAATGGAGAATCATCGTCACTATCAATTCTAGTCGTCATATCTTCAGCAGGTTATCCTACAAATCCGATTGTCTTATCAGAACATTGTATCAATATTCAATAGCCATTGTATCAATATCCTCCAAAACAATAGTGAAATCCATATTAGTTAGACACATCAACCTGTTGCTCTGTAAACATCCATAATAAAACTGATCAATATTTGAAAATAGGCAATGATATTAAACTTTCAGCAGGTGCTCTTGTTAATACATATCCAACCTGCATCAATTGTTATTTCCAATCATTAAACACAACTCCATTATTTAACACAACTCCATTATTAAACTGTGCATAGCATATTATCAATCAGACATCGACATTACGCCTAGAACTCATTAAAATAATCCCTCGCTGGCAGATCCTTGGAATCCAAATGAATCATGAGTCTTCATGAAACAACAAGAACTCAACTGCGCATTGAACAAGTGAACGAAATTGCAAATGCTAAAATAACAATATTTTCAACCCTAAAGTCACTACCTAAAAGGTTACATTTTTAGCGGCTATGTAGCCATAGTGGAATATCAATAAAAACAACATTGGACAAGATATATATTCATTACATTGGTTCATTGAGACATTCTAATCTATTTTGTTATTAACTGACAGGCTGCTGAGAAAATAATGATTGCTCCATCAATGCTATGCCTTTGCGAATGAGTTTAATAAAATGGCCACCTGCACTGCTTCCCATACTTTACTATATCTGTGACATTCTAGAATTTTCTACTTGCAAACAGAATCAATTAGGACAAAACATAAAATATGATGGGAAAACAGAAATTATGAAAGGTAAAACAGAAAATATGACGGATGACACAAAAACATTTAGGTCAACACAGAAACCATTTAGCTATATCTCAACTATTTTCAATGCACAAGTAGTTGTGGGATTGATTTGAAAAATGAACCCCAGATGGGGGTAATCACTGTTAAAGGTTGTATATAACTATTAAAGTGATTTTCACTCAAAACAGCATGTTGCTATGCATTTATAACACTGTTTTTACTTAAACACATTTGGAGTGAATACTCATCTTTCATTCCATAAAAGAAAACAAAAATTGATAAAATATTGATGAAGTGGGAGCTGTTACAATGACCCCCACTTTTAGCAATTTTCAGAAAGTTTCGTTCATTGCATTTAATACATGTAAGGGCCCCACCTTAATTCAATTACAATAACATTGCCATTTTTAGGCATATTTCTTAAAAGCATTATGCGCTATTATTATCAAATAGTTGTATTAATATGAGGAATCGATTGCAATATGATAGAATGCTTATTATACTCCAGTTAGAGTTAATTTTGAATATAAATGTGAAATAATTTGGCAAATCCATAGGGGTCAAGGAACATAAAAAAGTTGGAACGGTTCGGTTCGGAACATTTGGCTTCGGGACGGAACAATTTCAGAACTGTTCCAGAACAAAGTGACTATGACTATTATACTCTAACTTGCCCCATTTATTGCAGGACAAGATCTAATCATTTGCAACAAAACTACTTACTTTTGCGAGTCTATGAACAATGACTGGATATCTAGCTTGTACAGGAAAAAAAAAAATTAGATCTATCTAGATCTGTCCTAGAAGTATAACTAACCCCTGACTGCAATATTTCAAAACGGGGATTTTCCGCCCTTCGAAGCATCCTCAATTGTTTTTGGGTATCAGATCATTTGACATTTAGCCGCCGCCATGATCAGTGCAAAGTTGCAGATCATACTACTCCAGAAAGATAAACACTCAGCATATTTAGAACGTATAAAATAAGTTGATCGAGTATGTCTATCTGGTAACAAAAACCTCTTTAAAACTCTTCAATGAGAAGGAGTGAAAAATTGACTTATTTCGATGAAAAGAAAAATGCCGTTTTGCAGCGATTTGAGGGCTAAAAGCTGTGTAAAGGTACGATTTTCTTGTTCCGGAACTAAACCAAAATGTTGATTAATTGTTCCGAGTTCCGACCCGAGAGCCAAGTTTGGCAGAACAGAACAAAATCGGGTATCCATGACACCTCTAGAAATCCACTTAACAGTTTGGGGCTTTCTCCAAAGCTATCGTTGTTAGGGTAATGACGTCACATTACATTAGATTTTCCCAAGAGCGGGCTATGAGTATGATGACATCAATATGCGTTGGGTGGTATGGAGACAATCATTGTGATATTTGTTTTGGGGAATCCCTAACAACTACTTTCACTTTCGTTATGAGAGCACCTTCACATTTGATTAGAAAGCGAAAGTGTAATTATTGCATTTAATTGATGAAATTGAATCTAATTGACGGTATCCTTCAAAAAACTTATTTTTATCGTTTTCTAAGCTCTTCATAGTTATACACACCCTTTAAACTATATATCTGCTTTAAATGGGCTTGTTAGCCTTTTGCAGATTATTGATGTACATGTAGATGTAGAGGGAAAACCCTAGAGCTTCAGAGAGATGACAGACATAATTATATCTCCTGCTTACCACCTTCATCTGTCGTATTTTCACTGGCTAGCTTACAAATATAGCACATTGTTGTGATGTTTTTGTTGTGATGTTCATTTGTATATGATTTAATCAATTACTGACTAATCAACATGCCAGAAATTTACATAATATCATTGTCTTTAAAAAATATTTAAACCACCATTGAATGACTTCATTTGTCTGTCGATTTGACCAATCAGCGATACCGGGGACCATGTCTTCTCATGGTCTTCTCAACACAGATTTACAATATAGACATACATGTATATCGTCTTCTTTGAACCCTGGGTTTATTCCTCTCTTTCAATCTAAGTGGAGCACCTGTGAGTTTTTATATTGTTTCTATACTTATTTCTTACTCTACCGAGCTGACAGAAGTCCGCTCTGGCATGCTGGATTGAAAATTCTTGAAGAGAAAAAATCAAGCCCATTTTGACTAAAGGCTGAGTATAATACACTATATATTTGAATCAATACATAATTTATTTGTTGTTACCTTGCAGCCATTTTAGGTCTCGCGAGATCTCTTGACTTTCGAAAGTAAAGATTTGCTTCAAAATAACTCGCGCTAGCTAAATATGAATAGTCACGTGATCTTTTAGTGGCAATGCCCATGCGCATGTAAAGCACAATACGCATGTGCATGCATGCGCAAAAGTTAAAAAATGGTGCGCACCAGGTCTGGAATTTCTCCACTTAATTGCAAATTACACAACAAGTAGGATTCATTGTCACCACGCGTCATGAAAAGGGCAAGTTACATTCAATTATCTTCTTAAATACCATTTTACTTATTCCAGCGTGCCTGCTGAAAGTAGGAGGAAACCACTTCACAAGAAGGTATATTTAAACGTTCCCCCAGGTGGCTCAAAAGCCAGCTGTGTTCAGTAACTTATTTCTTTTTCATGACATTTTTCATGCTTGGAAAATGAATTATTGAATCATGGGCTCTACAGTGGGGATCATAAAGAATTGCAAAAGCTATGAAAATTACATGCTGTCGCACATATAATAAATTCTTACCTCAGTGTATTCAGTGCTCTATTTTCTCCATCTTAGTAAGTCCAAATATAGTGGAATTTGTGTCCATAATGACAAATAAGAACTAAAAAAAGTTGAAGTGGATATTCACATGTTATGCCGACTCTTCAAATGTTGAGGTGATTTTGTCGCCCGATTGCGCCGGAACGGAGGATTGGCTCCCAGAATGCAACATGACACGTGCCAGCTTTCAAAATGCTGTTCCGCCATTTTGAAACCTGTCATGAGTAAATACGGTTAACTGATGTTGCATTCTGGGAGTCAACCATCCTTGGATAACAAACATGGCGATTCATGAAAACATTCGTTCGATTTGGTAGGGATTTATCTTACCTTCTTCTAAGGCCACTGTATCGTATTCCTGCATGAACAAATGGTCATGGGGGGTAGGTATGAAAAATTTCGAACGGAATGCGTGACATATACGTGATTCGCGTGAAAAATCCGAACGAAATGCGTACGTTTTTTTTCGGCGTTCGTATTTTTGCTGTGTAGACGAACTTTTTTAGAAATTTTTTTTTTCCACATCACAATTTGAATTGCGAGTTTTAGCCTCACCAAAAATTCCAAAACACACATAAAGTGATCAGTGTTAGATCAGTGTTAGTTCACATCTTCTGGATCGCTAACTTAGAATTTACAGCCAGTTACTAATGTCAGACGTTAACGACATTTCGTCCAGTTTTCGAACATCGCCATTTTTCTTGGAGCCATTTTGTTTTAATTTTAGACGAAATCCTGATGAAATTATGTCATATCTCATCAAGGAGCCGAGCTGGGTCCGGTTTGATTAATGATTTATTTATCTGGCGATTTTTAAAATATTCAATAAATTTATGACACCCCGGCCAGCTTTTTTCAAATAGAGTTCACAGTATTCCAGATGCAATCCCCTCTAGCCAAGTATTGGCTAGAGACTCGAGTAAGATTTATCCATTATTTGCAGGTATGAAGCTTTGGAATCATTTATTGTGCTACTTTAGTGAACGGGAATTATTTTTCTACCGCTTGGGAGAGTTTGAGACACGAAACTTGGAATTTAGCTCATTGTGACAACTTGTGAACGTTGAGTTTTATTATTGTCCCCCACTAAGAATTTCTACATCTAAAATGTCACTCGACTTTTTGGCAATTAAAAGTCCCTGCCTGCATTTAGTAGTCATATATTGTCATGTGCATAATTTTGAAACCATATCCTAATTATTTCACAAACCCTTTGTTGATTCTGCCATAGTTTCCAATTTGTAAACAGCATTTAGCCTTTTTAATTGGGAACTTTTTTGAAATTTCCAAAATGGCTGCCATGTGATTCCAGAATTAACATGAGTGTGACGTGACATCACAGTTGCTCGTTCCTAGGTAACAACAAGATCACAATTGCTCGTTTCTAGATAGCAACAAGATTTTTGATAAAATGGCACAGAATTACCCTGATTAACACCCTAAAATCCGATTTTCAAAGAATATATTTGGAGAAACAATAAAAGGTAAGTGGAATAAATTAGAAGATGGTTTTAAGTTACCACAGAAGTCAATTTGAAACTCAAGAATGCTTTCTTTGACTCATAATCACAAAAATGTCAAGTGACATTTTAGATGGAGAATTTCTTAGTGTAAAGTCCATTTCACTGCTTCATTTCGTTAGTAGAACGGCAAAAATAAGAAATTGGGAGACCATTGTGCAATAATATATGAAAAAGTATATTCATAATGTACATGAATGACATTTGTTAATTGTATATTTCAGATTTTTTAGTTTTTTGTGCAATAAGCCTGTGCCGTCTTGTAATTTGAAGAATTTCAGCCATGTTAATCTTATTGAAAATAACATGGCAGAGAAACATCCAAATATAAGAGGCCACACACTTTATAAGCCAAACTAGAAGCAATCCAAGATATACAAATGTCATTCATGTACATTATGAATATACTTTTCCATATATTATTGCACAATGGTCTCCCAATTTCTTATTTTTGCCGTTCTACTGACGAAATGAAGCAGTGAAATGGACTCTAGGAATCAAAAAATTCTGATCTGAATTCCATTTTAAATACATACCAGGGAGAAATGAGACGTCCTCGATTTCGGTGTCATCCATTATAGCAATGCTTATAGCACCCTCATATCTTTGTTAAACATTGCAACTGTGATATTACTTCTGATATGCACGATAATGAAATTAAAAACAAAAATCGTACTATTTTGCTTTTAACCGGAAGTTGCGAGTCGCGCCCTCTATTGGGTAACATCAAAAACAAAAATCAGAAAGCCGGTACCTTATTATGCCTGAATATGCGAAATATGACAAGAACATCTGTTTAAAGTTATAGCTAAAACATCTCTGTGTTTGTATTTAACATATTTAATATGATTTCATTACTTTACATATTGTCATACCTAAAGATATGACGACTTTCTGAGGACCTCTTTGGCGAACTTCCATCTTCTAAATGTGAAACGAAATAACAAACGTCAATAATTAACATGAGACAACATGGATTTAACATGATGTGTCAGGACAGTGACAGATCCAGAAATTAACAAGGGAGGGCAAATTTTGAGTCTTGGAAAAAACTCCGCACTTAGCAGGGGAAAAATTGGAAAATAAGGCCCATTTTTTATAAATTGGCCCAAAATAGGCCAAATTGTGCTGTAAGCTCAGTAAGCTTAAACGTAGGTTACGCTTACGGAGAAAATACAATAATCAACAAAACACGATCGACCTTTTCAGTCAAAGTGACTCATCGGGTATATGCTATATCTGCTTAATGCTTAATAGCCTTTTGCAGATTGTTGACATAGACCATGGGCTCTATCAGAGCCCATGCATAGACATAGACATGCCAATCTGAATGTATCCCAATATTCCTGGATAAAAGAAACAACGAACTACAACAAAATGTAATATATTTCAAACCTCACGTGAAAGACGCAACCTGCCTAGGGACAATAGGTTATGTCTACCAATGGTAAAATAAAACAAATATTTCAATATAAAGGAAAATGTCTCGGTAGCCCTTGGATTTCGCAAGGACGGTAACCTACAACCTGGGGAAATCATCGAAATGTATGACACGTATTGTCCTTCCATCTTCGACTTCCAACGTGTTAGAACTCACCCGGAATGACCTGCTCAATGTCGATTGACCTTTATGAAACTTGAAATATCTCCATGACGCCATGAGCCACAAAAGCAAAATCAAATTATTTGAAAGGGTAAAATCTCAGAGACTTACCAATAATTTTCTTTTTATCATCTGTACTAATATCATCATATGTAGTCGTATTACTGCTTACACTGGCATCATTGGTGGGCATGTTGTCAAAACTATTGTAATAATTTGCCATCTATAAAATCTACTGACGAGCCAAATGGATATTTTTGTGTTACTTTAATACTACGGGCTTTAATAACTGTTGATAAAAATAGCCTAAATGCTTAGTAAACACGGTATTCATAAACAACATTTAAATGTTAGCCTGGGTATAAATGTAGTATTTTGAAAATGAAAACCCCAGGATGAAAGGACACAGTGACACATGACAATTTAGTGGCACCCTAAACTATTTGATTTTTCATATGTCAGTCTATCCTCAACTAATACTTGGGTTTTCAAATGTTTTCGCCTATTAATTCAATTGACTTTTATTCCCGCATGAATGGAACTAGTCTTTGTCCGGGCTTTGATATCCATAGTAGAGCCTTTTTAAATGTGATTCCTGTAGTTGCACACCGGAACACCCTGACAACGGTAAAGTGAGATATCGTTGTCACAAATGACGGACATAACCGTCGCTTCAACTCTTTAATATCTCGGTTCTCTCATTTCATGAGACCTCATCGTCGTTGATTGTGTGCATGTATATTAAGCTATGATGATGTATTATATGAAATTCCAATTCGATCAAATGTGGTCGCAAAACTATGTATGTCTTTCATATCGCCAATGACAAACTGAATATGAATTTCAAATAATCAACTGTGGAGGGATAGATCCGGTTATTTATCGGTATCCGTTGACCCGTGTCATATTTTGATCGGTAAAATTAAATTACTCAAATCGAATACGAACATGTGGGGGCCATTTGTGACAACGGTATCCGGCTTAACCGTTGTCAGGGTGTTCCGGTGTGAGTTGGACGGCAATGATTTTTTAATTTTTCACAGTAGATAATGAAAATGGTATTATCAAACTTTGACATCTGAACATATTTTCATACTTTTCCATTTTAACTTTAACACAATCAACCCTGGTATTATTGACAGGAAAATACCTCTAAAATGTGATATTTTTCCCGGGATATCCCCTGCAATTAATACGCTGTGTACGTGTTTAGCCCCGTGTTTACCGTAACGCCCCAATAAACAATACAACGCACTCAATAATGATAATGAAATCTGATATTCTCAATAGAGATCGAGTTAGTATTACTTCACATTCAAGAGAATATACGATTTAACAATAGCAATCATTGTATTATGGCGAAACAAACAGTGGTAACACTTGATCCTCGGGCCTTGGTCCCAAGCAGTAAAGCATGAACACAGCGAAAATAAGTTGCATGGATTTTATTCCATGCATTATACCATAAAGAGTCTTAGATATATGAATAATTCTAAAGGTTTGTAAAAGATATCCAGGAACTCACCAATTATGTTTTGTTTATCATCTTCCGTATTACTGACATCGCTCGACATGCTGTCTAAACTATGGTAACTTTTATCCGCCATTCAGCATTATATGTTTATTATATGAATCAACAATAGTTTTCATGAATATTATAGTTATCCATAATGATAAGAGCAGGATTGTAAAATTATTTCATAAACGTCCGCGTTTACTATTTACCACCATCATTTATTGTGAGGAAATTATTGAAATGATTACACTATTGATTAGATCGAACTCATATTTCAAATCCAAATGTTTTTATTGCTGATGATATTTCAGCTGTACACAAATTGTTAACTAAGAGAAGTAAAAAATTATTTGTGATATCGGATCGAGATTTAAACAAAAACCATGGACATAATCATTTTCCCATGAATTAAGAAACCCATGTATTGGTATATAGAGGTTATTTACTGACTGGGGTTCAATATTAGTTTTATTCCGAGGGACAATATGATATTTCCCGAGGGCCCGGAGGGCCAGAGTAAATATCATATTCTCACGAGATATAAACCTATATTTAATCCCCACAAGTAAATAAGCTTTTTATCCCATGATATTCACGACTCTTCATAAAATCAGTAGTTCAAAATCCATATTTGATTTTTGCACGAAACGAAACCAGCCTTTATAGTTTACAAACTAATTTTATGACATTTTGAAATATAAAAACATTGTATAACATATAAACCCACCATGTCCATCTCACAGCATTTGTAAATTGCTCAGATTTCTAGGACGTTGACTGTCCGTGTCAGAGCATGATGATGAAGTTACAATTCGCCTATGTTAATAGACTTAGCTAAAATCTTCATACTAGTAGTTACGTTTCAAAATCTCTATTTTCAATTATGTTTGGAAAATATCGTTTCTGATTTAGAACATCATTATATCGACTCAACTGAATGTTACCCTTTGCATTCGTTTGACTTCACTTCTTAGAAGAGAGTAGTTTAACTAGACTCTGCACGCAGGGTAACTGAATGTAAGCTTTGCTTGCCAAAAATTCGCGGGATATGAATACGATTTTCGTTAGCAGGATTGGGAATAGAATACGATTTTCGTTAGCTGCGGGGTCAATACGATATTATCATACAAAAATAGTCCAGGTGTAAAAGGGTATGAGGACAGGTACTATTAATTCATGGTCCTACTCTCCATTGATTTATATGGTGACCTCTTTCCCTTATATTATCGTATACACAATAAGGGCCAGTAAGGGCCTTTAAAAGGGAGACCATAATCCCTGGGGGACCCATAATTTCTTTCACACCGGTTGTTATTCCCCGGGAACTGGAATAGTAGTATCATGGGATAATGCCGTTTGTATTTTATACTATCTACCGAGGCTCCGGTACATAACGAACGAAAGATAAACATATTTCCCTTGGGATAAACCCGTATCAAAAACCCGTCCCAGTATCCCATGGTTGCTATGGTATAGATTGAATATCACATGAACATGTATCCATGTGCAGTCGAACAAAATATTATATTTTTCATATCCTTTGCAGTGGTACATGAAGAGTATCAGTGTGGTAGAATGACATATCATTAAAATAGTATTACAGCATTAAAAAACATTAAAATATTTGATTAAATACATTATAATACTGGACATTAAATGTCAGTTATACAATATTATACATAATAGACTTTTATCTTCATGGTAATTGCAGAAAAAGAGAGTAACATAATGGGCTTTCAGCTAGAATAATTGAATGCCCATGGTAAAATCAATGTTTTAATGTCTCTTTATACCTTTATATACCTTTATACCAATAGTTCTGGAAGAAGGATGTTTGTTTCCTATATGATCCAGATCTTTTTGTGTTGTTGTGTCTTACTAATTAATTGGGGGGGGGGTAGTTGTTATAATGCTCACTGGACATGGGTTTAGAGAATCAGCTATGGTAGTGTGGTACATCTGGCTCGCTAGATGTCTGTCTATTTTTAGTTGATATCAACTAAAAATGTTTTTGATAGCTTATCAAAAGAACGAGAGCCTAGATCATCGATTCCCAATATATAGCTACATCTCATCCCCCAAAATCGAACGTGTTTTCTCAAAAATTGAAAGTTGTAAAAAACTGTTAAATATTCCGAAGTTTATTAAACTTTTCAAAAATCGGTTGTGTTGTTTTCTGAGAGGTAAGTATTACAAAGCCCAGCTTAAATTGGCCAAAACTATCTGATAGAAGACTTTTCCTAATGTACCGAGTTCACAACAATATGCTTCCACCCTATGTTATGAGTATCTTAATCTTCATCCCGGCAGGGATCTTCATTTAGCCGACAACTGTACAACCCTTGAAAATGATTAAGGCGAACGTTGAAACAAAAATACAGGCGTTCGTATTTCCATTGTAGCCGGAAGCACATGTGAAATGGAAAAAACAAAACCATCATTTCGCAATTTAACTGTCAGAAACTATGGTTTACCACCGAATGAGCAACATTTGGTAAGTTATTTTGATACCTATTTGTGTAATGCAAAATTTCATTCATGAATTCATCGCGGAAGTGACAGTATTATACTGGAATAAATGAAAAATAAAAAAGTTTTCGGAATGTTTTTACAGGTCTAGGCTTAGGCTCATCCCCGGTGGTACTGGTACTTGAGAATTCAGTCTATTGGTCATCATGTCCCTCCTGTTGGAAAAACAGGAAATTGTCTGCACAAAATTATAAATTTTAGGAAGCCTTACTTCCAAAAATTAAACATTAGATCTATAACAATTCAGGTACAGTTGGGGACATAAATAAATGACAGGTGGATTTGCTGAAGTGAGGATTTCCCATGTTAAAAATAAGAGAATTTACAAGAGGCCATAAATCAGTGGATGAGATTATACAAAATGTAAAATATACAAATTTTAAGGGATATGTATCTAGACAATATTGGAAATTATGGGCTTTCAGACCACCATAATTAGGAAATGGTGATCGAAAATCGACCTGTCATTTATTTTTGTCCCCAACTGTAGAGGTCAGGGTGCATGTTTAGAATTTTGCTGCAACCCTCAATAGTTACTGAACACAGCTTTAGCCAGCTGAGGGAACGTTCAAATATACCGTTTTGTGAAGTGGTTTTCTCCAACTTCCATCAGGCGCTCTGGAATAAGTAATGGTATTTAAGGTCAGGGTGCATGATGGGGAATTTTCTGCACTCCTCAATTGAGTCACATGTTATTTTTCAAACAAGAATCACTCCTTCCCCACTTGATCTATATCTTCCAGTTTTGCACAAAGAGTGCTCTTATGTGCCTAGAAAAGACTTGTGACAAGGATGTTTCGATAAAGTGTATAAAAAGTAAGAAAATTCAGTGAAAAAATTCAGAAAATTTTCATAAATTTTTTTCACTGAATTTTCTCGTTTTTTATACAATTTACAAAACAAATCTTCTCACAAGGCTTTTCTAGGCACATTAGTGCACTCTTTGTGCAAACCTGGAAGATGTAGACAATGTGGAGAAGGAGTTATTTTTGTTTGAAAAATAACATGTGACTCAATTGAGGAATGCAGAAAATTTCCCAACATGCACCCTGTCCTTAAGAAGATAATTGAATGTAACTTGCCCTTTTCTTTAAGGCGACGCTATATTAAATAAAAAGTACAAAAAATGACTGCCATATTTTTTTGAT